ATGATACACCCAAAAAGTACATATAGACCTTGAGGCATCTTAAAATGATGAATTACGAATCTTCTGCACTTGCATTCCGTATTTTCCAGTAGTATCTGAATGTCCAGGATCAAGGATTCGAGGATTTGATATTCCCATGCGAAGGGTGATGATTATCACTAGGAAGGTTAGACAAAATAAATCACTACAACCAATGGATGGTAGCACCGATCTGTTTTCATTTCCAGACCAGAAAAATTCAAGATAAACAAACGAAACAAGAAGCCAAAAACTTGAGAGTTAATATTCTCTAGGCATCACACGAGGGGAATCACCGAAGAAATCAATCGCCATTTAAGAGAAGTCCTCCTCAGCTTCCTCAATGTTATTCTTGATCCGCAAAAAGAGGGTTGTCTTCCACTTGTCCAGCTTGCTGAGCTGGTCAAACTGTCGGAGCTTGTCACCGAAGCCCTCCGGGTCACCACCCTCAACAGCCTGGGTCAGGTCCACGAGTAGCTGGTGCTCCCTTGTAGAGGCAAAAGAAGGATCAAGTTCTCGGTATGATTCCAAAGCACGGTTAGTCTCAACAAGATCCTGATAATATGTAATTAGTGTTCTGTTTGCTATGAAAAGAATAAGCTGGAAACCTTACTTTTGTGGCAAGGTGGCAGATGCCTGCCTTCAGGAGATAATCCTTCACAGACCACTTCATCAGGTTGTTGTTAATAGAGCTGCGGCCGATGCGTTCGTAGTTGGTGATGGCCTTGTAGTAGTCACTTTCCAAGGCGGCCAGGTCAGCCACCTTGAGGTAGTGCTTGTTTGCAAGGCTGTGTGTGAAGTATATGTCAGCCAAGTTGTTTACTCGAATTCACAGATACCACACAGATCGTGAGATACATACGCTTCAGCATTATCACCCTCGAACCAATCAGCAGCCTTCTCGTACGCCTCCAGCGCCTTCTTCATATCTCCAAGCTCAACCTCATACAGTTCAGCCAGGTATTGCTGCTGTGTTGCCGCGCGGCGCAAGTTTCCTCGTAGTACGTAGTGCTGGATGGCACTGGAAAGCACGCGGGCAGCATCCTCGGGGTCTGACTTGCGGTAGACCTTGAACGCCTCCTGGAGGTTATTGGCAGCGTCGTCAGGTTCGTTGAGGTTCGTAGTTTGGATGGAGGCAGCTTTCTCAAAAGCCTGACCGGCCTCCCTGTCTGTTTGAGAACACAGATCAATCATCGGGCTTGGCTATGGCAATGCAACGGGCTGGCTAGGCCGCGGGGTAGCTCACTCATTTTCTGTACTCGGAACGCATTTGCAGCCTGGGTATACAGATCTGCGGCGCTCTCATACTTCTCTGATCGTCCTCCAAACCATGCAAAGCCACCACTAGCACCGGACAGCGCTTTGTCGGCCTATTTCATCAGGTCTAGTTAGCTATGCGGACTATCGTCATCGCCTATGCAAACAAGGCGGGGAAGTATGCATACTTTCTGGAGCAGGACACGGGGATCTTGAGTCATCTTGGGTGGATGTGTCTATTTTTACTGCGATAGGCAGTAGTCCGCAAATATTCGATGTAAAGTTGGAGTGTTGTGGCCAAACGGGGTACTATCGATGAGAGCATCGATCGGCGGGCCCGTGGAGGCGGTGTCGTTTTATTTTTCGGGTCTCCGCCTAAGCTCCCTCGTGTTGTCTTGCGATTTCGGCGACTTTGGCCATTTACACACTGTACTGTTCGTATTGGACTCTGCTTCTATCTCAGTCGGATACATTCCTATATTTGCATTTTGGGCTTATCATCCCTACATACGCTACAATGATCTCTATTCGCACTACTGCTCGGCTATCCCAGTCGCTGCGCCCATGTCCTTCCCGACTCAACACGACCTTCTCTCGCTTCTACTCTTCCGAAAAATCCGACAGTACACATATCGAGGCCATCCTTGGCGCGCCGAACTGGTCTGTCAGGTCGCTGCTCCCGAACCCAGCTTCAAAGCCGCCACCATCAGTCACACCGAAACAACTCCATCATCTTCTGCGCATCTCGGCTCTTCCCCAGCCTGCCAATCAAGAAGAAGAGCAGTCAATGCTTGACACACTCGAATCTCAAATCCATTTTGTGAAGGAGATCCAACTTGTTGATACTACCGGCGTCGCGCCGCTGGCTAGAATTCGTGACGAAAGTCCTGCTGCTATGGAAGAGGAAACGATTGGAATCGAAAGGCTCAGGGAGGCTCTAGCCAAGGAAAAGGTGTCCGGGCGACGGGGCAAAATTCAGCGTGTCCCAGGTGAAAAAAACGATCGTCCGGATGGAACAGCTTGGGATGGGAATGCGCTCGGGTCCGCCACAAAGACAAAGGGGAAATATTTTGTTGTTGAAATCGGCAATTGAGTTGTTTCCTCAATTTCCTACGGCATTGGAATATGCAGGAGGCATAGATATTCCCCATGAAGCGAAGCAGAGTGATGTCAACATGGTCAAATGTTTCTGCCTCAGGCTATTGTGGAGTCAACGGCCCGTGACTATCGGGGGCCATGACAGCATCGCCCCTCTCCAACAACATCGACTTCTGCCTGTTTGCTCCAAAGGTTGTCAAGTCATTTTTCACTTTTGTTCGGCGTCAATGTTCAAAAATTTCAAAGAAAAACATGCAGGATTCTTTGAATCCAAGCAATCCAATGCTTCGGAAAGCGATCGCGGTCAAGATCTCTCATCCATCTTGGACCGGTCGCAGCGCGCTGACTTAACTGTTCTCGTCGCTGAGGTAGCTGAGTCGATGCGGGTTCAGATTTTGGAGCTTTATGAACATACAAATCCAAAGGATGACTCTCTCAATCGCTCTAGCCCACGTCCGTCTCCGGAGGCGGACCGCGATGAAGACACGCCACGCTTGCCCCCAAGACCACAACGCAAGCCGGTTCCAGGAAATATCAGAAGTCCACGACAATCCTCTACTAACAAGCCGTTGAGCCCTCAAGCTAAAGTCACTGCGCTCTCTGCTTTCGAGGATTGGAGGGATTCTGTCCTTTTGCGGGTTGGCGCGGTCGTCAATAAAAATGATGACGATCAGGGGGAAAAAGATGGCCAAGAAGAGCTGCAGGACGCTGCCAAGACTGAATACCTTCCACTGGATGAGGATAAAGATAGAATGGCCAAATTACAAAAAATATACCACCCTGTGGAAACACCCTTGGCTAAACTTCCTAAAGCCACAAGGCTGCTTATTCTTCACTCGCTTCTCCTTTTAATGCTCAGTCTAGAGCACTACAGTGCTTATTCAAGGGTCTTGATGCTGAATGTCACGTCCAGTCTGAATATAGACATCAACGTGCTCAATCAAGACGAAGTCAGTGTCGCCCGTGGATTGCTGCAGACGGCTTTGGCACTGTCGGCAGACCAAGACACCAAAGAGCAACCAAAGAAAAATGATGACATGAGGAAATGGAAAGTTGGCCTTGCATCTGTGGCTGGAGCCGCTTTGATTGGCCTCACTGGCGGGCTCGCAGCTCCATTGGTAGCGGCGGGTCTGGGAACTGTCATGGGTGGATTGGGCCTTGGCGCTACGGCTGCTGCTGGGCTCTTGGGTACTTTGGCCGGGAGTAGCGTTGTTGTCGGTGGCCTGTTTGGCGCTTATGGTGGGCGTATGACTGGGCGCATGATGGAAAAGTACGCCCGTGAAGTGGACGACTTTGCATTCATTCCGATCAGAGGAGAACGCCGCCGCAACGTGAAAGAGAAGGAGTCTGCTGAGCAAGATCATCGTTTACGAGTTACCATTGGTGTCACCGGATGGGTCAAGGAGGAGTCGAACTTCGTGGTCCCATGGCGGGTAATTGGTGCCGATTCTGAAGTGTTCGGTCTTCGCTGGGAGATGGAGCCTTTGATGAAATTGGGTAACGCGATCTCAGCTCTCGTGACTAGCGCAGCATGGTCGGTTGCTGGACGTGAGGTCTTGGCTCGTACTGTCTTCTCCACCATAATGAGCGCGGTGATGCTTCCCCTAGGTCTCATGAAAGTTGCTGGCGTCGTCGACAACCCGTTCAGCGTGGCTAAAGCCCGCGCCGACAAAGCAGGCGAGGTCCTCGCCGATGCCTTGATCAACAAAGCCCAGGGAGAACGACCCGTGACATTGATGGGGTATTCTCTGGGATCTCGGCTGATCTTTTCCTGCCTCCACAGTCTAGAAAGGAGAAATGCCTACGGTCTAGTTGAGTCGGTCATTCTGATGGGGTCACCCACCCCTTCAGATACGGAGGACTGGCAAAAGATTCGCAGTGTCGTAAGCGGACGTGTTGTGAACGTGTTCTCTGAAAATGACTCCGTACTTGCTTTCCTGTACCGAACTAGCAGCCTTCAACTCGGCGTCGCCGGACTGCAGCCGGTTGAAGGTGTTCCAGGCGTCGAAAACGTGAACGTAAGCGAAATGATCAGCGGTCACCTGCGATACCAGTTTTTACTTGGCAGAATCCTTACCCTTACCGGGCTCCAGGACCTTGATCCTAATGAAATTGAACGTGAAGAAGCTGCTCTCGCCTCCGAGGATGAGCGGCTGGAGAAGGAGCGGTTGGAAAATGAGCGTGAGGCCGGTGTCAAAGACCGCGAATCATCTGCTGCACGTGATACCCTGAACAGCGAGCATGGCTTTGGGGAAGATGCACGGTTGCAGAAGAAGGTCGAGGCACAGACCCAGGAGAACATGACTACCCACCGGATTGAAATGCTCGATATGGACGACGATGATTATTCGGCGCCTTTGAAGGAAGATCCATCGAAGCATCCTGCCCTCTAAATGAGAATTTGAGATTTATAGTACAGCCATTTCATTGCATCTCTCAAATGTTCCTTATTTAATACACACGAAATGTCAACTATTGCAGTAAAAATAGGCTGGGCGTTTGAGATTCTGTCTCAACTATAAACAAACAATTGGTGGTGAAAACAGTATTTTCAGCTAGTTATTTTCCTTCGCATAACATAAGCCAATTCCAATATTCCAAAAATCACACGCATGTTGATCCCTTTGCTATACCCACACGCTCAAACGGTTCATAGTCGAACATTCGGATTCCTCGGCGCCAGTTTTATCTCGCCCTCTTTGACCTAACCAATCCAAATAGGCATGAAATGTCCGAAACTGGAACTTGTCAGACCAGAACCTCGAAAGCCAGTCGTGAACATTGCTAAGCGGCGGAATGCCAGTGGGAAAAACATTCGACCACATTCCCGAGTCCCATCTCATATAAATGACTTTGTGATAAATTCCAAGTCCATCGCATAAACTTGATTTGAACGCATGTATGGCATGGTGTAGTAGAATCAGAATAATGTATCTCCTATTCGATTTACGAAGCCAGGGATCTGTGTTCTCGATAACCCAGGGACTAGTATGCAACTGGTCTCGGAGTTGAGTCTCATATGGCGATTCCCAGATTTTCCCGTCTCGGAACCAGTTTTTGTATCGAGCAAGACGAAGGAAATCGGCCGTTGTGCCCAGCATCTCGTCCAGGCTGGTTTCTATGAATAAATGAGTTTCAATGAGTGCGTCTTTAATTCGGCGGGCGGCTGTGTCTTGGGTCATGGTGTATAGCTTTCCTAATCTGAGCTCGATGCCGGTTTGGGTGAATAAACCCATCAAGCGCCGGTAAAGACTGTCGAACTGTTCGTTTGACATCGCGGGCACATTTGTTGCGGGATCCTCATCCCATAGTTCCAGACGAAGGAAGGGTAACATAACAATGTCTTTGTCAGGACGGTATGTATATAGGGGCTTGATTGACTCCTGTAGGCCCCCCATCTCGTAAAATAGACCTCTGTTTGCTCGCCAGTGAGCTGGTGGCTCTCTTGGACGCCATGACCCCTTTGGGACCAGCTCTATATCCGGCCGAGCAATGGGGATGACAAGATCAACTAGCGCGTTGACTCTCTGCCAAAGTAATACTAGTTGACCTGGGTCTGTTGGATCTGGGGGGTGGATATGCACTTCCATGGTCGTTTTTGAATGCGGGAAGTTGTGGAAATGCATTTCGGTGTCCGCTCTGTTCCTGAGAGTCCACTTGGTGTCTATAGTTCTGGATTTCAATTTTATGACCATCCACTCTCCTCGGTAATGTGCTAGGTTGAGTGAGATGATCTGGACGGAGTTCTTGAATATATGGGACGAAATCTCATTATAGAGGTATCGACTGGCGCAGAGAATGGATAGGGGGTTGTCCTTGGGCAAGAGTGATTGTGTGTGGATGGACGAGATGAGATATTCCCATATTATCAGGCGAAGCTCTATAGGAAGTATGGAAAATTTTCCTAGAAAATGGAGTGGAAATTCCATTATGGGAAAATGAAGGCGTTAAAAGTGTTGATGATTGCAAAGTATTAGAGAAGAAAAGGGAAAGGGGAGAAGATCAGTGCCACAACCCACTTCATAATACTCACAAAGTCAGATGTATCGTCAAGTTTACGTCGAAAGTTACTATGCCTTTCTCAGATGTGATCGTTTCCCGATTCGGCGCGGAGAGGTACAGTGTGCGCAAACATAAGAAAAGACCACATCAACTGGGGAATAATTGTATTTGATCTCAACTCATGGCTTAGCTACATGCACAATAATCTTTCCCCTAGCACGACCAGAGCGAAGCTTCTCAAATGCCTGAACAGCATTCTCAAACTCGTAGGCAGTATCCAGCTGAATTTTGACAGCCCCCTTCTGCACCCATTCCCCGATTCTCACAAGATCCTCACGGGTATTCTTGAAGAAGAAGATAACATACTTCCTCTTTCCGCCGCCCAAGAAAGAAGGCCAAATCAACCTATCGACAAAGGTCCCCATGGCCGACGCACCGACCTGCACAAAAGCCTTCCCAGCTGCCAAGAAGTGATGCGACTCGCGATACATCGGCGCAGGGTATCCAATATGATCAACAATATGATCAAAGACAACCCCACGATTGCGAAGCGTAGCAACCAAGTCTTCCTCAACCGAGTAATCAATAACCTCATCAGCGCCGAGCCCACGACAAAACTCCACATTTTTCGTCGAACAAGTAGTCGTAACATGACATCCCATTTCCTTAGCAATTTGAATCGCGAAAATTCCACATCCCCCAGAGCCACCGTTAATAAACACCTTATCTCCATCATTAACGTACCCAGCCAGCGACTGGTACGCCGTCTGTCCCGCAATACCGATAGCCGCTGCATGATCAACCTCCACGCCCTCTGGCACGGGCGCAAGCAGACTCGCAGATGCCACTAGGTACTCGCCCAAAGAACCGAATTGACCGGGCTTGCTGAGACATCCGTAGACGAGCTGGCCTGGTGAAAACTCAGTCGCGGCGTCGCCGGTGACAACCACGCGTCCGCAGAAGTCCATTCCCGGTGAGGCGGGTGTGCCGATCACTAGTTTGCGTGCTACTAGACCCATTTCTGGGACTTTGAAGTCGGCTGGGTTGAGGGAGGCTGAGAGGACCTGGACTAGGACATTGTTGCCGTGGACGGCTGGTGGTGCGCGTGCCGATGCGGCGAAACTGAGGTTCTTTTCTAGGCCATTGGTTGTGCTGGAGTAGAGCCAGGCTTTCATTTCTGTGGGTTGGGCAGATGCCATTTTGTGTGGTATGTTGTTTGTTGTGATGCTGTTGAATAATGGTGTTGTCACTTTTTTGGAACGCGATTGATGACCTCACCCAGACCATCCCTTGGCCTTCCAAGATCACTTTTATATCTCAGCAGAGAAATTATCTTCGAATATCTGTATTTATTTATGCAAGTTGACTAATAATATCTAGACTCATTTTTTCTTCAAGAAAGTCAAAGCCCCGAGTGCCATGGCATCCACACCCGTACACAATGTGGGCTGGATAGCCGGCGCATAGAACGGTGAATGGTTACTAGGAAGTTCATCAACAGTGCCCTTAGCAACAGCATCATCCCAAGTCTCGGGATCGGTTCCACCAAACATCCACATAACATAAGGCGCACCCACAGCAGTCGCCAGCAAGGTGAAGTCTTCACTAGCAGTCGGGGGCTCCATATCAACAAGTCGATCACCAAAGTACGGCTGGAAAGTCTCACGAAGAGCATCAACAGTCTTTCCATCGTTAATCGTCGATGGCGTCGAATAAGTAAGCTTAATCTCAGGCTTCTTCTCAACCCCAGCAGCCAGACACTCCCCTTCAACAATGCGATGAATAGAAGCACACACGCGCTTCCGCACCTCCTCATCATATGTCCTCACATTCAGTTGCAAATCCAGATACGCGGGGATTGTATTCGGCGACTGTCCAGAGTGAATACTACCACAGGTAACGACAGCCAACTTGCCCGGCGTGACCTCTCGCGAGACAATAGTCTGCAATCGCATAACGATCGCTGCGCCAAGCACAATCGGATCGATAGTCGTATGTGGCGCAGACCCATGACCTCCACGCCCAAACACGCGCACTTCAAAGGCATCGGCCGCTGTGAGAAGCGGGCCAGCGCGGAGATTGACCGTCCCCGCGCGCATGCGCATTACATGCTGGGCGAGCACTAGGTCCGGCTTAGGGATCTTGTCGTATAGCCCGTCATCCAACATTGCCTGTGCGCCATCGAGGTGTTCCTCGGCGGGCTGGAAGATGCAGATTAATGTTCCGGACCAGTTATCACGCGCGGATTGCAGGAGCGTCGCGGCGGCCATTAGCGTGGCGACGTGGGAGTCGTGTCCGCAGGCGTGCATTACGGGCTTGTGGGCTCCCGTTTCGTCTTTAACGTGGCGGGTGCTTGCGTATGGTAGGCCTGTTTGTTCTTCAACGGGTAAGGCGTCCATATCCGCCCGTATGAGAATTGTTGGGCCTGTTCCGTTGCGGAGGATTCCTGCTACGCCATGGCCGCCGATTTTGGTGTGGACTTCGAAGCCGGTGGCTTTGAGGTGATCGGATGCTATTTTGGCTGTTTGTTCTTCTTGGCCTGATAGTTCGGGATTGGTGTGTAGGTGGCGATAGACATCTTCGAATGGCTTTAGATCTGGTCGGTGACGATTGATGATCTCGGCCAGGTCATCGCTGTTGTCTGTATAGATGAGTATACATGCTCAATGGAAGGAGTGTAGGTAGTCGTACCTCGTAATTGCATGTTGGAAGTAATTCAGAAAAGTAAATATCGAGTCATCCCTTCATTCACTCAGGGTTTATATACCCGACCATATCTCCGAACAAATCGGGGGACAATAATCTCCGTCATTGCCTTGCCTCTTCCGGTCGACAAACCCACCTCGTCGGCAAATCCTCGAATCATTCCAAGAGGTTCCCCGCAAGTGTAACTCTGCTCGCCAATTGCCGGTCAATTCCGGGTTTCTGGATTAAGCCCTGAGTATTCTCTGATAATTGGTCTTGACCCTATATCGGGCATCAAATTGCAAAAATGCTAAAATGGATAGTTATGGGCTATTCTACATGTCTCAAACAATATTACCACAGGCTTAAATAGCCACCTCCCCTGATCGACTTCAACAGCCCAGCCGGGCTAGCTCAATCGGTAGAGCGTAAGACTCTTAATCTTAAGGCTGCGGGTTCGACCCCCGCGTTCGGCTATTCCTAAAAAACCAAACCTGAGATTTCTTTTTTGTTCTTTTTATTTTTTTGTCTGGCATGGGATTTATGGATTTAGGCGAGAAGGGTCAATGGATGTATGAGATGGCTGTATCATGGTTTGGCCATAGATCTTATATAAAACTCAATTTGCAAAGAACTTTCCATATTACATTTGGCAACAATCTACGAAAATAGATGAAGACAATCAAGTAGGCACAGCCAAAAAAAAAAGTTTAAAAATTGTCGAGATATATATATTTTAGTCAAGTTGGTTATACTGCGCTGGAGGGAGATACACCAACCAACCTACCATAAACATAAATAAAAGTATAATTAACGTTAAGATAGAAATAGTTATAGATAAAGAACTAGATAAAGCAAATTTAGAATTAAAATATATTTTATTAACTACTTTATTTTTTTGTGTAATAAGAGCAGGTATTCTTAAATCTTTTAAGCTACTAAAATAAGTATAAGAATGTCCATCAAAGAACATAGTTTTTACTATAAATAAGTAATATTACCTCGAAACTCCGGTTACAAACAGCTTCAACTAACCCTATTCCAATAATAACCACACAGTGGTATAGCCCTGTAGATAGCAGATATGATAACTACTCGACTTGTTCCGTGTCATCGATGTGGAAGTACGTCGTGTCGACTGCATATGCATTTTGCAGGGTGACACCATGCATAGTCCTTCCTATAGTATACTTCCTGCGGATCTATCGAAAAAAGCTCAGTTGATTTTTAATTATTCAGATATTATGTTGCATATGCATCGGATAATCCCTTGCTCTCGAGACCTTTCCGTTTCCGTTTTGGTGCTCATCTCTTGCCGCTTTTTGATCACTGGGCACGTCCGCCCGCGTACCTGATTAGCTAGTTAGGTAATTACGGGCCACTACATAACGTATTTCACAAGCCAGCTGCGCACACAAGCGAGCTGCGCAGCCCAAAACACATAGTAAATACGATATATTCTGCGTTTATATCTCAACAACGATGTTTTTATTTTAGCTCCTTATTTGTCAATAGCCATCGATAAGACTCATTAGCTTCATATATTAATTTCGAAGAGAATAGAAGGCTATGTTATCATGATTTCGAAAATTACCGAAAACTACGTTGCGAAAAACTAAATATATATACCGGAATCATAATATTATAAAATTTCCTTAACCTCTAACAAATGGCTAGATATCATATAAAAAAAGCATTAGGCTACAAAGAAAATTTATATAAACAACCGTTGTTGAAATATCAAGTTGTAATTTATCGCTTTTACTATGTGTTTTGGGCTGCGCAGCTCGCTTGTGTGCGCAGCTGGCTTGTGAAATACGTTAATCAAAGTAACCACCCGTCTCCAGGGCTGGTGGGCACTCACTGATCATCATCTGAGCGCCTTGATTTACTCAGTGAGTGCTCACTGAATGTGAGAGTGAGAGACCCGAGTAAGCCACATTATCTGAGGGTTCTACAAGGACATAGCCTAAAACTAGTATTCTTTTACACGTAGTGTATATACCGCTGCAGCTACAATCGGAGTTCCGATTGTTACTATGATCTTTTAGCTGACCTCGCGATGGCGTACCACGCACGGTCGTCGACGGGTGTATCGGGGATGGCGTAGGTCGCTCCCATCGTCAAGAGACCCCGGAGGGTCCCAACTAGCGAGGTCGTATATGCATAATTGGAATGTGCTAACACGCCCAAAGCTACTAGAGGCATAGAAGAGCCGGACACTCTTGCACGTTGGTAAGAACAACAGTTAGCAAGATGTGGGCGTATTGCTTTATAAACCGTCTTCCAGGCCGAAAAGCATGCTCTATAAGGCAGAGAACGAAGGAATTGAAGAGTATTGAGGCGGAAGATGCAGGCCTACTAGTCTACTAGTATGATTAGCTTGCGCTGTCACTGAAAGATATCCTTCGATCAGTATATGACTTCGATGAATGTGGCTTTCCCTCTGGCGAGGGGATCAAGGACCGTGGTTGGTTCAAAAGAACATATTGCCCCGCTAAAACCTCAAGACCAGCCAATTAGGAGGTCCATCAGTACGGGCCGTTCCGAGGTACTGGACTACGGATTACGAAAAATGTCCTGGTCTATCTACTATGGATTTGCTTGACTCCCTAAACACATTCAGTAGCCGCACTACTATCTGTTCTACCCAGTGAGGTAATTCTACCACGTCGGTGTGTGACCACCAGCGCTAAATTATTACAGATTGTAAGGCGATGTTAGTACGATTTGCGTAAATGTGAATTTAAAGTACGGTGATCTGTGTGAAATAGAAATACAGTGAATCTTGTTCGATCTTGCTACTCATAGGGCGATAATTTTCTCTCGCAAACTTCTCCCATCCACAATATGAACATAATCATACTCCCATTATAGTATGCCTTTGGTGTTATCTAATGTCACACCAACACACTCGCACCTAGTATCCATAGTACGGGTTGACAACCGAGTCCTCAGTCTTCTCGGTGCAACACTGACCGTTGATATTGGTGCCGGTCGAATCATACAGGCAGTTATCTGCTCCAAAGTAGACGTCGCCATAGGCGCGGGGCCAGGAGGCTTGCAGCTTACAGCCAGGAACAACTTTGTAGCCTGTCTTGTTGTCTCCATCAAACTGGGCGTAGATGGTGGCGACGCTGTCACCGGTAGCTTGATCTGCAATGTCTATTTTCTTGTCAGATATTGATGCGCACACAAGGAGATCTTGAGAATTCTGGAAGCATACTGGTAGACTTGGTCTTGGACTTGCATAGGGTCTCACCATCCACATTGATGCATCCGTTGTTGACGTGCTTTATGATTTCATGTTAGCAAACAGGAATCCTCGAGCCAGGTGATTTGATTTCGTCGGACACGTACCACATCAGTTCCATCAGCGTTGTATCCTTCCGGTGCTTCGCAGGGCCAGTATTTTCCGTTTCTCCTGCCCTTCTTGATAATATCAGCTATTTCCTGGATACCCTCGCAGATTGGCAGGTTGAAGAATCCTGGGGTACGGATTCCATTCTGGAAGACCAAATCACCCTCTGTGCCTGCTCCATCAATAATCTTTGACAGAGCGGGCATTTCATAGCCGTTCTTGTTGCCATTCAGCTGGTATGCCTGGTAAGAGCTTTGGACTATATCCTCCAGAATGACACCACCCCAGGCCACGCCATTAAGGGTTTCGTGGTTTCCACCGGGGAGGGTATCGAAAACTTTCAGGTCAGCAGAGGGGTTGATGTTCACGACATAGAAAGCATCGTTGTTGAAGCAGACGTATCCGCCGACCTGAGTGCTCGTATCCATGAGAAGGCGAATAGACCAATTAAGTGAGGTTGAACAGCCTCCGGCCTTCCGCCTGTTAATGAAAGGTAACTGGTTAGTAACTTCTTTTTACTATTTATGAGATGATGTAAGGGTGTTATTCTTACAGGATCCGGGGATAGAGGTTGCCAGGGCCTTGCGCCCAAGCCGCCGGGATTAATTGTCCATAAAGGGTCTTTTGCGCCTGAGCAGTCATTCCAGTCAAGTCCACTTTGGACGAAAGTAGAAGCATTGAGCCGCTGGAAGTTAGAGTTTGAAGAGACGAAATTGAAGTATCATCATTCGCTCCATCAAAGAGCGAGGAGACATATCCGCTCTCCATACCAGTCCAGGCGGTGAAATATGTGCCAAGAGCGGAGGAAATGTCATTCTGGGTGCCCAATGCATCTTTGGAGCTGTTAGTTGGTTAGCAATGAGTTCAAGGGTAAACCTGGGAAGATATAACTGACGATGTGAGTGAATCTTTACCAATCGCAGTGGCAAAAGAAATGAGCGCAGCGTTGGTTACGTCTTTGCTCACGGTGAAATATTTCGATGTAGCCATAGTGAGACTCTTGAAGGCTATAATTGGGATACTACATTAGCACCGAACAGGTTGTGGCCGGAACATACGCTTACCAATATTCCATGCAAAGGAGCTGCCAACGGTAGCGGCCAAGATAATGGCATCGATAATGAACTTGACGATTACAGATTTGTCTTTGAGCTGAGGAGCAAAGGTGCTCGAAAAGGCACCAATATCATTCTGCATTATATTAACGGCATCGTTAAGAGCGTTGTAGGTTTGTTGATGAAGCTAGCAGGAGGTATGCTTAGTTAGTTGAATGCCCATCAAACCCAGGAAAATGATGATTTACCTGGTGAATCGTGGAGAAAGAATTCATAATCAGGTATCTGCATGCCCATGTAAGCTTTGAACTCTGTAAATTTATTGTAAAAAGAATCTGGTCTACTTACCCGGCAGGATACTGGGCCTGATTACAGGTCAGCACCGTGGAGCAAGCAGTGTTACCGATATCTCTACAGTTCCAGTTGTCAGGACCAGAAAAGTAGTTGCTAATGAACTCAGGAAAGCCCAAGCCAGTGGAAGCACCAGAAGTAGCCCAGGCATCCAGGGCGGATTTCAAGGCATCATCGCCGTTGGCTGCATTCCAACGAGCAATGGGATCCAGTGTCGCATCGGTGATGTTGCTAGTACACTGGGCATCTTTCCAAGCCCCTGTGGCCTGATCTGCCAATGCAAGCAGGTTATTTATCCTAAAGACAGGAGTTGAAGAGGGAGCAGAAGGGGTAGCAGAAGCCCGGGTAGAATGGGGGACAGCAGTTACGCTGGCTGCGTAGAGGAGCGAAATGGACGCCCCGAGAAAGGTATAACGCATCTTGAATTTAACAGGAGCCGGTTAAGTGAATGTGAACACTAGAATGATACGAGGGCATTTGATCCTTTTATACATTAGAGCCCTATATATTTGTCTCCCCTTTCGACAAAAATAGACCAAACGTCCTAGTTGATGAAGGCGAATTCTATTGCCCAGGTGACAATTGCTAATTTGAAAGATCATCCCAAAGAAGATGGCTTTTATCCCAAGGTGTGTTCTTCCTAAACAGGAAGTTGGTAGCAATTCGCGTTTAATATCCTTAGGGCTTGCTATAGTACGAGTGTGCGGGATCCTCCAATCAGTTGGCCCTGATTTTCCACGTGGCATCCACTACGGGGCATCCCCATCGATGCCTCATTAATACCTGAATTGTCCCGAGCTCATTACAGAAGTCTTATTAAACAAAGCACATGTACCCTCTTAGCCTTGGCTCGTTCTGCTCAGGTTGCCAGCGCATAAATTCGTATCATACAAGCTTCATTTTACCTCGACTAGTATAAACCAGCCACCTTAAAATATGGTGATACTTAAACTTGGATTGTATAAAAAGCTTCAACTTCATTAGGCCTAATAGGCTTACAATACAACGATCATATGGTCAGCTGTTGCAGGCGAAAACCAACCATATCGATAAGCTTGACTTCCTCGAAGCATACCCCTTCGCACTAATTGAAACTTCTAAATCAGAGACTATTAAAGATAGATTGGGAGCAGCTGTTGTAGTACCTTTTTTACCTAATCTAGTGATTTCAAACCTGATATTCGTCTTCGAACCTCAACCCCCCGAGCAGAGAAAGCGATTGGGACCCAAAAACGCCCTCGAACCACGTACAATTACACATACAATTACAAAAGCGAGCCTTGTCAATCATCAGGGACCCCTCCGAGTCCCCTAAATTTCGCAAACAATCAGGGGTTAAAAGCCGGTTAAATCACTATGCAATTTGCTGCTTTATTGGAGAAAAGTAAGCGAGCTGTGCGTTTCAAATGAGAAGCAGAAGCAAAAACGGACCCAGTACCGGAGGCAGATACCCGCTCAATCCAAGAAGCTTCTTAGCTAATTGTTGACCCGGTGGAAGCAATTGTAGCATCTCCCCCTCGGCACAGAAGGCCTTCGCCACCTTTACAGACCCGGACGAGAGCTTTACCCACTTGTGGTTCATGTAAAAATCAGGGTCATAGGAGAGAGGCATGTCCAGATAGATGATCAATTTAATTCAATTAATTTAATGGTGTTTTAGTGGAGATAAATATAGTTGAATTCAATGGTTGATCTAGGTGGACTACTCGGTGTGGACCGGTAGTGAAATACGTTGGTTAAATCCTGGCCATATTCAGGCCATACTCAGGCATTAAGGTATAAACCAGCGCTAACTAACTTAACTAACTAACTAGGCCGTTGTGGACCTTTGGGTTTCGCTTCCTTCCCGTACTTTAACAGCACCATGGCCCCCAAAAGGAACATACACAAATGTAAGGTACTGAGCAAATTGTGCTCCACAATAATAGCACGATGTTCCTACAGATATGCTAATTCGGTGTCAGATGTTGCTGCAGGATTATTATGTCTCAACTTTGTGGAAATTGGGGAACTGCATGACCGAAGCTGAGTTGTGGGTGACAGCATACTTTAAGTAATAGATGCTAAGTTTTATGTACCTTTCTGACCGCGTCCAGCTCTTGCATCTATATATTTTCAAACTGAGTCATGTTGTCTCAGAGACTGATGGATTCTATGAAGTATGAGGTACCAGGCCTCTCAATGAAAATTGTCAATTTGCTAGCTTTTGACTGTTACGCCAAGGATCGTGACATTCACCCATTAACCTCACTTTCTCTCCTTGACTTGTTTGGCATAAGCATTCCCAATGCGTACATGATCCCAAGTACCACAGTCCGACCACCGGGCCACCCGAAAACTAATTCGCTGATCCCTGTTTCTGCCTCATAGAGTGTAACCCCAAACGCCGGCAACGTCGCAATTTACTCACCATAATTCTAAGGGCTTTGCTAGAACTCTTCTTAGCTCATCCAATACATGTGAGTCTTCGAAGGATCCGAACCAATGTACAGCACCCCCTGAATAGCTCGTAGACACAGGCTTGAACTTCGCCCAGAATTACTCCTTTCGTATGTTTTGAGCGACAACAATAGCACGAAAGATGACAAGACCGCCATCACTGAGGTGCGAGACGACGCAGTTCATGTGGCTATTTGTTTGAACCTCCCCTAAGACCGAGCTCGTGACCGAGCTCCCTTATGCCTTCGCGTCGAAAGTGGATGAAAGCCAGGCACAATTCAGCCTAAATACTGAAAAATCAGGCACCTAGCCTCCCCCTCCCCCCCCTTTGCACCTTGGCTTAGTTAGAGCTTCTCGCCTTTGGTAGAATGATCATGACATACCAAAGGGGGGTAGAAGACATGATGGGACCGTTGTACTCATGACTCATTAATGTCCAGATTAGCATTCATAATCAGGTATACTCCGTACAGCTATAGTTTACACGGTAGATAATATCCCCTTTCCCAGCTGCAATCCGATTGGCAATCAACTACATCCAATTTTTAACCAAGGCTACCACGATAGATAAAAGAGGGAAAGCGTAGGCAAAGAAAGCCCGGAAGATCCAACATGTCGATAACTTCGAATACTGGTTATTATGAACCAAGGCAGACAGACGACCAGACTGAAGGGTAACAAACCTTAGAACAGGCCATTAGACTGTCGCAATCAGCCTGGGTGGCAAATCCCATCGGTATGTTTCACTCTCAATCCGGCATTGTAGTCCTTTGTAGGCTGCCATGCTGGGCTGGTATACTTGGAGTAACCCTGTACTTCCCTCCCTGGATCTCCCGGGGTAGAGAGTGACCATAACTCGATTAGGCGAATTAGAATCGGAAACTATATGCAAGTATGTTTAGGATCACGATATAAAACCGGTGTGATAGTGTAGACACTACATGTAATGCCTAGCTGAACAATATATATTATCAAGGAGCCCGGGTGTTTTTATTGCAGGATCCGCAACATGAAGCCCATGATGACGAATTATACGATCTATGGCATGGTTACTTCCCGGAAAGGCCAATTTGATACCTACACAATGATCCATGTCCAGCTGAAGGACAAACCTTGTCACGCCCTTATCTGCACAGGGCGTTTTCTGCCTTGCGCTCGGGCCATTTTAAGCCACAAATGGTTGCCAGGATAATATCTTGCTAGTCATACTCGGTGCTTTTCATGCTGGTTGAATGCTTGTAATTACGTGTAATTTGTTCATGCGAGGATATCATGCAAAACATACTGAGTACATGTAATTCCAGCTGATGTGTGCTCATCTGGCTGAAGCATCGGCCCGACCCACTAGTGGAGACCAATGGCCACATTAGCCAGTCAGACTCGAGTATAGGCAGGGAGGCTCAAGAAGAATTTTTCTGCAACCAAAAAAAAGAAATCTCAGGTTTGGTTTTTAGGAATAGCCGAACGCGGGGGTCGAACCCGCAGCCTTAAGATTAAGAGTCTTACGCTCTACCGATTGAGCTAGCCCGGCTGGGCTGTTGAAAGAGGTTGCAATGATACAATTGATATTGGCACTGCGGTAGGGTTAGCATAGGCCGCCGACCATTATGGTAACAGGGCGTGAATGCACCGAAGGGTATATCTTGATACGAGATATATCATGATCCATGAATAAACAATCCACCGGCGTGTGATGAAACGAGTGTACGATAAAAAAAAACAATCTGGCTTTTCTGAGGTTGTCATGCGCAACCGTAGGCTCAGACCCCTTGAATGAACAATGTGGCTTCCTGGCGTATGAGAGGGTAGGGAAATGATGTTTTGAAGAAACCGTAGCCTGGCCTGCGCGCCAAGCGACGTAAATGAAAAGAGACAGAAAATGACAGAAAGAATCGAAGACAAGGTCGTGATCGAATAGGGACCCTTGGCTTGAGCGCCGGCGGCGCAGCAACGAACAAGAAATTGCGAGCAAGCAGTTTCCAAGGAAGAAGACATCTGTCATCAGTGGCTGGTGCATCGAATCATGGATCAAGGATAGCGCAATTGAGGCTGAGGCCGAGCGGTTATATCACATTGGGATTAGGGGGGGAAACCACTGGATGAGAGCTCATAGTATACCTTGTGGCTTGTGGCTAATTAGGGGCAGTTGAAGCCGGTGAGAATCGTCAAACGTGGGGTCCAAAACATACAATCCAAGGTCGCACATTATTTTTAGATAGTCTGAAACACTTCAGTATTTCCAAATATGGAATACGAGAACAGTACTCGAAGTCCCAGCGAGGTGGTTTAGGGGGTTGTAGTGTTGTCTCGGTAGACGCTCATCGCAATGCGGCGGTTGCGAAAGCCTGTGAGCGCGGGGAATGGGTGGACGTGAACCCTTCGATCAAACACCCCCGTTTGAATGCACTAGCTCCGATTGAATCTCGAGGGTTCTATTTCTGATTGTCAAGTCAAAAGGGTTGCAAATGACGCGAACCCTGAGGCCGGTTCTCAGGGGGGACTAGGGGGGCACGGGACCCTTGTATCCTTGTCACAGCGCAGGAACACGAGAAGAATAAGCCACACGACATTGGAAAGGTGTATGGCATGCGTAATAAAACCACCAAATAAGATAGTTGATGTCATGGGAATAAGGTGAAAATAATAATGCCTTGGAAATGGAGTCGGGGCATCGAAAGGGAGATAGTGGGAATTGAAGTGCATGGTGAAAGTTGACCGCGAATTAGGAGAGTTCGGCCAATCAGGTTGACGACAAGCCAGAATACGGCGGTATTGGAAGCCAAAGGCACAGCCTCACCAGCCACAGTCAATAGAGATAGAGCGGTACAAGAATAGCACTTGCATTTCCCCTATGTTTAGTGTGAGGCGCTAAGTACTGTGGAGGTATTGCAGATCCCTAAGGCTCCAGCAGACACCATACGCTCCAGGCTACAGGGCACGATCTATAACCTGCATAACATCTATATAATAGCCTCCCCCCACCTATTTCCACTAGAATATCTGCTTCGACCTAAACACATTTGACACTGCGCATTCCATTCCATATCCATATTCATTGTCACACTTAGGTTTCACACCCGATCATCTACATACGGTGATCATCTACCATCTTCGCGTGACACCCCCATAAATCAGACACGCTGTCGCCCTACCGCTCAACCTCGTATACCGTCGACCCTTCGACTTTAACTACCAAGGAGAGATCTTCTCGTCCTAGCCTGACACGACGTCTACTTGGACTACGCCGTACCAACACAATGCCTGCCCCCATCGAGATAACAGACCCGCTCATCGTCGTGCGTGATCTCCACGACGACGAGAAGCTGGTGGTCAACGACTTTGAGCGTCACGCCAGCCACTGCGACTCCTGCTCACACGCTGTCCAGACATACAAGGATGGCAATGCACTCTGCGAGTCGGGAAACAAGTACGCCCGCGCTCTCCACAAGTACCTCTACAGCCAAAACGGAAAGCACTACTCTACTGTGGACCTCGAGAGCGGCAAGTCGACGCGGGTGAAGCTGCCTCGGGATGCTTTCCCTACCCGTGAGCTCCTGACAGCTCTCGAGCAAGGTATGCGCATCCGCGAGAAGGCCGTCGTCATCCAGCAGCCCATCCAACCCGTTCAGCACTCTAAGTCCCGGAGCTACGATCAGACCTACCACGTCCCAGCTCGCCAGGTCAGCGGCAAGCAGGTTCGCCCTCGCTCCATGTCCCCCGAGGCCTACCAGGTCATCGAGAGATCCCCGCGCCTTTCTCGCTCCCCGACTTCAATCATGTACCGCTCGCCTGGTGGCTCTCCCGCCCGCCCATCCTCCAGCCGTGGGTCCTTGTACAGCGTCGACCGACTGGAGCGTGTGGAGCGCAACTCTGAGACTCGCCGGTACGTTGAGCGTTCCCCCAAGCACCATTGAGCGCACACCTCACAACGTACCTGGCAACGGATTTCGACTCTGGTTTCTCTGATTACGATCAACCCCCCCCAACCCCCAACCCCCCAACCCCAACCGCTTTGAAGAAGCTTCAATTCAATCGTGATGGTCATTACTTGTCCACACATTTGGACCGCGAGACGGTCTTTGCCTGTAATGTGGAACTACCACATTATGGGCATACCCCTTACCCCAGTCTTTGATGATCTGGATTGATAGGGCCTGCCTGGATGCGCCCTCAGAAATTCACTTTTCTGTTTTCCAGATTTGATTCTCTGACCCGAGTGCACTTCGGGGTCCTGGATTTGCGGGATTTCCCATCCTCGGACCCCGACTTGATTCTGACTCGATTGTTTTTGATTGTTCGAAATTATCTGCAGGCTCGGCCTGGCCCCATCACTGGTGTGCTCCCAGAAGGAACATGCAGATGTGGAGACATTGGCCAATAACAGATGCGGAAATTCGACGATGTTCATGCATGTTTTTGTGTTCAGTTTTACTGCATGCTTTATTGGCTCTTGTTACTGTGACTCATTTTTTTATTGTGGAGAAGCTTGTCTACTCTGATGCTTTTTCCTTATTTTTTTTTTTGCCAATTTTCCTTTGTCTTTGATATGATTGAAATGCGCCCTTTTGGGACAAGGCTGTCAGCCTCACACTCTTTAGTTCCCACTCTCGGGATTAGTTACTTTGCACGTGTTACGATTGAAATATTAAATGTCTCACTGGAAAAACCAATTGTCCTTCAAAAACCAAGTAGGGAATGGCCAAATCCCATGTACTGAACGTCGTGGTATTTGGTAGTTGCTCGGCGGTGGGCTACCCCACGTCAAGTTTCGGCGATCATACCAACACCTTGAGTTCCCACTTTCACTATTTCCACTATTTTTGAGGTTCTTACAAGTTTATACATGACTCACTGCGGGGTTGTGGCTGAGGCAAATGATCTGCCTCAGGCTGCAGTTTTTATCCTATGCTTATATCACCTGTACAAATTCTCCATGCCACGTGAGTTTCTTTGAATATGACGTCGCAGATGATATCAAGAATGTGATGCCTATGCGAGGGAGGAACTAACAAAAACCAGAGTCACCGGCTACACTTTTGGGTTGTTTGTCGACTCCTGATACTATCACTACCTCATGATCAGAAAGAGGCACAGAAATAGAATTTGTTGAGCGAAACACTGTCAATCTATCACTGATAATAGTTTGGCACTTTAAGTCCTTTGAACTCAAATGAAGTGTTCTCCCGACGATTAATCACAGTCTTATGATGAACATCCCGAACCCGAGCTCGCACATACTCAGTCCCCGTGGGAGCAGGCTTGCTTGGACTTTTATCTTCTTCAGTTAGAAGACCAAGACGGCCAAGCAAAGGCGAGGGCACAGTTCTCATCACGGTATGATCACCTGGTCTACAGAAATAGAGCAACCCAAGACGGGAAATATTGATTTGATCCCTCGGAGGTGTGACAACACGATGGATGGTCGATTTGAGGAAGCCTATCATCTTTAATTAGCGAAACACTATCGCGACAACTGATGTGAGTACTTGCCATTGGTAAGGAATGATAGCGTGTCCGCAATATTGCACGTAATCCCACCTTCAACAGACTTAACATATTTCCATTCCCCGTCTGGCGCGCGGATCTGCAAACCAGCAACATGCTGCGAGAAGAGCAAGGTCAAGCTACCAAAGTCCGTGTGACCGCCCTTGGTGTACGCCTGCGCTTTATCCCATTCCTCCTGCGTGCGAGTGTTGTAGATCATGTATCGCAAGTGGTCATCGGAACGCTTGTCATAGGCGTGGGCTTGAACCAGGTGGTCTTCTGGCAATTCCAGAATAATTGCCATCAAGACAAACAGTTTGCGGATAACCTTGTCGAAAAGATCTCGATGGAAGCCGGAAATTTCATCGTAGTTCTGACGGACGATCCTGTGTTTGGGAACATCATCCCATGCAGGAATGGCCTTGGGAATATTCAGCTGCACCAGTTAGCTATATTCAGTCCGTTACGGATATAAGTAAGTTCATACCATTTCTATATTGTCTTTCACACCCGTTTCTCCAATCCATCTTGAGTTTTCACGGTAGCCGAAATACTCACCCTCGGCAAAATTGCATTCGAAGCTTCGCTTTTCTTCAAGATTCTCCTTGAAAAATGCATTTCCGATACTGAATTGGCGCAGAATACGCTCGTCGTCGATTCCATGTCCGACCACTACCCAAAACCCGACTCGTGTCACAGCATCGTATAATTGTTTCGCGAGTTCTTCTTTTCCGCCAGGTTTGTCGAAACGAGAAAGATCGATCTCAACTAGGGGTGCCCAATCAAGCTTCTCACTAGTAGGCGCAGGTCGGCTCCATGACTTGATGGTGATATTTTCGAATGGGGTTTGTTCTTCTATAGCGGAAGGGGCCATATTTGGTTTAGGGCAGCTAGCGACGACGATAAACTAGGAAGGTATTCTAGGCGAGAAGATTGGACTTATATGCCCAAATCCAAACAAACCTCCGATCGGGACCTACAATGTATTCGTGTGAATGGTGAATACTCTGTGCCATACACTTGCTATCAGATGCGGGGTTTATGGTATCATGCTCACCAAGATGGCGTTATATGCAACATCACTAGTTAAACCAAGGTGAACTAAGTTTGGGCTCAATAGAATAGCTTTAGCAATCTGAATTGCGCATCCCGCTTGAATACATAGAACGGGGCCTGAGAGACTGAGTGAGATGCCCGTCGTCTAACCCCCGTTATTTTGACCTATATATTGGTAGCATGGCGGAAGTAGATATTGTAATAGATAGTGCATGTCCACGACCATACATGGAAAATTCATTTTCAGAAATTAAGCCTCTTCATGCTTTCTTTCTACTACCTACCTACCTATGTCGTATAAAACCAAAAAGGGGGAGAATATATCTTTAAAAGGACATCTAAACAGAAAATCGGAGAAGACCACTAAGGAGACATCCCAGCCAACTGTTCTTGTAATAGTGAACAAATATACCCCTATTTAAAGCCTCCGTAAGCCTGAATTTACCAAATACACAGAAAAATCCTCTGTACAATATAAACCTTTCCCCGCCTTTTTCTCCTACCTAGATATAAAACCAGCTTCAACACCAAGAATTCACATGTATACATTAAATATACCGCCTTCGCGAAAATTTAAATAGGAATCAGGTTTCTAAGGCGATACAATAGACTACCTCGAGACATATTATAATTTATAGGGTTATCTCGTATGTAAAATCACATGTCCATGGAGTATTATCTCTGGGTATAGCATTCATTGATTCCCTATAATCATGACATTTTAGACTATGCATACCGCAATCTGAAGGAAGAATGAGCAACAAAGGTTCAATTAAACAAGTTTGTAGATGTTTCCGGAATAGCCACATTTGGGGTTGATATGTCGTGATTCAAACCATCATGGCACCTTGCCCTAACATCCCGTGTCGCCAAGAATGGAGGGGTTCAAGTAACACTTAAGAATAGAGGTGTTACATGAATAACAAGTTGATCTTGCTTATCCGATGAGGCCAAATTACTCAACAATTCATCCTGCATCGAAGGGAGTTCAGAAATCGACCATATGTCGTTGGATAAGCGCGACGAACTGGAAGTAATCACTTCCAGTATACCTCCAACTCCGCCCAATGAGATCAACGGCAAGGATTTGGAGAATGAATATAATGCCAAACTCGAAAAGAAAGTGATGCGAAAGATAGATTTCTGGCTTGTTGGGTTTTACTCGATCGTATATATCTTCCGTGTCATTGATTCCAACAACTACTCCAATGCTGCAATCATCAACCTAGAAGCCGGCACCGGAATCAAGAAGGAACTTAATTTCAACTCCTCGCAATGGGCCTGGACGCAGTCAATATTCTCCTACAGCTACCTCATTTTCGAGCCCACTAACACCATCCTTCTCAAACGCGTCACGCCCTCGAGATGGATGTTTGTCTTGATCTTGTCCTGGGGTATCTGTGCCTGTGCTGCTGGTGCTGCACAGGACTTTCCAGGAATGATGTGTGTGCGGTTTACAATTGGAATGGCCGAAGCCGGGTTCTATCCTTCTGTGCTCTACCACATGGCATTCTGGTACAAGCCATCTGAGCTGCGCTGGAGAATTGCTCTTTTCTACTCTCTTGGTCAGGTATCTGGTGCATTGAGTGGGTTGCTGGCATATGCCATCAGCTTTATGGATGGAGCCGGTGGGCTATCAGGCTGGCGATGGCTATTTGTGATAGAAGGCCTCCCGGCAGTCTTGTTGTCTGTGGTAGCGTTATTCGGTCTACCAGACTATCCCGAGAACGCCCGCATGTTGACCGAAGAGGAGAGGACTTTCCTCAAGGGTCGTCTATCCTCTACAGCACCCTCTGGGAAAGACAAAAGCTGGAGCTGGGGGGACATAAAAGCGCTCCTCTCAAGTCCAACCTTGTATACATTTACGGTCTACTGGATCGGGCATGGCATTGGCGGATTTGGAGTAAATTACGCCTTGCCCACTGTTATCTACGAGCTTGGTTTTACTTCGACGGCTTTGTCACAGCTGATGAATATTGTAAGTTATGCTCAGTCTAAATCACAAGAAATCGCTAACCGGGCTCGTAATCAATAGCCTCCCTACGTCGCATGCTTTTTTTTTCCTGAATACTCTCGGGTATTTACTGCACAAAGGCTGGATCAGACCATGGACCACTGCTGTCGCGAGTAAGAGCCAATCTTCCACGTTGTGTGTGGACTTCCCACTAATAGCAAAAACAGTCGAAAGCACGATAATCATCTGCTATATCATCCTGATTACAGTTCCAAACTCGATTGTCAAATACCTCGCGTTGGTTGTAGCCACCGCTTGTGCCGGATCTGCGTACCCTGTCATCTGGCCAGAACGTATTCGTGCACTCGAAGGCACAGTCGCGGTGGGGATTGGTATTGGGCTTACGAATGCCATGGCTCAGTTTAGCGGCATTGCTGGGCCTCATATATACAGTACGGTGTTTGGACCGACGTATCGAGTATCATACATTATTTGTCTCTGCTTCTTGTGTGCGGCTATCTCGGGAATTCTGGCTTCGTGGTGGCTGATCTGGAGGAAGGATCGGAAGAATGAATTGAACACTGGGCTTGAGGAAGATGCCTGATGATTTGTGTTGTGGTGCCTCAGACATTGACCCCTCAGATAGATCGGGAGCTCGCTCCTTGCTCCCAATACAACTCTCTCCCTCCTCTCTTCTGGGCCTCCGTAGCAGTCCCAACAATTCGGGAGACAAAACCCTTCTATGCTGAGCACTCAGCATTTCCCATTCGACTTTTCAGCTCAAAAGCGCAGCTCTCATCTAGGAAAATGTCCTACCAACTCATCGAAATATTAAACGCTTTTACGTCCCAACTCTCAGACTATAGTCTTAACGTAGCAAAATTTTGTGACGGTGGAGAATGTGCGTTGACATATATGAGCCTTGAATAGTATCCCCAGGAGCATAGCTAAAGCAAATAACCCGTGACCACTTGATCCCAACTATCTCAACTACCTGCTGTCTAGCAAACAAGCTGCCCCCAGCTCTACCTTTAAACACATTCCTCCTCCAACCTTCTCGACCTTTCCATGTCACATCTGTCACACAACCCCTTGATCGTTCGTCTCAGAGCAAGTTGCATATTGAACGCGTGATAATCTCACTCGCTTGGCCCTCCATCCACTCCGACAGCCATGCTTCATGCTGGTCCCATGAATTTCCAGGCCCTCATCCTGTGTGGCCCTGGAAGTTCACTTAACACATTCACATCCAGACCCGAGGAGTATCCAAAGTGCCTCATGCAAGTCGCAAACAGACCCATGGTATTCTATACCATTGACTTTTGCAGACGATCAGGTGTCACGGGTAAGTCTGAATAATCTCGCTGCCACTCTATCTCTCCGGTTGAACCATATCGACTAATTATACCCCAGATATTACATTGATCACCCCCCCACTCTCCTACACTCCACTTCGGGCCGCCTTGGACCAAAACCCGTACCTTACATCATTCTACTCGCCCTCGGTCTCGGTTATCGCACCAAAAGACCTTGAGATAACAATGGGAACCGCCGAGCTGCTCCGCCTCCCCGAAGTTCAAAGATGTATCCGCACTAATTTTCTGCTTCTTCCTTGCGACCTCATCTGTGAAATCCCGGGAGAGTCAATTCTCGAGGCGTGGATGGCCACCCAGTGTGTTGTCAGCGATAGAAACGATTCTAGAGAGGTTCGCTATCCATCCCCTGCAGCCAAATCCCACGTCGATCGTCAGCTCGGAGCTCGATCTGGTGGTCTAGCTGTGTACTACCAGACCGACAACCGAGAGGAAAGCATCCAAGAAGAAGCAACTGATTTCGTAGCCATCGCACCGCTCCAGCATGATGAAGCACCCATCGTGACAGCCCCCAAGGGACCACTAGTCCCACGGTTTAACCTATCCAAACTCGTCATGTCAATGCCGATGGATACAATGAAGGAGAAAATAAAACAAGATAACGGCCTGCTCATTCGGCGTTCTCTCGTCCAGAATTGTCCACGCGTCAGGATGCTCACTACCTTCCGCGACGCCCATGTTTACGTCTTCCCCTACTGGATCAAAGATCTACTCCGCTACCAAAGTAGACTGGAATCCGTTAGCGAGGATCTGGTAGGCACATGGGCCAAGTCAGGATGGCAAAGAGGTCTCGGCGAAAAGCTAGGGCTGACCATGAACTTCGACAAAGACACCACCGAGCAGGAATATTCCAGTCCCAAAAGTAGTCCTACTGGCGCATTCGTCGACAAACCAATCGATCTCCGAGAAATGAGCACTACCAGAACTCGCTTGTGCGCAAAAGTGCAGCTAGATGGGGTTTTCCAATCCGCTGCTACTGAGCTGCCACAAATCCTAGCATATGTCCACCGAGGCTCAGCCCCGTTCATCCGACGAGTCGATAACACAGGCGTTCTTCTTTCAACCTCCCTTTTGCTAGCAAAACTGCCATCCATTGAGGAAGTGGGCCGCAAGGCAGCGTCACCTCTCGCACATGCTCATAAAGTTGCCTACCCCGAGGGCGTGGCTTCGCCCAGCAATGTTACAAAGAAAGATTGTCTGCTCGGTGAGAATGTGATTGTTGAGTCGGCTGCCGTTATCAAGGAGAGTGTGATCGGTGCAAACTGCCAGATTGGTATCTCCGCGCGCATCATTCGTTGTGTTTTGATGGAGGGCGTCGTCATTGAGTCCAGGGCTCAATTGACCGGGTGCGTGATTGGTCGGCGAGCTCAGATTGGTCACGAATCTGTGCTGAAGGGGTGTGAGGTCCAGGATGCTAATGTAATCCCAAAGGAAACAAATGCTAGGGATGAGAAGTTCATGGTTTCCGAGACTTTGTGTGTCTAAAAGGGTGGTATGATGGATGGCCGACCGGTTATCTATTTCATGTCAACTGGTGTGTCTGTTAACGAGAAGAAATTTTAGTTGAGAAAACAACAGAAAAATAAAAAGGACTTCATGATCAAAACATGTGTCTTCCCGAATTGTGGGTTTACCTTTTATAAGATAACTTAAGTACATAACAACAAGAGGTATTTCAATCAACGTCCGCTGGCTTTGCACAGTATAGAACAACACTACCAAAATTATATTTCGTTTCAAGCCTTTGTACGAATCAACTCGCCCTAATTGCCAAGACAATAGTTTTTCCTACACTGTAATATATCTCGTGTACCTTTCTACGCTCTCCGAACTGTACCGGATAGCGACGGTCATTCCCTAACCCTTCTAGTCAACTAGCGTATAAGCTGATTTGTTACCATAGGAGCCTCACCAATACAACACGGGCAAGTATACGCAAGCATGTTAAAGTGCCGAATATCTGGATACAGAACTATGGAATACAGAGGAATTATATACAATATGACAATCTGCATGTAAAACACATGTAAAATCAAGGGGAATTGGATCATGGGGGTCAGCATTGACTCGCGTGGTAACCTGCATATGGGGCCAGTTGACAATGTGATATTGAAAGATAGGTGCTGTAATATATCTGGCATACATAACGGGATCCTGCATCTGGACAGGACCAATGCCGCAAGGTATTAATTGTCTAACAATATTCAACCCAGGTATCGAGGTTCATGTTCTTGATGACAGTCGAAAACTTGTTGGTGTTGGCTGCATTGCAGGCCGATGTCTTCAGCTTGGAGGAGAGAATGCCTCTGGTGCGGCGAACCTTGTAGCAACCGTGTCCACATAGGTGTTTTTCCTTGGTGTCATCGGCATTGATGTCAGCACAAGTGTCAGTGCTAGTGCCGGTTGAACAACTGACGCTGCTAGAATTGGTGGTATCTGCATCTGTGCTAGCTGTAGGGACAGTTTCAGTTGCCGTAGCCTCGCTACCAATGGGTGTCTTGATAGCGGGACTTGAAGTATCATCAGAGACTTTGAGGTCAAGATACTCAATTGGGGCAGCGAGGCTGGCTGAAGTATTGTCAGAGCCTGAAGTGGTGCCAGTGGTACCCTCTTTCGGGTCAACGTATTCAAGGGGCCCAGCCTGGTTAAGAGTGGTATCATCGGAGCCCTCAGGCGCAATGCTATCACCAGCAGTGCCGCTGCTGCCGGTGGGGGCCTCGGTGGTTGCACCAGTAGTACCCTCTTTCGGGTCAACGTATTCAAGGGGCCCAGCCTGGTTAAGAGTGGTATCGTCGGAGCCCTCAGGCGCAATGCTATCACCAGCAGTGCCGCTGCTGCCAGTGGGGGCCTCGGTGGTTGCACCAGTAGTACCCTCCTTGGGGTCAACGCTGCTGCTGGTGGTAGTACCCTCCTTGGGGTCAGCCTCGCCGCTGCCGGTGATATTATCGGAGCCCTCAGGCGCAACACTATCACCAGTCGTGCCGCCGTTGCCAGTGGGGGCCTCGGTGGTTGCGCCAGTAGTATCCTCTTTGGGGCTGACGTCGCCGCTGCCGGTGGTAGTACCATCCTTGGGGTCAACGCCGTTGCCAGTGGGGGCCTCGGTGGTTGCGCCAGTAGTATCCTCCTTGGGGCTGACATCGCCGCTGCCGGTGGTAGTACCATCCTTGGGGTCAACGCTGCTACCGGTGGGGGCCTCAGTGGTTGCGCCAGTAGCACCATCCTTCGGGTCAATGTATTCAAGGGGGCCAGCCTGGTTAAGGGTGGCGTCATCGGAGCCCTCCGGTGCAGTACTGTCAGCAACGGTACCCCCGCTACCGGTGGGAGCCTCGCTAGTTAGGCCAGTAGTATCATCATAGTCCCGAGTCGCAAGAGACTCCCCGGAATATTCAATATGGAAAACAGGCTTATTGACTTCGGTGAATGCAGCATAGACTTCACACTCATTATACTCCGCACACTGCTCATTGATCGACCACTGCATTATATCAATAACGGAGCCGATTATATCACCTCCATTCTTCAACCCGATAGCCATGCCACGGGAATGCGACTCCTTCGCTAGGAAAGTCAAAAAATCAATTGAGTCCGCTTCAGTCAACCCAAGGCCATTCTCATTTCCATATGCATCGATATTGTCCGGGTCAACACCGTCGCAACCTTTATCCTTTGCAATATCTAGCCGCAAGCTCATAATCGCGCGGACCTTGTCTGACGTGATATCGAGCCATCGCTCGCCTGGCCATTCATCGAGGTTGCTGCCAAAGTCTTCGGGATCGAACTTGTTAATATCGGGGCGCCAGTCCTCGTACGTGCCGGCCGAGAAGTAGCAAATAACCTTGTGGCCATTGTCCTTGAGAGTGGTGATTGTTTCAGCGGTGTTCTCGAAGAGGTCGATGTCCCAGATGTCGGCATCGACGGTGGTGTCTTCGATGGGGTCCACAAGTTGGATTTGCCATTTGACTCCCGCTTCTGGTTGCCAGATATCGGTATCGTCAGTACTAGTGGTGTCGCGCTTGGACATCTTCTGGTTGTGTCCAGATCCGGATTCTCCTCGGAGGTTCATCCCAATGGCAAGGAAAAAGAGACCCAGGACGCAGGATACCAGGAGGTTTCTCTTTGTTAGGACATGCCGGCCCGAAGGCTGGGAAGAGTTCATCATTTTGGGTGAAATTGTTTCGAGTTGGAAGGAACGTGAGAAATGAATGTATTTGTAGAAAGGAATGTATTTGTAGGAAAGAATGGATAGACAACTTGACTCCAGCAAGTGTCTGAAAAATGAGAGACTGAAGAATTGTGAAGGCAGAATAGGGGACTTCATGGGTGTCCGGGGCTTATAGTCTGAAATATGCCGCTGAGATGTTGGGACATACCCTGCATCAAGCCGTTTCAGGTTTCCACATACTGAACCATATGAGGAGTAATAAGCTGACCGAGCCACTAGTGGGGGACTTTAAACGAAGCCAAGCATAATGAGCCCCCTGTGCTAGTAAAAGTGATAGCTTCGACCAAATGGGAGGAGAGTCAGTCCGGAAGAGTATGGGACAATGAAACCATTGCCAAGAAACGCCTCGCGGTAGATGTCTCTCGTTCATTTGTGGACATTTTGCTTAGACTCTTGCCAATCCGACTTAATTGATCCAGCCTCAGACGCACTTATTTAGCATCAGTATGATTGGAGGGTTGGGTTCGTACATGTTTAATTAGACACTTGAGATCTATGAGATTTATAAAGCGTGTCAGCCTGATCCTCAATTTCCTTCCCAGAAAATGAACTTGAGAATAGAGAATCGAATATAATTATTTCTAGGAGATCGTACTTCGTACTGCGTAGAAATACCTGAGCACAATAGCGTCACGCCTCAATAAAGTTGGGCCAATTATATACATTCATCCCTCAGCCACATGGCTTCTGGCTCTTTTAAATATCCCCGGTGGTTCTTGGCACATTTGCTAAGGGCGCGTACCTCAGGTCTCACCGGATTTCTCCATTCTATGTTCATTTCTAAAGATCTGTAAAGATCTGTGTGTAGATAATTCTAGAAGTAGTCGAATTATGTGTAGAGTTGAACAATGGTATACAAATCTTCATTCTCGAGCATATCCATACATCCGTTCGTATCCGTCTATTTATTTCGTGCCAGACCAATTTAACGTGCATCCTACCCCTGCAACTAGACTATTGGCCATCATACACCTCTGGAGGTTATAACCATACCCCGTACTTCCTCTCAAACGGCCCATGTACCATCTCCCTCATTGTACCACTCTCACCCAGGTACACCTATACCCATCTTCCCAATTTCTGCACCAAGAGCCCAACAGCATCCTCAAACGTCGCAGGCATTTGCACTTACCAAATATTAAACCCATCCAAATCGGTCACTCAGACCCCTTCCAAAAGTCCACAACGGTGCTCACAGACCCAGCAGGAACAGGCCTAGCTAAACCAATCGATTTATGCTTCCCGATATTCCTTGGCCATTCAGGCACATCGGGACTCTGATAGGAGAGTGTATTAATGATGGGGCGAACACGGGCGCTAGCATGGACATTTGACGGCGTAATAAGCCTAGATTAGTCCGGCTAAGACCGATACCGCTTCCACCGGAAAATAACGCCTGACCTATTTCTTCGCTGTATTTTAGCTTGGCTGTGGCATGATATGGTTCTCTATTGGTATGCCATAGGCAGAGGACCAACCTGTTTTGAAAGTTGGCTTCTTCCATATGCCTATTTGCTTTTGTCAAGTATCTACACGCTTCGACATCGAGTATGTGTACCTCACAAGTACGTTGCGAGAATAATACACTGACAAGTAACTAATGCGTATATTTCTATCATGAAATATCTTCTCAATCTTTTACAGAATATCATAGCCGTCCTGTGGTGGCGGATGTCTGCGGTTCCATGTTGTCGCTCAAATCGTCCCCACATTCTCTTCCTCTTCTGTTTCGCCTTCATTGTCGTCTTCAGTGTCGTCTTCCGTTCATCTGCTCCCCTGGAACCACTACGAATCATTTGTCTTTTAGCTCCTTAAAGCGTCAATTTTCCTGGCCATCCTCCAACTTATGCAATGATTCTTTGATTACATGTAAGCGTGCGGTGAGTCCCAGTTCGGCCCACAGCCCCATATGATCCCCTTCTGACACCACGAAGAATAATCCGGCAGCCCAATATTCCGATGACTGCGGTTCTGTGTCGGAGGTAAACAAAGGGTTTTCATACATGGAGTTGTTCCTTTGCGTACATGCTCACGCCAGTGGGAGTAGGAACGTACGTCTCGAATGTCTTTTCTGCCTCAAACATACCCCGGCCAAATGCCTCCCGGTAGAAGCGTAGACCAGGAGTCGTACCCTGTATCCAGTGCACCGGATTTATCCGGGGCTTTCCTATTTAATCTGTCGCCTGTCGCCTCGGACTTCTGCGTTACAAACGCGTCGGACCAATCTGAAACCTCTCCTCCCGGTCAGGCTGACTACCATTACACAAAAAACAGTAAAGTCCCATGAAAAGAAAATCAAGATAATGTGACAGCAAAAATTCATATTGCTTCACTACACTCTCATAACAATCTTTCCGTGGCCAGATGCTTTTATGCTGGCTTTCTCATAGGCCTCCCGCGCCTGCGTCAGTTCGTACGTCTCCACCACAAATGATTTCAAATAGCCCGCCTCTGCTAAGTTCGCTAAGTCTCCGAGAGCTCGACTGTCGCTGCTGACGATGAAAAACAACGCCTTGACGTTTTCTTTCCCATCACAAAATCCACGTTGTCTATGAATGTTGACAAAATCGAAGCTAGATGAGTCAACTGATATGAGCACACCACTTTTGGAAACCATTTTCCAGCAGTTAGCGAGGATCTCGCCTCCAACGGTGTCAATTATGACATCAAAAGCTTCAGATTGCAGATGTGTATATTCGACGGTGTCATGGGCGCCAAGAGACTTGAGAAAAGACTCGTTCCGCGCATTTGAGCTTGTGGCGGCAACGACGTACAATCCAGCCGCGGCAGCTAGCTGGACAAGGTATATTCCAACCCCACCAGAAGCTCCGGTGACAAGTATTTTCTGACCATTTGCAAGATGCCTTTCGTCGCCATTAGGTTGGACTGGGAGGGGGATCCCACCATGCTTGAATAAAGCCTGGTATGCTGTCAAGGCGCTGAGAGGCAAAGAAGCAGCCTGCTCCCAGTTCAAGTTCTTAGGCTTTTGTGCAATTTCCTCTTCCTTGACAACAGTATAATCAGCCCAGGCCGATCCTCGATCTGCATGTGTCATTCCGAAGATCTCATCTCCAGACTTGAATATGGACTGAACGTCGCCAGGATTTTTATAGGTTTCCTCCACAATCCCGGATAAGTCGTGGCCTGGAATGGCGTACTCAGTCGCATATGTTTCTGGCCATGTCAACTCATCACGAATAACGGTGGTTGCCTTGACTCTGACTAGTAGTTCCCCTTGACATTTTGGTTTAGGTTGAGGAATTTGGTCAAGGTGAAGCGAGGAGGAAGGGGCTGGATTGGCAGGAGAATAAGGCAAAGAAGATACGGAAGCTGGGTGGACCCGAATAGCGCGCATAATTTATGAAGGAACCAGTATAGACAAAGCTACAGAGAAGGAAATATGTAAAGAAGTGCCAAAGAGAGTTCCCTAGCGACTGGATTTATATGTCTGTTTTAATGGGGATCCCCGCCTATTCGTCATTTTCATCCAATAGCAAGACACGAGAAAGCTTTGTAATGTCTAGGTATAGCCCATACAACCTCCAGTCTTTTTTATTGATTATCTGTCGGATTTCATAGTCCAGAACTTAGCTTCCTCAATGACTCAATGCATATTTTCACATTGCATGCATTTCGATGTCCATTCCGACTCCAAATAGAAAGGATTGTAGTTAAACAGAAGACATGATTTATGAAAATCACAGTGTGTTTATAGCCTGTTTTTGAGCCTTGAATTTGAACAAATGTAATATTTAAATATATGAAGTTACAATAATATAGGGACCTGCGGAATCGACACCGAAAATGACAGCCTCTGGCGCCAGAAACGGCCACCTTTCCCGTAACTTTAGATAGTCGCTTGAACCCCGATTCCGCACTCAGTACTGGTCATCCTCGTCCTGCCCAGGTGTTGTTGACGCTTAACTTCAACGATTGTTCCCCCCGTTTCTACTAGCGACTAAAACGACGCTCAAAATGCCCCCCCTCTGCATTTTGACCCAGACCCCCGTCCTTTTTTAGGAATACACTCAAGGCTTTTTGAAGACTATTGCAACTATTTGTAGGCTTGGTCGCGGAGCTCCCCACCTAGATCACGCGATCATGGAAGAGAAAGGAGCGGCTCTGAGAACGAGAATTTGTTTCACTACAGACGAGTATATGGACGGTCTGGTACAGGTTTCAGAGCTACAATTGACAAGGCTGAGTTTGACCTGGACACAAATGATCATCTACCAGGGGAAATTGGTGTTGGGCCTGAAAAGGGTAGGGAGGAAAAGGATCTGACTCCACAGTATTAACACTATAAATACCACTAGCAATAATGAAGCTATGATCTAATCAAAGTAACGAGCCGTGTATCCACCATCTACGGGTAAGCATACTCCTGTTACCCAGCTTGCATCGTAACTTGCCAGCACCAAGGCCACCTTAGCGACTTGTTCCAGCTAGCTAGGTCTATTTAACGGATGGCAGCGGTTACGGTCTTCCTATGGAGTAAGATTCGTGGTCGTTTCTAGGAAATTAGCAGTCTAGGTAACTACAAAGCTGTTGAATATGGTCTAAAAACAAAAACAAAGGCAATATAGAACATACTAGACCTGGAAGTGACCTTCCGGGTGGTCCATGACCTTAGAACCTCCACCCGATCCTGACTTAGGCTTCCGCAGAGCCCACAAAGCCCAAAGCCCAACCCACGAATGGGCTGGGATTTAGACCCGGCTCTTAGGCCCACGATAGGGCGCACCGACATACACGTCTCACCACTCCGAATATTTCTATCTCTTCAAACATTGAATTCAGTAGGAAGACCTGACTTTTCAGAGGAATACCGCACTAGAGGGCCAGGTAGAGTACTGAAGTCACTGTCAACCATTTCTACTTTTTATTATTGAAGGAATTTTCAAAATCACTGACAATGACCAATTATCTACAGGGATCCATCCGGTGCTCACTTCCTAGGTTCAATTACAGGCTGCTCGTAGATATTGCCAGGTGCCCTTAAGTTCTGGCAAGGGCCAACCTTCACTTTGGTCCATGTATAGCGACTGAAGTCGTGAATTATAGTTGTAGCTTATACTTCATTTGCAAAAGGGGTTCCCCATTAGTGGCCTGTTCTTGGCTTTCAGCTCGCGGTTATACAAAAATGGCGATAGTAAGCGCAAGTCTCCGACCATTTATGCAGTTACCGCGTATGTAGCCATCTACAAACCCCAGGGCCTAATAGTAAAGGATGATCATTGCTTTGTTACGCGGTAATCGGGGAATCCGCACTTGCATGTTAAAACCCGTTTACCGAAGGAACGACGCGCTAATGCTAATTCCAATGCCAAACCCGCTAAAGTGTCTATAGATCAAGGGAACAGGAAGGACAAGCCGAGGAATCCTTTACTCCATATGCAAGTATGCAAGTCTTATTCTCACTCTTCGTACGAGGTGCTCCGTGTATAACCTAACACACATTATCCATAGCTATCGAGCCCTCCATATCTCCACTGTCTAAGCTATGTTTTCCCTTGGATCAAATCCCACATGGTTATCTGGCTTCAATTATTCAGCGGCACACTTTCCACTCTTGCAAATCAAGTTATCAGAGCAGTCATTCTCATCGGAGCAAGAGGCACCTAGAAACTTGATTAGTAACCATGAAGAAATAGGAGAAGAAGAAATCTTACCGGCACAGTGTCCCACCCATGAGCAAGTACCTCCAGTAGGGGTGGTGCTAGAGGTAGTTGTGGTCTTCAATGTGGTTGTGGTAGAGCCACCACCTCCACTCAGGTTGAGGTTCTTCGCAAGAGCGGTCATGAGCTTGTCACCCATAGAGCGCAGTGTGGTGAAGTTGGTGATGTAGTTCTTGGTGAGAGCACTGCTGGGGAGGATCGAGTTGGCACCAGTGAAGAGGATGTCTTATTGGATTAGTAGCTGTCGGACTAAAGTCGTAGATTTTCCAAACTTACAGGTAACATCAGCCTCTACGTGGCCGTTGTTTCCATTCAGATCATCATCGGGGAAGCAGGTACGGGCCATCAACCATGAGGCCTCGCCGATAACCTCGGGGTCATCGCCATCGGTGTCTCCAAAGATACCGTAGAACATCTTTCCACCACTAACTTTGAGTTAGAACAGGACAGGGCTAGAACATTAAAAGGGGGAAACCATACCAGATAACCGCACCGATGTTGTTTCCCTCAAGAGCCGTCTCGTAGGCTCCTGCAAACGTGTCGGGAATCACAATGAACGGCACTTCATAGGCAGCCAAAGCACCGAAGTTGGTCTCCGGCAGGCCATCGGGGTTTCCCTGCACTGGGTTAGTAATAAGATCTCAGACAGACGGTGACAGTCAACATACCACACACTTGTAGTCAAGGCCGTCGCAGTCGACATCCATATCCGCGGTCCAAACAAATGCCGCGCCCTATCATTGATTAACATGTGAATCTTGCAACTAGCTACTGGTGAGAATATATACCTCGCTAAATTTGGACCAGTCGCTGTGGATGGTCACTTTCTTAGCTCCGCTATCGCTGCTGATGGGATAGGTTCCTTTATTTGCGGCAGTGGTAGCCTTCGCAGCAGCGCTCTTCAAGGCAGCCACGGGGATAGACGAGCCAGCGGCGAAATAGCTTCCTGGGGGACCAGCGTTAGGCTTGTTGAACTCGGGGCCATCCACGGTTTGGGCCAATCCTGTGCCCAACAAGGCAAAAAGGGCAAAGGGAATTGTGCGAGTGTAGGTCATCATGACTGCGGTAGAAAAGAATGTGAAAAAGATGATTCTTGCTTCTCAGGGCCGGGGGCAAGTGGTCCTTTATCAACACTTCTGGATCCTGAGACATCAAGCAATTAGACTAGTAGATACCACTCCGGCGAACCGAACGGCGAATTGCCATCGAATGACTTTTCTTTTACATAGTTCATATCACCTCGTCAGCTTCGGTTATGCAGTCGATCCTTCAGCTCTGCAAAGGGTGAGACATACTAACTCAGAAGAGCCGAAATACTACGTTATTCAGCCACAATAGCTGTACTTGGACATTACTAAGACCAGTTTGGGATTATAGGGAGGGCCTCAGGTGATTTGTGCCTGGATGGCCGGGATTACTGCGGGGGAAAGAGTTTCAGGGCCTGCACAGCGTCACATCGGCAAGACGGTGGTGTAAAAACGACCTTGCAGACCTAACTAGAACTTTCTTAGTTGCAGATACTAAGTATATTAATTATCAAGGCGCTGGTGCCGGCCTACTCCGGATTAAGAAATTTGGGAATTTCTTGGAAAGATCGGCAACCCCAACTCAGTTCGCACATTTGGGGACATCCACAGCTGACAAGGCAACCAATAATCAATATCCTACTGATCATCCACGCTTCTGTTAAAGCTTATACTGAATTGACGATCAGTAGATGACCGAAAAGAGTAATTGCTATGTCGGAAGAAAATCCAAGAACTTGCGAGGGCGTGGTAGGTGCTGGCCCATCGATAGGCTCAGGGGGTATATAAATAGCGAAGCCTTTGGTGATCCTTATTAAAGCTTCAATTATTAGATTAATCCTGCGCCCCGCCAGATTGCAAATAGTGGAAGGATCATGTATCTTTTGTATACCAATTCTAGTTATAAGGTCCATGAACACATAAGCCCAAATCTCGAGCTAGCTAAAGAGGGAAAAAAAAACAAAGCAATAATGTAAGACTGGCTCAATCGACGAAAATTAATTCTAAAATATAATACAGAAGTGTAAAGCGGACTTTGGAAAAGTGAAGATTCTCTTACTTCAAGCATAGTGGATTGCCCAAGGTAGATAACACGTGGTTGAGATGCTCTTTACAATATATCTTCCTGAAAATAGAGAATAGATAGACTATATATACTGCAATGTTTATGTACCTTTTATATGGAGTTACCATACAAAAGAAACCTTTGTAATCTTCACATTGTTATCCCGCGGGTCCACTCACAATAGGTAAATGGTCCCGAGCATAGCACGATTAATCCATGTACTTATGCTTAGTAAGTTCAAAATAATTCCGTGTGAGTTGAATCCCGGCCAAAAATGACTAAGCATGTACCACGTGACCTACGGGAAACGCTCAACTCCAACCTCGAAATTGTTTCGGAGAGCCAACTCGACCAAGCACCCCCGAGACGCCGCCCAAGATGGCCAAGAAAGGTATGTGGGACGAATAAACTCGAACTTTCAATCGCACGATGCACCCGCCCCTCCGCCCCTCAATTGGGACGCGAAACGGGGCGATGGGCAGCGAAAACCGAGAACCCCCGGATTCATTTGCGGCCGAGGGCTAACATTGTCTTTTTCCCCAACACAGCGAAGTCCCGTACCATTGCCGTCCGGCTGATCTCCATGGCCATGACGGGTTATTACCGCACGATGATCCGGCCCCGTGTACACCGTCCTCTGAGCATGATGAAGTACGACCCTGTCGTTAAGAAGCAGGTGCTTTTCCTTGAGGCGACCAAGGGTGGAAAGAACAAATAAGCTATTCCATTCGGGACCATTTTTCTTCAATTCGATTGTTGTGCGCCTTGAGAGAGATATCCGCCTTTCCACCGCGATGCCGACTGATTTCGATATCTTATTTTCCTCCAATCTAACTTCGCCTCTTGCGTTCGTTGCAATCGCCATTCCGATACCTTGAACGATATCTCGTACTTTTGTGCGGATCTAGGGCAATGCGATAAGGGTGTCAGGGGACCAACCCCCTGTATGTACATTATTTTACTGGATGCAACCGGGAAATTGTGATTTCCCCGGTTTCCCCGGTTTTTCGGATATTCTGCGGTAAACCTCCTTTTGTTGGAGCATTGTGTTTGGCGTTAAGAGCAATACAGCTTTGGGTACCTCAATAAAACTAAAATAAATATCCCACATTCCACTTATCGCCTTCCGAAGCATGAGCCCTGGTCGTGGGCTTTTCTCATATCCATCCATTCATGACAACGACTGATTTTTATAAATCAATATTTCAATATCCATGACTTGGCGCACGCGCCTTGATTTTGATAGAATAATGAGAATTTGCGCAACATGATCAAAGTATAAGAATGCAGGAATGGCCTCTCAGGGCCACCTCAAGTTGAACAGCTCAGCCGGCATCTTGGCTGAAGCGCTCATTATAGCGATCTCCTTCCAACCGTCAGCTGGGGCGCCTTGATAATGCATCAAGCATCTTACCTCGAGTGCGGCGCTTACCGCGGCCTCGCGTAATGCTGGCTTGGCCGGCTGTGTTTCCCCTACTGTTACCTGAAGCCAAGCCCTTCGGACTCAGTCGTCGTTCTCGGCCATCGGCTGAATTTCGAGGTCTTTTTGGTGGCCTTGGGTTCGCGTGTGAAGATTGATCAGTCTTATCTATTGAGCCCTGCTGAGACCTCCCCACCAAAGGTTTGGTGGCAGGCTGCACCTCTGTAGTCATTTCAATCGAAGTTTCCTCCTGTGCCACAGACTGGCGAAGACGGCTGTAAGTCCGTTTCTGCGTCCTCTTGGCTTCCTTGGTTTCAGACTCTCTTCCAGAGCTGTTGTCCGTTGCGTCTGACATTCGTCTGGCTTTACCAACCTCTGTTTTGGTGAAAACCCGCGTCCCCTCGAAGCTGACTACTTTACGCTTGGTGTTGGGCTGTTCGTTACTGGCAGACTTGTCAACAAGCGAACTGTTAATATTTCCAAGAGCGGACTGGGGTCTTTCGCTTATGCTGTCATCGGCGCTGGGAGGTTGCATCCCGAGAACCGGGTTAACTTGATTGGGATCTTGATTCATTTTCAGAGACTCAACTGGAACCTTTTGCTGTTCTTGGGATTTCTTGGGGGCATCATCTGGCATCGAAGCTCCTTGGAGATCTGGAGTTGACATAAAGAGCATTTCGAGCTCAGCTGGGTCATTAAAAAGTGACATGCTATTTTCCCGCGACAGTCTGTCATGGAGACTTGAAAAGGGAACGATATGACCGTGACCAGCAGGGAATTTCGGCAGAGAGTCAACACAATCGCCGTGTTTCAAAGCCTTCGGGGGGCTAAAAGTATTTGGCGCTAGAGGTCCATCTGTCTGCATGTTTCCAGCAGGCTTGCGAGCCACATTGTTTGATTGTTTATTTTCCAAGAGATCATCGTTTCTGGCCCCTCTTGGCTCCAGTGCCAGATTGATACCTTCAGTCCCCTCCATATTCCCCGTGCCGTGAAGCTTGGTGCAAGACGTATCGCCAGTGGTGGACGGCCGAGCAAGCGAGGACTGAATGATGTCTTCCAGTTTCTGCCATGTCTGCTCGAAAGGCTCATCAGGATGTACCTCGATCACCTTCGCAAACCCTTCTCTTATTGTCGCTTGCCAACTTTCAGCCTCTTGAGCCCGGCGGAGGAGTGAAATTATCTCAGCGTCAGCCTCCTCCCCAACCTTCTCCAAAGCCGATGACCGTGATCTGAGCATGGCGAGGTTTTCTTTCATTGCTGCAAGCTCTTCAGTCTTTTGGGCCGTTTCTAGCTCAAGTACGTCGGCCCTCTTTTCTGCTTCCCGCGCCGCTTTCTCTTTCAGTGTTACAGACTCGGTCTTCAGCCCCAGGTTCGCTTCGAGTTCGATTGTCTTTCCGTTTGCTTGCTGAAGCTGTTCGCGGAGCCTCTCCCTTTCCGCGAAGAGAGTGGCTTCGGAGCTTTTCAGTAATTGTGATTGGGCCTCATTGGCCTTGGCCTCTGTGATGTGTTTTGAGCAAGAGACATTTAGCTCCTCAATTCGTTTCTGTGATTCCTGGTGCTGCTTTTATCAGTAAAACACCTCAAGACTATGCTCCGCATTGCTTACCATGGAAACCTTTTCCAGTCGCTCGTCCTCGGCTTTCTTTTCGGTCTCGGTCTCCATACTGTTAGCGAACCACTGCCTCATCAGGCACGGTCGGGCTTACCAAAGATCTTTGGACATTTGCAAGCTGCGCCTGAAGGTTACTGAAGTCTCTTCCTAGCTTCGAATTTTCTGTCTCAAGACCTTGGATTTGTTCTTCCAATTTAGCTTTGATCTGACCCTGCACTTTGATGCTTGCGGCGTGCAACTCTTCTCGGATTCTTTGCTCGAGCAATTGAAGCTCGCCTTGCAAGGCGGTCTTCTCAATTTCCAAGCGGGCATTTTGACTTTTCGATGCTTGCTCATTAGTAACAGCTCCAGTCAAAGCATGCTGAAGATGTTGATTCTCAGATGATTTGCTGGCAAGGTGCTTTCGAAGAGATTCAACCTCAAGCGAGATTTCTTGTAGTTGAAGTTGCAACTGCGTGTTCTCATCGAATTTCTTAGAAATTTCTATCTCCAGAATAGGGTTTCCTGCCGGGATTCGAGCTTCGGAAAGCTTCTGGCTGAACGTTTCTAACCCGCGGACAAGGTCTGTTTCTGTTGTTCCCACGGCCTTGATAGAAGCGTCAAGGCCATCGAGCATTGGCTGAACAATCTGAAGCTGTTGTTGCAAATTTCCGTAGCAACTCTCGCTATTAGCAAGTTGTTTGAAAATCGACGAATACGGACCGAGATTGCCTTCGATTGTTTGAAGGGCTTCTTTAAGGGCTTGAAACACATTTTTGCTCATTTCTGTGCTTCGGTCAACGTTACTTGTGACCTGACCAGCCAGGGAGTTGAAACTAGAAACAAAGTCAGTCTACGACATGTGTTGTTCCTTTGCCACACTTCCACAAGACTTACCGAGATGTTACCTCCTGAACACTGTTGGTGAAGGCTTGAACATTTATGGATTCGGCAGAGCACTGTTCTTTCAACCCCTGAACCGAAGCGAGACAATGCTCAAGCGCAGGACTCAGTTTTGACAGGATATTGTCCTGGGATTTGACCCAAGATGTGGTAAACAACTTGCAAGCAGAGTCAACTTTTTCGGTCATCCTGCGCTGATCGTTTCTGACCAGGCCTAAATATCGTGACTGGCTCTGACACTCATTTTGGATGTAGGCCTCTAGAGTCACGATTCGCTTGTTCTCATTTGATAGCTGCGTCTTGATCAAATCACCTCTTTTCTCTGAATGGTCTAAGGCTTCCCTCAAACTGGCAACCGTTCCCTCGGAAATTAAAAGTCTTTCGCGTTGATCCCGAATTACTTCTTCATTGGTCGAAACTTTCAATTTGATCTCATTCAAACTGTGTTGGATCTCGATTTTCTCTCGATTAAGAGACATAGTTGCATCTTTCAATTCTTTGGCTTGCTCCCGGACTGCGCCATATTCACGGCCAAGTTCGTTGAGGACACCTTTGAATGTGCCGAGTTTCGCCTTCCACTTGTCTATTTGTGCGCGCTGAGATCTTGATTCAGATGATGTTTTGGCGAGCTGTCCTTGGCATTTCATGAGACGGTCCTGCAAATTAAGATTATCTTCCTTCAAGCCCATGTTCTCATTCGTGATTTGCCGCTGAGCAACTGTAGCTGCTTGCTCGCTTTCCTCTCGGTGTCTCATTTTCGTGATGAGAAGCTCAAATAGATCATTCTCACTGAGCTGAACACCGCTCTTGCCGCCAACGGGCGGTGCCTGTTGATTCGAAGATGTTTCCTTCTCGACACGACGTCGCGGTGGCACCCTAAGCTGATTATGGACAAGCTTGAGAGGTGCGCGAGAGCATGGGTTCTCCTGGATTTCTTGCCTCTCCCCGTGAAGCCGTTGTACCTGGATTGTCTCGAGCAAGGCAGATTCAGGTTCATCCGTCCTGTCAAAGTCGACAACACGCTCTTGACCCAGGTCAACAGCCCTTCCCGTAGGCCCAATAGTCTCTCTGTGGATATCAATCCCGGTGGGTTTGTTTGGCTGGCAAATTATTACTTCTTGCCTTTGTAGGAAACTTGGTTTACCCTCACCCGGTGCAGAGCGACTGCCGCTGTTTTTGTTGGGTTTAGGTGCTGTTGAGCCTCGGCTTGGTGGCTGAGAAATCACAGGTTGTCCCGCGGGGATTGATGCCTTGGGGGTTCCTTCTTTCTCGCCGCTGCGATGATTGAGAGGACTGACACCAAGAGAGCATATTAGTTCATTGTGAACAGTGGTGTCATCTGAGATCAGCCTGGGTCATCTACATACGTGTCTGGCCTGGCTGGTTGATGGTTGCGACTTGCCTCCTCTCCCATCGGTTCCATTGAAAGTCGGGCATTATCAATTGAAGGATGGGGGATGGGTGCCTGCTTGGTCATGTTTCGCGAGTACAAGGGCTTGTGTGAGGCGGGCTTGCTGAAGGAGAAATCTAGAACATCAATGCCGGAACTCTCTGGGTGCTGTAGCAGCGGCCGAGGCTTTTCAGAGCTCTCCATAATGAAATTTGATTGGGAGTGATGGAGAAAGTAGGAAAGACGAAGAAACGGCGAGGTCGAGAAATGGTATTCACGTCGAGAAAGCTATGGGAAGGAGCTACCCCGTGACCAAGCCATCTCTAAACTTCCATTCTCAGAGGTATGCAATAAATATTCACATTGAAAACTTGAAATATTTAAATCAGGATAACATCAAAAGCGAAAAGGACTAAGCACAGTTCAGACACAAAATGGTATGTAAGTACTGCCATTTCGGCTAGATACTGGCGTTCAGGTGAAGCTCATCTAGGGCTGGGTATGAAGACTGAAGAGGAAGACCAACTCTATTTTAAGAAATAGGAGTCATTCCCTATGTTAAACATGTTTTGCCTGGCAATATCGTCCACATTACGGGGTAAATATGTAGAGATGCATGGATATATACGTGGGTACACTCGTACTTTCTCAATGCTGCAATTTGTACTCCGTACTCCGTATGGCGATTCGTATATGCCATTAATCGACTCTTATATCAAGTTTAGGTAATAGAGTATATCGATTCTTTGAAATGTATATATTACATATTCAAATCTCTTCTGTTTTATCTGCTGAGACTTAAAGATGAGAACAAATATGCCAACACAGAGAGGCCACGTAACCGGAGACTGTAATTGTCACGCAATGATATGATCTCTCTATTTATCACAAATTTCGTGCATATAGTACATATGTGATGTAAACAATATAAATAATATAAACAGCCCCATCTCGGCTTGGTTTCTTGAAAGTCAAAATAGCCGAAACCCCTTTGTTTTACGAAACGCCCAGTTGACAAGGATCATCATTGAATCCCTGGAGCCATTTAATAAGCTTAGTGGGTGCTTGCTCTCCAAGGGTCGTCCCTGACAGGGACTTAGAACCCTGCACTAACAATCTGACTGCGCCCGCATGCATATGCCAAGTTTCGTGGAACCAATGATACTCAAATTGATAGAGCCAAAGTGTTAGACAAACAACGTGTCCAGCATATCTGCGCCCTAGTGGAGCAAAACGCCAAAAAGACCCGCCTAGAATCCGGGCTTGATCCAACTGCAGCCGACAAAAGTCCTGTATGTGAGGAATCAAATCGAACATCGAATATTCTACAGGCATTCCAGGACCGTTCTACGCGACAATTCCCGAGACAACTTTGCGTTTGGGCCTAGGGAGGTCAATAACGTGGCGTCCACGAGATATGGGAGAAATATGTAGGACATCTCACACGCGTGGCAGAGAGTGATCAGTCGATTGCATGTTTCTAGGATAGCTCCTGGTTGGTTCTAGAATCAAAGCATATGTGATTACTTGATATTCCAAATTGGAACTCCAAGGAATCAGAATAAGACAGAGAACCTGGTCAGATCATCAAGTTTCACACAGTCTCACAAAGAGAGAAATCTTGTAGGGCGTAGGGTACACTGAATTCCTAAATAGTGATCTACATCGTATTATACATAGCCCTCTCGTTTACCACACCCCCTAAATCCCCAAAGAACACCTGTTTCAAATTGAATTTTGATCACCAGGATGTTCGTCTAGGATCATAATGGACCAGTCACTGAAGTGAAAAGTCTGTGCATTTAGCGGATATCATAGCCTCCGCTCTGCCTAAGCGGGCCCCGGTCGAACTGGGCCAGGGCTATATGCTCTCCACCTAACTTCGTTCCTTAAAAGCCCGATGTTCGGAGACGGTTGGGGAGGGATATGTATATCCGTGTGGAAGTCGTCATCGTTCAACACCTCCATAACACATTATCGTAGATCCAAGAGACACGAGAATCGATATCTCCCACAAAATAACTAGTCCTGAATAGTAGGTGCACGATGTAGATCACACGGCATTGAAAACCAGAATAAGCATAGTAAAAGTGCCTTTTTCTTTCATCCCCCTTTCCCCATTTTTTTGCGCGTCACGCGTGATTGGCCCGCAATTACTGCCATTTCCTCCAGACCGCTCACCCGCTTCATCCCCTTTCTTTCATCTGCTTCACTTCCCGAAGACAAGAAATTCTTGGTGTGTCATTTAACAGGTTCTTTTCTACCTTGTCTCCTTTTTTTGGTTCCTTAACATACCCGAAACTGGTGTGTTTCGCGAGCTCCCAGGCCCTCACGTTTTCTCGATATACATATCCTGTAGGCTTCGAACCTCAGATCTCGTTTATTACTCTGGAAGAGCTCTGGTGGCCTTCTTGTTTCATCTAGTCTCGTCTAGACCTCAGAAATTTACATTTAGTCCTACATCGTTAATCTTCACCCGACTCTGAAACATTCGACCCCCGCTCAGCCGTTTTACCTTCGCAGTTCAACCTCTCATGGAGATTGCGATTTAAGCTCAATATTCGCCGAAAATCCGTCTCCTCTATATCCACTCGTGGTTTGCTCGAATACCGCTTTTGACCCATCATTATTCAACCGGAGGGATTTTGTGACAAGTGTGATGTTGCTAGAAAGATACTAGTCAACTTTAATTACTTCCACCATCGGTTTATCTTCACAACATGGGAAACACCCAGGGGAAACCAGTGAATTGCAACGATGCAGGTAGGTTTACTGCTCACGATTCAGGACGACAAGTCTTACTGAGTCGCCGAGGATTATTTCGAATTATATGCTAATCGTTTTTTTTTTTACTAGTCAACCTCAATCATTTCCGGCTCCTGCGAGTTGTTGGAAAGGGCGCATTTGGAAAAGTACGGATCGTCGAAAGAAAGGACACAGGTCTTACATTCGCCCTAAAATATATCCGCAAAGAGGAAGGTTCGTTGGGAGCTCCAAAGCTGCTGAGCTGAGAGAGCTATAACTGACAACTCGTTTCAGTGGTCCGTTCAGAAAGCGTACGAAATATAATTCGTGAACGGAGAATGCTCGAGCATCTGAACCATCCGTTCCTTTGCAACTTGAGATACAGTTTCCAGGACATGGAGTATATGTGAGTAATCGTGAATCGACCCTTACCACCCACTACTGACCGAGTTGAAGCTATATTGTGGTTGATTTAATGAACGGCGGCGATCTTCGATTCCATATCTCCCGAAAATGCTTCACAGAGGATGCGGTGCGGTTTTGGATGGCAGAACTGGGGTGTGCCCTGAAGTATATCCATTCGCAGGGTATCATTCATCGAGATTTAAAACCGGACAATGTCCTGTTGGATTCCGATGGGCATGTTCACTTGGCTGATTTTGTAAGTTCTATCAGCGTGGATCGCCTTTACGTGAGCTTCGGCTAACTTGAGTTTGCAGAACGTGGCATCGGATTACCGACCAGGCAAGCCTCTTACAAGCAAGTCAGGAACACTAGCCTACTTAGCTCCGGAAGTCTACGAAGGAACTGGTTATACCTTTGAGGTCGATTGGTGGTCATTAGGTGTCACTTTCTACGAGTGCATCTACAATAAGGTATGGGAGATCGGTTCCTCCTCTATTGTCCCCGTCTAACTTTCAGTGCAGCGACCATTTGAAGGCCGAAGCCAAGAAACACTGAGCGAAAATATCAAGAAGGCGCAACCAAAATACTATGTCACCAATCCCGCAGTATCAGTAGGTTGTTTGCGGGCGTTGGGATCATTGATGCAAAAAGACCGGAGTCAACGAATTGGCGCTATCGGGTTTGAGAGCTACACCTCACACATGTTCTTCAACGAAATCGACTTTAACGCCCTGGAGCGCAAACAGATCCCGCCAGTATTCGTCCCGTCAAGCGACAAAACCAACTTTGATGCGACCTACGACCTGGAGGAACTACTCCTTGAGGAAGCGCCTTTGGAGGCCAGAGCGCGCAGGCAAAAACCGCGCGCTGAATTAAGGGATGATGCTACTGCGAAGGAAATCCGAGATGATGAGCTTCATCGGCTCATTGAAACGATGTTCGAACCGTTTGACTACACTCTGACTAGTTACCAAGGCAATGCCGCGGAAGCTATTGCCGCTGTAATGTGGGTTTATCTTCCCATCTAGACAATTGCCTGTGCTAACAATGTCTTTCAGAAATCCCGAGGAGTGTTTACCAATGGCCACAACCACCCAAGGGAACATCATAATCCCAGCGAACCCAACCGTACATGCCCGTCAATTCTCACAGCCCGACCCGTCTAAAAATACATCCACCATCCACGCCGACGGCTCGCACTACCGTGCTCCACCGAGTGAAACCATGACTACACTCAGCGAGACACTCGACCCCAATGATCCCACAATTGGCCAGGCTCCTTCTTCCCCACCAACCCGCTTGTCACCTTCGCCGCCGCCTGCCCCGTCCTTCCACCGACCCCTTCCCCCCAGCCACAACAGTCGACACCGCGGTGCCACCCGGCAAATGAGCAAAAGTGGAGGCGTACAAATGGTTCTGAACGAACATGGCAGCTGGAGTGAGCTGGCCCATAATGCCCTTCCCGCAGATGGAATGGAGAATGGTGATGACAAGGGCAAACAAGCCAATGGTATGTTATCATTCTTCAGTCGGAAGAAGGGCCGTGACCGCAGTCCCAAGCCGACTGAGCCCGGTGTTCTGGGAAAAGAGGGAGCCAGACAGATCATTAGCTGAAAGGCTCGCCTTTTGTGAAAACCAATTGGCGCTCATGCGGGTGGCGCTGTCGTTGCTGACAATATACCCGCACAATATGGGCTATTATGCCAACCTGTATGGTTTCTGCTCACATTTGAGTGTGAAATCTTGGCCCGGAGACCAGTGCTATCCAGTTTAGCACCCAAGGAGGTCGGCGATTAAATCTATTAAATCTCCTTGGCCTTGCCACCACTTCGACACGTTCCGGTTCCCGCCCCATTGCGAGCGGCCGGAGGGAGACGGCCTTGTTGACCCTGTCTGATTGCATTTCTCTGCGTTGATCTCTGCAGCAAGAGATGCAGTGCTCGACGCACCATCTCCCTTTCATTCTATTAGATTCCCCGGGCACAGCGTGAATTCATTTATTTCAACTCTTATCATATCTATATATCATCCTTGTCATGTCTCTATATTTCCCCTCACAGCTGTACAGATACTCACGGCAGACACCGCGCTTTGATTTCTTTTCTTATTCTCTTTCGGTAGGCTTTCACTTTTGTCTCTTTTCCGCAATGATGTCTTTCACCTTGTATTGTTTTGGAGTTTGCATACCCTGAATCGTTGATATGAACCTTTGTATTTTGGTTAGAATGGACCGGAGCTTGCATGTCCATGTGGACTGGGATGGGTGTATTTAATGTTAGTTGCATGTCAATATATAAGATTACTTGGACTCTCACATCTAGTACTTTGTATGTTGAATATTCATCCGTTGCGCCGAAACCATTCACATCCTTAATAAATGTATGCATCACGGTATTAAATTAACATGGATATATAACATACAATAATATACAGCAATATACAAATGAATTCAGGGGAACAAATCCTATAAACCTTCAAGCCGGACATTATTTTGTGGTGGACTTGGCATGATCTCCCGTGTGGGGAAAAAACAAAACAAAGCCATACAAAATCCCTTAGACCGACCCGATATAGATCCCAAGAATTCCAAGCCAGGCTGGGCTTTTTAATCCCACGTGTTATCAAATCCAACCTCGACACATCTTACATTCCTCTTCCCTTTTCCATCGAACAGCACCAGCCATCCCCACGCGCGATCAACAATTCCACATTCCACATCCCACCGATCAGCGCATACCACAGCAAACACCCCCCACCCATCTGGCATGCCAAGCCAATCCCGAGACAGACGGGACCGGGACCGGGATCGGGATCGTGATCGCGACCGCACACGCGAGCAAGAGCGTTCGCGCCGCCGAGACCGAGACCGTGAGTACATCCGCGGCCGCTACGAAGACGACGAAGGTGCAGCATCCAGCCCTGGTAACGCGCGCACCGCAAAATACCGCTTTCGCGGGGAACCTGGTTACGAGTCGAATTCACACAACGAGCGCGATGATTACGATGAGGAGCGTGAGCGGCGCAGGGAACGTAGGCGCAGACGGAGGGAGGAAGAGGATGAGGCGGCAGGACTTGCTTACGGGGAGTCTGGGGAGAGGAGGAGACGGGATAGAGAACGGGAACGGGAGAGGGGGAATTCTAGGGTGAAAGACTCGCCTGCTGCGTCACCTAGCAAACGGCAGGATCGCGAGAGGCGGTATCGCAGAGAAGAAAGTCCGAGTGCGAGTCCTGTCCGAGAAAGACGGAGGGAAGTTGATGTTGATGTTGAGGCTGAAGCGCGACGACGGAGGCGACGCGAGCGCGAGCGCGAAAGAGAAAGGGAGCGTCAGCGGGAAATCGATGCTGCTGCGTCGTCGGCGAGGAAACATCGCAGTACTGAGTCTTCCAGTAGTGCTGCGCATCTCTTGAGTGTTGATGCTATGGCACGTCTTGCTGCTGAGCATGAGGATGCGGATCGCATGGAGCGGTCTCGCGGCGGAGGCGATACTCGTCGGGAACGAGAAGCTCGGCGACAGCGGAAACGAGCTGCGTTAGACGATGCTGCTGCTGGTGCGGCGCTTGGTGCTGGAGTTGCACAGGGTCGCTCACGCCATCAAGCGGGCACGCGAGTTGTGTCTGGTGCCCATTTGGAAGAGGGATATAGCTCTGATGCTCGGGTTCGTCGTCGTGGAGGTGGTGGAGCTGCTGTGCATGATCATTGGAAAGACGAAGACAGCTGGGAAGGTAGCTTGGAGAGTCGGGGGCCACCGGCTTGGAAAATCTGGTCTAATTGGTCGAGAAAGAAGCGTATTCTGGTCGGATGCCTGCTGGGCGTGATCCTCTTGCTTGCCATTGTCATCCCGGTTGCGCTTGTTGTGTCAAAAAAGAAAGGCTCAGATTCAAAGTCGAGTTCCTCGGACTCTGGTGACAGCAGCTCTCCTACCTCTAATTTGGGTAGCATTAGCCGCGATAGCATACCGGTAAATATCCATCCTATAACCTTGATAGAATTTGCTGACAACAGTACTTCAGAGTTACGCCAAAAACACCGTCCTGGATCCATTTATATGGTACGAGACCGATGGGTTCAACCTCACTTTCACAAATGCCACTGTTGGTGGTCTTTCCATCATGGGCATTGACTCCAAGTGGGATGACTCTGCCCGGCCGAACGACAAGGTGCCCCCTCTCAACAAGCCATTCCCTTATGGCTCTCAGCCGATCCGCGGAGTCAATCTAGGCGGATGGCTTTCTATCGAGCCATTCATTGTCCCGTCCTTGTTCAGCAAGTGGCCATCCAACGCCGGTGTCATCGATGAGTATACATTGACCAAAAAACTCGGAAACTCTGCGGCGGGCACGTTGGAGAAACATTATGCCAAATTCATTTCAGAATCAGATTTGAAAGAAATCGCAGAGGCCGGACTCGACCATGTCCGCATCCCATATGCCTACTGGGCCGTGGCTACCTACGACGGCGACCCATACGTCCCCAAGATTTCGTGGCGCTATCTCCTGCGTGCAATCGAGTGGTGCCGCAAGTATGGACTGCGGGTCAAACTCGACCTGCACGGACTCCCCGGCAGTCAGAATGGCTGGAACCACAGCGGCCGACAGGGCAGCGTCAACTGGCTAGAAGGATCAGACGGGGATCTCAACCGTAAGCGGTCACTTGATATCCATGACCAACTCTCGAAGTTCTTTGCCCAAGATCGGTATAAGAACGTGGTGACGATCTACGGTCTGGCGAATGAGCCGTTGATGCTGAAGCTGCCCGTCGAAAAGGTCCTAGATTGGACCAAGGAGGCAGCGGAACTCGTCCGCAAGAATGGTATCACTGCCACTCTTGTCCTGCACGATGGGTTTCTGAATCTTGCCAAGTGGGACACCATGTTCCAATCTCACCCGGACAACATGTATCTCGACACCCATCAATACACCACCTTCAACACGGGCGAGATCGTCTTGAACCACACCGCCAAACTGGACGTAATCTGCAATAGTTGGTATCCCATGATCAAGGAGATCAACACGACAGCTTCTGGGTAAGTTAGACATGCTTTCCTTCTGAAATTTCATGTGCTAACACACAATCAGATGGGGTCCAACTATTTGCGGCGAATGGTCGCAGGCAGACACCGACTGCGCGCAGTATGTGAACAACGTCGGTCGAGGTGCGCGATGGGAAGGGACCTACGATACCAGTTCCACTAAGGCATATTGCCCAACAGCGGACGAAGGAACCTGCAGCTGCGCAGATGCCAACCAGGACCCATCCGATTATTCCGACGCCTACAAGAAGTACCTGCAGACATATGCCGAGGCACAGATGTCTGCATTCGAAACGGCGATGGGATGGTTCTACTGGACCTGGCGGACGGAGTCAGCTGCCCAATGGAGTTATCGGACAGCTTGGAAGAATGGGTATATGCCTAACAAGGCATACAGTCCTTCGTTCAGGTGCGGAGATACAGTGCCTGACTTCTCTGATGCAGAGGAGAGTTTCTGATATGATTTTACATTTACTACCATTTTACATTTTGCATGTAGCGTTTGATACTTTTGTTTGCATAGATACCATGGATAAAGACTAGATTTCTTTCTTGCATATGATTCCAATGCCTCGATCTGTATATTGGATATCTTCCCCATCTCAGCGTTCTCCGAACTCAAATACCCTCCATCTCAACTCCGATATCATTTCATCTCATCTATGCCTCAAACCACCCTCCAGCTTCCCATTCACCAGGCCTATAAACAACCTCCTCCCGCACCCACTCAAGTCTAACACCCCCAAGCAGCCGATCCACCCTTTGGAAATCAATCGGCTTCATAACCCACCCATCAAAGCCCGAATTCATATACATCGTCCGATTCACCTCGAGCAAGGAAGCAGAGACAGCGAAAATGGGAATGCGAGGCGCAGGCGTGGTCTCATTAGCCAGCTCTTGCTGCTCGTATTCTCGTATCATCTGCGTTGCACCGAGCCCGTCTACGATAGGCATCTGCGGGTAGAGATTGAGTGTTAATATATATACAGATTGAGTTAGGAAATATATGATGGACGTACTTGTAGGTCCATTAACACTGCGTCGAAACGAGTGGGATTCGCTTTGTAGGCGGATGCGCATTCCTTCCCGTTGCTTGTCATGTGCACCGTGTGGCCAAATTTTTCAAGGCGCTTTTGGACAATACTGCTATTGATCGGGTCATCTTCTGCGACGAGGACGTGGAGATTCCAGTCCATTGTAGGCGAGGCGCTTGGTTGGCGGGTTTGGGGCTGGTTGGTCGGGGATCTTGTGGTTGGTGAGACCGAGGAGTTTTCTCTGATAATATATTTGGATGTTTCTGATGATTGCTTGGAATCTTGAATTGGAAGTGAAGCAGTTGGTTTATCTGGTTGGTTGCTCTGGTCAAGCTGTTGGCCAGAAATGGAGAGGTTTCTTGATCCGCCAGTTTTCAGGCTTACATCGACGTTCATGATGGGTTCCATTGATTCAAATTCTGATTTTTGACCACATTCACATTGAATGCCCCCTTTCTCCTGGTTTGTTACACCACGTGAGGATGAAGTGTCTTGCTTTGTGTCTTGTTTTCTTTCATCCTGCAGATGCTCGTTTGACGTAACACATGAGTTCTGCTTTTGACTACTGGCTTCATCCGGAAGAGGAAATGAAAGCCTGATCTTGAAGCAGCTTCCCTTGCCTTCTTCAGACTTCAAGCTTAATTGCCCATTCATATTGCGTACGATTCGGGCGACCAGGGCGAGGCCAAGACCTAGCACACTTTCGGTTTCGAACACATTTCCACTTGAAGTACCCTCGTATGACTTAGGATTCTGCAGATATCCCTTGTTGGAGACTTGTTCCAGCTCACAGAACAATTTTTCGACCGTTGCTTGGGACATGCCAGATCCGGTATCGTGTATTGCCACTTCGACGCAGATATGATCTGGCTCCAACAGCTCCGGTATGACACAAGACTCGATTGTTACTGCCCCAATGGATGTATGCTGTATAGCATTGCTTATCAAGTTTGTGATCACCTGGCGTACCCGCCGTTGGTCTCCAAGGACGGGAGGTAGGGCTGCATGTTGAATTACCTGCAGATCGACATGCTTCTGTCTTGCTTCTTCCCAAAATATGTCTGTTGCTTCCGTGAGGGTCTCTGGGAGATCGAATACCTCATCCTTTATCAGCTGTTGGCCGTTTTCGGCCGTTGTGAGGTCTAGAAGGTCATTGATGATGTATACCAGCGACTTGGAAGCCGAGTGTGATCTGAAAATGTGATCTCGCGCTTCTTGATCCAGAGATCCATCGAGAACAATCTCCAGATAGTTGATGATGGCATTGAGAGGTGTTCTGAACTCATGCGCAGAATTGGCGAGTAAAAGCCTCATCAGCTGGTTATTCTGCAATGTAGCCTCCTTCTCTTGCCATATATCGGCGAAAGTGCGATATAACAAAGATAGAACAGATGCCTTCCCAAAATCTGTCGAGGACCACCCATGCTGTCGACTTAACCTCTCTGAATCAGACGCGAGGTTTTGACTTTCCAAATCAGCCCGGAAGAAGATAATAAAATCACGACCGTCCAATGAGAGAGGAACGTAGAGAAATCCGGAAAGATGATGAAAGCCAGGTGAGTAAATGAGATCCTGAAAATCGGCAGCGATATCTACCGACCAAAATACAGTGTCATTCTCTTTGGCTTTCATGTATTCAAACAATACCAGCACTTCCTGTGAGTCGACCGGTTTCCCCAAGATCTTGGCCTCGCCCATGATTGACGCTGCGGCGGAATCTGCTCCGAACAGACTGAGAAGATCACTGGGTGGAGTCTTGATAGCTTGGGTTGTGCTTGATTTATCTAGGGAGATGCCTGGCTCTCGAGATTGTAAGGGCAAGGTGTAGGACAGACGCTCAATGTTACTTGAAACCGCCTCGGCTACAAACCAACAAGCCTTCTGGGTGAGCGGATGGAGCCTTTGGCTACTGTCGTAGGACTGACATGATATGAGACCCCAAAGCTTGCCAAACACATTTATTTGAATTGACAAACATGCTTTCACAGGATTGTCGGTGTTCGGCGTTGGGAGTGCTGATGCTGCAGAGAGATATGTTTTTGACATGTCGAGGGGCCTTTTGTTGGTGGACGCTCGATACACAAGCTTTGAAGTGCCCTCGCTTCCGGAACAAGAGGAGCATACAATATTCCGTGTATATAGTCTCTTCAATTCTTCGGGGAAGGTTGATTCCGGGAAATGCATGCCTTCGTAGGAAGTTAACACCGACGAAGGATCAAACGCATCGCCGACCACGATTCCGTTGCGATCGCTATCAAAATGATACATGGTCATTTTGTCAAATTGAACAAGACTTTGCAAAGTGCTGATGGTATGCTGGACGAGCGCTTCCAGTGTTTGAGCATTTGCAAGTCGTTGGAGAATCCGAGGGATGGTATTGAGAAGTTCCGATGAGTCCGGAACATTTCTGTTGCTCGTGTCAACATCCTCGAAAATTGCCCCAGAAGTCATGTCCAAGCTCCGACTATCCGATGCTGTCGCTTGACTTTCGCGATTCTCAAAATCGGAGTGGTCCTTTGTCTCTCGACCCTCAGGCTGGAGCTCGCATATCACATAGTTCTTATATACTGTGCTCGTATGCATGGTACACCAAGTACTCTGGGTGTATCCGTCCGATGATAAGATAGAAAGGAAGAAAACCTCAGGGCCAGAATCCTCGACAGAGTAGTCATCGCTCAGGACAACTTGAGCATGAGTAAGAAAGTTGTGTTTTTGGGAGGGTGGCAATATATCACAAAATGTTCGAAGCTCGAAGAGTTTACCAGGAGAGTGTCCAGTGATTTCCATCGAGTTGTCGCTCGCTATTTGCACTACAAAGTTACCGTTGGATTCTGTCATCACAACGAGTGCACCGAATGACTGAATGAAAATGTTCTCTTCATCTTCGTGCGAGTAGTATATCCCCTTTGTTGTTTTGTGGAAGTCAAGGATCTCGGCACCATTTTGCACAGTATTTCTCAATTGTGCAAAAATGTCGAGATCATGGCTTGCGTAAGATTGTCCTGTTGAAATCTCGCTCCCGCCACCACTCTGATGCGGTCGGGTGGGGTGGCCCGGTCTCTTTGAGACACCATCTTCAGCATCCATGCTCTTCCCGGGTATATTCTGGTTCTTTTGCTCATAGCCCGCTTGTTCATCGGCGAAGCCTGCACTCCATGTATCCGAAAAAGGAGATATCGGTGTTTCAAGCTTATCGAGGGAAGGTGTCTGCAGGGCAGATGAAGGCGTGGAATCAAACGAGACAACCGAGCGAACAGGAAAGACTCTTTCCGCCGAGTCAGTGCCCAGTTGGGGCAATCTCAATTTCGGGGATAGCAGCTCGGTTACCGTTGATATCTCAGTCTTGTTGTCAGACATGATACACATGGTATTTGGTATAGACAGAGTCCGCGCAAGACTTTGCCTCCTCCCGGAAGGCTTTTCTTCTTTCTTATCATTCTGGTCATGGTCATTCGGTTCATCGTAAATGACCATCCAATCGCTGTTGTCTTTAAAGTCAAACGGTGAAGACATGTTTCAGTCTTCAATCCTCGGCAGAGAGAACTATTGAGAGCGGTTCGAACTAAGAAGACTACCAGCGTTAGCAGGAAGACAAGCACCAGGTTTGACAGGAAGCTGCTCACGGAAAGGTAGCGGTGTATTCACGCGGTCAAGAAATGACTTGCAACATCAGTCATTGTGTATCAACTGTAGTTTGGGCAGCACGCAGAATATATGAGAAAATTATAAGTTGAAGGGTATATGGTGTGATATTGAAAGTTCTCCACGAATTGGCATATGTCAACCGGGGTTACCAAGGGGGTTTCTTCCCCAGCTCATGCTTTATCGTGCGCTTTCAACCTATCAAAGGATCAGCCACCGGAAACAAGCTTCCTCCTGGGAGGATGTCCTCGGTTCCCTTGTCCGGTTCGCTAATCACTCGCAATCCTGTGGACCAGACTCTCCGGTCCATGGTATGAGCTTCGGCAAATAGTCTAGTTGGATGACTCCGGATTGAATGTATCCCGAATCCTCCAGGGAGTGCGAACTTTTGCGCTGAGCCTTGTCCGGGCTTGATTTGAGAGATTTGGCGTGCCGGTCAATCCCACATGCTTCTAACGAATTCTATGAAAAGAATGTTTTGGGCGCTATCGGCGATCAAGTCAGAGCAAACCAAGGAGTCCGGACTAGAACCATAGAACTTGACATGGAGGTACCTGTTCCGGCCCATCGAGAATCAGCTCTCGAATGGGGATGGATACCCCACACATTCCACAAAAGATGAGTGACAAACGTATTGGATGGCGACATTAACGGCTTACATTTGATAACTGGATTCTCGATTAGCTTCTGTTCTGCTGTATAAGCATCGAGATGAAATCAAAATAGATCATAGAAGTCGAGTTAGTCTGTTACCTATGACTTTCAATTAGAGGCATATCGCACTACTGCAATAGAGCCGGAGGGGCCCCTATCCACAGTGACGGCAGTTATTGTCCAGGATCGAAAATACCCTAGTCGGACCACAATGCCGAGCTCCATTGTGAAATCGCCATATCTAAAAATGGACGGGAATCTGACTCGCGGGCATTGGTTCCGGATACCTTGGAGGCGGGAGGCCAGTCAAGACATAACCAAGGGTCCACCGCTGTTTGGCCTGGAGTAACCCTGAGCCAAGTATAAGGAGCGAAGGGCAAGAATGCATGTTTTGACATAGCAGCGAGAAATTCAAGAGATGTACGAGATGAACCAATAAAATATAGTATCAAACAAGAAATGAGATGAATCTAGCAAAAGTACTTGAAACACGTTGCTTACGCCAACCGGGACTCCCCAAAAACCCCTCCAAGTATAATTTCATAATTCGTTCACGGGTGCCATGCTGATTACCAGCGTCGACCATAAACCGAGTGCTCATGTCGCGCCCGGTTAGGCTGGGCTTCTTTTCCCTGGCTGCGTGGGGCAGACTGTGACGACGCCCGAGAGGAGGAAGGAACAGACTCAGTCTCATCCCCGGTATTCAGTAGCCGAGTGGGCTGGTTGAAATCCAGGGTGGTCTGATTATCCGTGAATTTGGATTCTGCATCACGACCGAAGAGTGCCATCATGTCGCGCATGGTGAGCTTGCCAGCGCCGGTCTTGCCCTCGATAGTGGCATTGGCCAGTTCGCGCTTGCGGTCCTGTAAGGCAACAATGCGTTCTTCCACGGTACCCTTGATGACCATCTTGTAGATTTTCACGTCGACGGTTTGATTCAGACGATGGACACGATCGATGGCTTGCTCTTCCACAAACTAGATTCAGTGTTAGCACAATGCGCAGCATGTTATAGAAGATTGCAACTTACGGGATTCCAGAAAGGCTCCAAGATGACGACACGGCTAGCAGCTGTCAGATTGAGGCCTAGTGCACCGGCACGCAGACTGCAGAGCAACACACGAGTGCCACTGTTGTTTCGGAGCTTCTCGAGACTGGCCTCACGGTGGTTATTTGTCATTCCACCATCGTAGCGGGCGAAGCCAATATTAGCACTCTTCAAGAAGGGCTCGATCTTATCAAGCATAGACGTAAAGACGGAGAAAACAATGAACTTGAAGTCCGGTGCCTCGCGATTGAGAATCCGCATAAGGTGGCGGATCTTGGTGGATGGAAGCTCTCCATTTTCTCCTCCATCATTGTAGATGTCTTCCGCTTCGGAATCGCTTTCATCCTCGGAATCGCTCAGAACGATGGGTTTGCTCTTTCTTCTGGAGGGGGATTCAATTTCGATCTCATCATCGGTTTCATCGTCCGAAATGAGCCATTCACCACCTCCTTCGGCGTTTTCATCGTCCGAACCACCGGCTTTCCCGAGGTTAGGAACCTTGCGCTGGCCGTCAGGTACAACCCAATCGCCCTCCTCTTCATCGTCATCACTGTCGATAATGACTCGTCGATTTTTGCGAGAACGAGCAAGTTGTACATCAGATTTGCGGGCTGTCGGGGAGTCCAGAATATCCAGCTTCTTGTGGCTCTTCTTTGACTTCTTTTTCTTCTTTTTATCTGTGACTATAACATTGGTATTCAGGTCGGCTTCACATTCACCACATCGACTGCCACCGGCCTTGATTTCGCCAGGACTCAGATCCGTTTGGCAAACATCGCATTTCTTTGCGACAACGCTCATTGCCCCGAAAAGATCGGCCATACTGTCAAGATCATCCGGCTTTGACTGTGTTGACTGGCTGTTTGTACTGCCATTCTGCAAAAGAATATCCTTGTCTTTGGCCAAATCACCCTTGACCAAGTCTGGGTGATTACAAGCCTGACGAAGACGCAACAGCAGAACCAATGCTCCAGCATAATCGACCTTAGCACCGCCCATCATTTTATCGAGACTATTATCCGTCCGCTGTTCGAGTCGTTTGTAGAAATTCAACTCCCCAGGCATGAATTCGGGATCGACCTTGATGACCTCACGCTTGGTGATGTGGAATCCATTCGAGGACTTCTTGGGCTTGCCGTCTGGCCCTTCTTCACCAGGCTTCACATTGTCGTTCAGTCTGAGGACATCCTTCGTGCGCCGTTTCATAAAAGCCTTCAAATAGACCTGTAGTCGCTGGATAGCCAGGCCTCCGCGGCCATTGTTCAATGGCCGACTGATCTGATCTCTCCATGCAGCCAAGTCGTCATAGGGCTTCACCCGAAGGAATTTAATCAGACTTTGCAACTCATCCAGATTGTTTTGCAATGGCGTTCCTGTCAAGCACCAGCGGTATTGGGCATCCAATGCATATGCTGATTGTGTTGCTTTGGCGTTACGGTTTTTGATTGTGTGCGCTTCGTCAAGAATAATGCGATACCAATGAACAGCGAAAATTCCCGACTTTTTGGCCGTGTCTGATGCTGAAGAGTTGAATTCGGAGGTAAGAGTTCCATATGTTGTGATCACAACATCATATTTGTCCAACGTCGTCGCAGTCTTCGCGCGTGTTGTACCGTGATAGAGGCAAACACGCAGCTTGTGGGACGGCTCAACTTTGTCCTTGATTTCTGCCTCCCATTGCTTGATGAGTGCAAGGGGCGCAATTACCAAAGTCGTGGGAATGCAGTTCGGGGGCAGCTTGGTCGTCTTGCCCTCAGAGTCGGTGTTGTCGCTGTCTTCGTGGTCGGATTTACGGTTTTTCAGCAGCAAAGCAATCGTTTGCACCGTTTTCCCCAAACCCATATCATCTGCAAGGATTCCACCTTTGGGGAAAATTCCTTTCGAAGTCTTTCGGCCAGTCTCCTTGTCGCACATCCATCGCACACCTTCAATTTGATGGGGAAGCAGTGTCACTTTTAAGCCTTCGATGGCTCCTTCATCTTCATCGTCGGAATCCTCCTCCTCCTCTTCTTCTTCTTCCTCCGCTGCTACCTCGTCGTCTTCTTCATCTTGCTGGGCAACTTTATCGTCTTGCTCAACATTGGCAGATGAATCGTGTTTAGACTTGGCATCATCATCCTTCGGGTCGTTGACCGTGACACCTTGAAGTTGAGCAGCAAGATCATCAAGGTCGTCAATCGCTTGTTCCTTATTCTTGTCCACGACGACTTCCTCTTTCTGCTTCGTCTGCGATGTCTTCTTGGACTTCTTCTTTCCACCCTTCTTCTTCTTGCCTTTGGGTTTAGGCTCAGCCTTGTCCTCGTCGTCCTCAAATGCCCCTTCAAGCAAAGCTTTGATGTTTTCGTTTGCCATAGCCGTATCCACATAACCATTCATGTCCACGGCCCCGAAGCTCGGTGTAGCATGGGATGATGCCCGCGGAACAGGATCAGTGTCATCGCGCGTGAGATCGATGAATTTCTGTATGTTCTTCGATGCGCCTGCCATTGGTGGAAGAGGCTTGGATTGGTAGATAGGCCTAGGGGCCCGAGGAGTTGTCCAAGTCACATTTTCAGGGCGCTTGATACTCACTGCGCCATGATGGAATCCTCCGCGAGGGTTGTTGTAGGCCGATGGTGCCACGGGCTTGAATGGATCCCATGGCTCGTTTCGCTTCGCCAAGGGCGTAGCGACTGGGGCACCCGAAGTGCCTGATGGGCGATAAGCGTGAGGCGTAGCACTGGACTGAGCCTGGTGGTGCGATTGTGGTTGATGTTGTGGCTGTGGTCGAGGGGCAGGTCGATGATGTTCAGCACGAGATTGATTCGGTTTCGGAATGTTGAAAAGGTGGTTTGATCTGTGTTGTGGGGGTCCGATGGGCGAGGGCTTTCCGAATTCTGGTTCCTGGACATGCGCGGGGTGAGGCTGGGTGTTTGGTTTTCCCCCCGGAGTGAGGGGCTCCAATGGTGCGTTGCTTTCTCTAGCCATCTTGTTTTAACGAGCGCTGCGCTTTGGGGGATATTCAGATGGGTGAATATGTTGTTTTCTTGAATTCACTGGATCATCAAGTCTGGAATGATCTGATCTTTGGGTATCAATTCGACGCGAACAGGAATCTCAGAGCACTGGGATTTGGCGTTAGTTCTGTGGACTCGACCACTTCGGACAGTTTTGGTTTTGGGAATTGAAATTTCGAGCTCACAAAAGTCAAGCGAATCTAAGGGAACTAACCTTTAGGTCATGCCTTGAATCCGAAGCCCTGGAGTGTTTTGTCGATGGTGGGGGTTTGCAGACATCAAAGGAAAAAGGGCCGTTATCACAAAGGTTATCGTTTTGTTTGCGGTCGGCCTAGCAACGGATCTTGCCTCAGGCCGCCACGATGCTAAGTATTTATCAAATCTCACTTCCTGTTCCTGCAATCCATACCTCCCGTCCATGAAGATGAACTTGTATTCTCCTCAGATGCCCCAATCTGCGACGGAGTCTCAGCCATCTTTCTAGCCGCCATGTTCCTTCAGACCACTACGTGTGTAGAGGCAGGGCACACTTTATGGAAACTGTTGAGAGGTGGATGCCCGAATTATGCAAGATATATTACAACGCCAATATCACCAATATCATATTTCCAACTGGTCTAAATATGCGCTCTAGCATCGAAGCTCTGCTGACCACCATGATCGGCTTCCCCCTAATTCCCCTGTGTTTTGCACATAGATTGTCATATGGGTGGAGAGCTCGCGACACTTAAACAAACCTCGAAAGCCCGCGATCGCCTTTTTGAGGAAAGCATATCCGTAGTCTGCACTACGGTGCTCAATGGGTGGCTAAAATTATTAAGGGGTCTCAAAGTCACTAACAAGCCCACTGATATTGCCCACTACCCTGACATTCAGCTTACTGTATAGAGGGCGCAAAACAACCTTCGATATGAGAATCGCTGGAAATCCGCGTTCCAGGAATGCGGCGGGGGCTGGGGGACTCACAGCTGCTAGGGCACAACCGCTGCAAATATGCAGCAAGTACTGAACGCTCGCGCCACTACTCTCTCGCAGAATAAGCGGGAAACCCTGGGATATCAAGAGAAACATCCTCGGGATATCGTGTCCTCCAGTATCACCTTGAGCGAGCCTTTTATGATAGAGCATGAAATTATAATCACAAGCGGCATACGCCCTTCTCCATCTATAAATTCACCTCCGGCTGAGTCTGACCTTCATCTCTTTTCCTCTCAACAACCATCACACCATCTACCTTTTCATCTCAGAAACACAGCTGGGCTATCGTTATGCCAAATAGTCAAAATGAGATTGTCACCCGGGAAATCCCCGGATCACCCGGCAAGGACCAGGTGGTGCGCCTCTGCGAGCGAAATGGCCGCCATTCCAACACCCTCACTTACTCCGCCTGTGGCAATACCTTCTACATCAAGTACAATAAATCCCATTTGCCCCCTCTAGAACTTTCTTCTAGTTCTCCTTCCACATAGATGGAACACTATAGATAAAAGTCAGCTGATAGTCGCTTGAGAGCTACGATCCCTACTCACGAAACCTCAATCACAGCACATCTCCCACCCTGAACAACATCCGTCGCCTCTTTGATAGCAGGGTCAAGCTCACTTTGCGTAGTGACTGTCGCACCCCACGCCTTACCGGCTGCAGCGGCGATTCCGGGATAATCGGGGGACGGGTCAAACGAGATATTGAGATCTGCAGTAAATTAACGACTGTGCCCCAAAATTCTAGTTCAAATCCGGCTGACCTCGTCTGTTTGACTTCGACGATAACCCGTCCTTGTGGACCAGTAGCGCAGACACCTTTGGTGCGTTCCATCCACCGTTATTGAGCACAATTAGGAGGAAGGGAATATCGTAGCGTCTGGCGATCCAATACACACTTTCCATCTGCGAGAACAGATAAACTCCATCACCGACGCTGCGCTTCTATTAGATATTGTGGAAGTCTTTTGCCGCTTGTGAACACTTACATTGCGCATATGAATGAGCCGGGCTTGCCTAGCTTGACGCCTAGTGCTGCACCACCTCCCCATCCCAGACCACCTGCGCCGCTCGCAATTAAACTTCCGGGCTGAAATTGAATTAGTATTGAGTCAGTAGCTGGAAATCACCACATACCTTGGTGAGGTTCAGATGGTGGATGAGATGTCCTGCATTCGTTACAGCCTCCAGAACATAGGTAGTGTCTTCAGGGAGAGAATCTCGCAGTCTTGATGCCAGGTATGGCACACTGACTACACCATCTGCCGAGGGTGATTCAAGTGCTCCTAAAGTTTCCCTCCATGCCTTGTAGTTCTTTGACCGCTCCTCAAATTCCAGGGTATACGTCGCCCGATCGATGTCCTGTCTATCCAAAAAAGTATTGATTTGCTCAAGCGCAATCCCACAGCCAACCTTGAGCTTGCGAGTGGCATTAATTGAAAAGACTGATAGATAACCATTAGAAAAAAAAAAGCCGGAAAAGGCCAGCCCTGTGGTCGGTCTGTGAACTTACGTGGCATCTGTTGCTTCAGCGGATCGACATCTAGATGGAATACCTTCGTGCCTACATCGCCTGTCAGAACAGCATTAAAACATTGCTTTATGGGTACTCTTACCACTCCGAGGCTTCCCAGCAGTAGGAATCCAAGGGACATCACAATCGAGAATAAGAATAACATCGGCTTCAAGAACCTCCAGATGAGTAGTGACGGTAACGCCACGATATGCTTCGTGGTCACTTCGCAGAGAAACGTCCGAGCCGACCATCTCCACGACAGTGATTGGAAGTCTGTCACAAAGCTCAGCTAAGAGAGCTGGTGCTTTGAGATTCCGACCAAGATAGCCTGTGATGACAAGCGGTCGCTTTGCGCTCATGAGCGACTTGGCAATTAATTCCACATCTATTGTTGTTAGCGAAGTGAAGTTATAGCATGGAAGAGTACCACCGTACCTTGCTCGGGCAATGCACTTGGAGCGATTGAACTGAGAATCTCTCCGTCTACGCACTCTTTTCCCACACGCTGCATACAAGATTTCGTTAGTAGATATTTTAGTTTATTTCGATGACTGCGAATACTTACTTCCTCAAGTACTTCTCTTGCAGCCATTAGATATGCCGGGCCCTTAGGGTCGGATGTAGCAAACTGCAAAGCTCGTGAGACCATTTGCTTGATATTGCGTCCGGTCTTTATTTCACCAGTGTATCTGCAGTATTGTCGGACAATCGCTGCTTGATCAGGTACGTCTTGCAGCCAATGGATGAATCTGTAGTAGCGTCAGTAAAGTTAATGTAATCGTACTCTATTAGGCTTGCTAACTCCGTTCTCGAGCCCAGCATTTCGCCATTCTGGGTAAAAGGACTCAAGCCAGCAAAGCACAGGACAGGAACTCTGCTAACGGAGGCGTTGTGTATGGACTGTCCCATAGCGAGAGTGCCACAATCAACATGGACAATTACACATTGCTTGCGAGAGGTTAGCGAAAGTCAATTGAAATGATGGACATGGTCACCTACCGGAACCCCTGTAGCTTGAGCATATCCTAGTGCAGCTGATAGCGCAACGAGCTCAGAAGGACAGGTAATGATATTTGGGAAATTGGTTTTGTTTTCTACCGCAATTCAGCCCTGCTGTTATCGGATGATATCTCCGGTGCTCACCTTGCTTAGCCTTAACCATGGCTTCCAACATCGCGGGATGGTCGCTCCCCCTATTGGACCAGTCAAAACACATCAAATTGGTGCTTATTACAGGGACTCACAGGTTGACGAAGCAGTGAGTGATCCCAGCCTCAGCTAGGAGAACGGTTAACCTTTGTAATGGACTTCGTGGAGCTTTGATCACATACACAGCGCCTCGAAGAAATTCTCAGAAGCAGATGTGAGGCCGCCATCTTTGACAATTTCGTCTTCATCACTCTCTACCTTCTTTCGTTTTTGGGGTACTGTATTCGACTTCATTATGTCTTGCAATGTTGGAATTAGGGGGGCGTCAAGTTTAAATGTCAACCGCTTGGGAGGTCAGGGCTAGCTCTATATACCCCGCATAGTAACACAGATCAGCTTCCGCTATTTATGGGGCTATTAAATTGTTTCCGTATCGCACAACTTTAACCCGAGGATCGGCATCTTCACCGGCATTTTGGTGTCTCTATTAACCTATTAATAGCACTCTCTAAATTCAGTAACTTCTATTGCATCCTAAGCTCCGTATCATGTTAATCAGTTGCAAAAATCAGATTTCACCAATAACACCCTTGAGTATCTCAGGAACAACAACACCCGCATCTCCCTGGAAGAACCAGTCACCGTCATGAAGTTCACCAGGTGTATCCTTGGGGTCCATATTACACACTGCAACTCGGGCGCCCTGCGAACGAGCCTCGTGGACATACCCCGCCGCTGGCCAGACCCGCGCGCTGGTGCCAATGACCAAGCACAGGTCAATTGGACCCGCTGCGATCCACTGATCCACAGCTTTGAGTGTTTTCTCCGGTAGGGGTTCTCCGAACCATACGACTCCCGGTCGGAGCAGGCCATCTTTGCAACTCGGGCATTGAGGTAGATCCTCTGTGGGCACTGTGGCGATAGGATTGCTGGGATCGGATATGTCGACCTCGTTGGTTGTGCCTTCCAGCGCTTCTGCGATCGCTTTCGATGCTTCCTCGCCAGTCTTATCAGTCGCAGAAGGGTTAAGGCTTGAACTCTTTTTGGGGATCTCGAGGGCGGGAACGATGGGGTCGGTGTAGTTGTCTTCGTTATAGGTGCAGTAGAAATTTGTGCATTTCACATTGAACAGAGTGCCATGAAGAAGATGCAGCTGCTTCGAAGGATGGCTCGCTCGCTGGGATAGACCTAAAAAAAAAAGCATTTATTAGCCGGGAAAACAACAGCTTATCGGATATTCATACCGTCAACATTTTGGCTCAATGTGATGAAGTCTTCATTCCTTCGTGATAGCTCCGCCAAGGCGTAGTGTGCTTTGTTGGGGTCAGCCTGCAAGGCCATGTGTCGCCGGTAACTGTAGAACTGCCAGACGAGACCGGGAGACTCTTCGAAAGCTTCTGGAGTCGCGAGGGAGGTTGCATCGTGGGCACGCCAGAGTCCACCTGCCCCACGAAAGGTGGGTAGGCCGGATGATGCTGAGATCCCAGCTCCAAGAAGAGCAACGATGCGTTTGCAGCCCTTTAAATATTCAGTGAATGATTGAAGGTCACCAGCTGGCAGAATGCTCTTGGAGGAGGCCATGGTCTCTGAGCCACAGTAAGGATTTTGACAATGGGAGAGAGAGGCTTATCGAAGGGGCTGAAATGGAGATGCGGGGAATTTTATAACTACCCCAATTAACGCCTGATGTATAAGGCGCCAGAGCAATTCTTTGTTCAAACTACCATTGGAGCATGTGTTGACTTGCTATAGTATTTCTTCTTTCCTTTCTTTAAAAGACAAGAACATAACAATTTAGCGGAGGCTATCTTCTGTTGATCTCTGGTATTTTATAGTTCAAATATATTCTCCTAGGCAGATCTATCAATCCAATACAAAATGGATCACCACAAGTGAACCTTGAAATCCCCAATACATTTGTAGGAAACCTGCTACTGGAGCAAGTATAGAAGCGATGGGGGCAAAACATGACCTAGTGCAGCTATCGTCTATTTTATCAGAGAGGGCGTTGAACTTGGCGGATATAGATGCTAAGCATACACCTGTAATTCAGACACAAGCTTCTATCGCCTAATGGCCCAGTTTTACGGACACGGTAATCTATAGCATAATAATGACGCGTAGAATGCTCACATCCTGCTATACGATCTGACTAATGTTTAGCTAGAGAATCACATCATTCTGTCGGGCCATCTAGAAAGGAAATCGACCTAGCCAAATTGAGCAAAGGCGAAAATATACGTTGGGCTCAGCATATAGATGGCGAGAATACGGAAATTTCTCATATTGCGACTGTGTTTGCGGCTTTGCTCTCTTGGAGCTCTGTTCAAGGTTATCATTTTTATTTTCTCGACTTGGATCTTATACAACAGGTTTATAGATCGAACTAAACGGCCCGCACTATATGTTTTGCCCAACGGGCGACACAGGTTAGTTTGTTTTATGTCTTTACTTTACTTGTCTGCTTTGTGTGAATTGCTTGACTTCGGCCCCCAAACCGCGAGCCCAACACTTAGTTTTGGGGACCGTGCAAGCTTACCTTGCCAAACGCGTTCTGGCGTGTAACATTGGCGAGTTTAGGCAATATATCATCCAACGCCACCGACGTTTACTTTCACTCTCTATCAGTTCAGATATGGCACCTCTAAGCCTCGGCGATGAGTCCGATGGGAGTAAGCTTCGGTTGGCAAAAAAGAACCAACTTCAAGATGACAACTTAAGAGATGTCAACTCATCTTCAAAGCCCCGCCCCAGGCGACTCACTCCACCATTCCCGCAGAATAAAGATCTCAAACCCCAAACACCGTCAATTAGTCGCGGTTGGCGGTTATCACTTTCAAGACAACGCAGCCGACAATCTACCTTCGACCAAGCCCAGTCTCCTCTATTTAAATCTTTGCCCACCGAAGTCCGCCTTCTCATCTGGGAACACTATCTCTGTAGTCGAATGCTGCATATTCTTCGACCAAGCCAGGGCAAATGGAAACGATCCGACAAACGAATTGTGGGCATTTTATGCAGTGAGTCTCGCAATTTTTGTCCATGCAGTCATCATTGCTGGGGACCGCTTGCTCGTCGCCCTGTGGGGAACTGCATTACACCCATGGACTACGGGTCATACTACCACGAGAACTCCGAGTGGAGATTTGACACGAGAAGAGTTGATTTTGTGCCACTTTTACAATCTTGTCGAAGAGTGTGAGTACTTCCATAAATGCTCAAATATAACCAACTAACAGCGTGCCAGATACTCCGAGGCTATTGATGTCATCTTTCAAAAGAATACATTCCTCTTTAACCATACAAATACAATCATCGAGTTCACGCATACACTTCTACCACAGCGAGCGAGCATGATCCGCACTTTACAGCTCAGTTTTCCGGATCCCGGTGGCCTAAGTTGGAATAGATGCTGCCAGGTTCTTGCTACGATGTTACCTAACCTGAAGAACTTGACCATCCATTTGTATCCTCATGTCACGAACCGTCTGGACGATTGGCTTATACCGCTACATCAGATTCAACAGGCCACCGTCTTTGATGTCTTGCTCATCAAGCCATGGTATCTGGATCCACAATGGCAAAAGTCAATTGGGCTTGTTGATGCGCCTTTTCAATTTGCCGTTAGTGATGTCCAGAGACGTGATTTTTTGAAAGTTGTAGAGTATTGAGGGTACATAGACATAGTTCATGAACATAGACTGGAGACATCAAGTTTGATACACTGGGTTCATATTCCATTTTCTGTTTAGTAGCCATACATATTCTTGAATCAAGTTGGGCTCCAATCATTTCACTATCCTCATCTCCTCCGAGCAACACTTTCCTACGTACATTGTCATACCCCCAATTCATTTAATGTTTCAACCAATCCCAACTCCTGAAGTCCACTCATACCTTGGCCACTGGCTCTCTATTCCTGAAATTCCATCCAGGTTGACTCGAGCCCATCGCTGACTTGTAGCCGTACCCACAGTCACTCGCACCGTCAACATCCATTCGTCCAGGAGGGGGCAGTTGTGTAACCTGTTCATGATAGTCAGAGATGGACATACTACGTCTTTTTGTACACGAAATGAAATGCTCACTGTTCCGTAGGTAGCCTGGTACGATAGAGGGATAGTTTGATATCCAACTTGCTGCAATTCTCCGTCCGGAGCCGGGCGTCCGCGTCCGGTTCCCAGTGATTCTGGAATAACTGTCGATATGTGCTGAAAGCTCTCACCGTTCGGATTGATGTGAACCTGGACCTGCAAATCAGGTTCACCGGTTTCATCACGACATCTGGCAGTCTTCATAGGGCGGGTTGATAGTTCTCCGTTGTCTTTTCTTTTCTTTGTCTGGGCGTGGGGTGGTTGGGTATCATTTCGTTGAGACCGCATGTTGCCTTGTATGCCGGCTCCTCCAGCCAAGGCTGCACTGAATAGATTTCGCTGCTCACCACCCGAAGGTCTCTGGGCGCCAAATCGAGTCACATCAGTCACCGGAGCTATCGTGATACCAGGATCGAGCGAAGGTCTCATGGAAGGGCCCAGGATACGCGCCTCCAGGTCTTGTTTGATCCAATTTCTGCTCAAGGTTTCTTCAATTCGTAGTATTTCCTCCGGGACATATAATTTCCCGTCCTGGAAGGCATCCATCAACCTCATCTTGGCTGTAGCTTTGTATTTTGTTGGAGGTAGTCCAAAATGGAGAAGTTGGGCTTCGTACCAGTGGGCTGGGTTGTCGGGTCTGTTCCTTCTGGCTCCCAATGGTGTACTGAAAATGTCCTCTAGCTCGGAATATGTCGCGCGTGAGTGAACATGACCGCAGGAGGAAGTGGCGTAGAGAGTGTCTATGTTGTAAGACCACTGCCCGTGATAGACAGGAGCCATGATGTGCGTGATAAAGAAGTCTAGGATAGAGTTGAATCGAAGGTGGAAATAGAATCCTTATGTATCCCCTCAGCAATCATGACTAGATAATCACATGTCTATCTGAAGATATCAGATCGACGCGGTATACACTTGCCATTTTAAAAAGTACGTGGTGCGGCATCTACGTATCGAATTTCGTCTGCTACTTGATTCCCCCCTTCCGTTTTGATACTCAGGATTTGTCGCCTCTTGCTACATGAAACTAAGTTCTGACACTATGTGAGGGTATAGACTGAATCTACACGAAACCTTTATATTTCACGTCACATGCATGGAACAGTCATAGAAATAGTACTTTAATCACAGCCCTTTCTCCCCGATCTCACAGGCTGGCACCTCAAGGGCCCACTCAGATCTCAATGCCTCTTCTGCAGTAATCCTCGCCTCAATATCGGGATGTAACATTGCGTAAACCAAATTTCGGTAATGCTTGAGTTCCGATATATTAGATATTGTTCTCATGCTCGGCCTCACTAAAAGGAGACATATATAACTTACCTCTTGAAGAGGCTGTATGAGAGCATAGCCATCTTTCTTCAGACGACAGTGGAGGTAAACAGCATAAGATTCATTATCAGGATTAACTCTCTGGGCGCTGGGCCAGGGGAGTTCTCCCGATCGAAGTAGTACGCAGATTATGCCGCATGCCCACATATCTCCCGCTCTAAAACCACAGCAATCTTGTTGTGCATAGGTTTCAGGGCGAGAGCCCTGACCGGGAAACCTTTCGGGGGGAAGATAAGGAACACTGGCATCTGAGACCGTTCTCCGAATGCACAGAATCGGCTTAGATTCGGAACCCGGAGGTGTATCAGGGTTTGGTTCCGAAGAGGATGTGAGATTACCACTATCTGCTAGTGTGGCTAGTTCTCGAATTGCATCTTCATCTTGACCAAAGCCTCCCACTTTTGCTGAGCCTCGGGCCGTCAGGAGTATGTGTTCTGGTCTTAAGTCTCCGTGGGCAATGTTGTTCTCGTGTAAGAAAGCCACCCCCCGTAGGATTTGAATAGCTAAACAGTCCAACTCCTCGGTGGACGGTTCCTGATTTGGTTTCCATGATCGCCAAAGAAAAGAGAGCAGGTCGCCACCAGCATAGTACGGCATGATAAGACAGAGATTCCGTTGCTTATTATAGAGAATGTCGATGATTGGGATAATGTTGGGGTGGGATAGGTTGATAGTTCGACTTGGAAGATTGTCCTGAGAGAGGGGGTTATGGGTGTGGTGAAACACTTTAATTGCATAGAGTTCCTTAATTGTATTGGCGGAATGTCGTCTCAATACCCCCAGGATATGGATTTGCGGGGGTTTTGCTGGCGATGGTGGATCAGAAAGTAAGACTTTCTTTTTGAACAATTCGACAGTATTGGTGTCATCGTAATGGAGGATTCTGTCGAATTTCCCATAGTCCTCTGCGAATGATGGGTGCGATGCTTCCTGTGCCTTCCTGTTGGCTGTAATTCTTTGCATCTGATCCGACATATCGGAATTCGTAGGCGTCTCTGGGTGAGAAGGACCCTCACATTCACCTATCGACTCTCCCAACCCAGGTAAGATATGAGTTAGCCCACCAATAATTGGAGGGCTCGCGTAGTCCCTGACCTCTCTGTCACAATCCCTGATCACATGGTGAGTATGGGATGGCGGGGAGCGTGGTGGTATTTGGACATGCACGAAGCGATGTGGACGAGTATGACGAGGCATATGTTTTTCAATTGTCTGTTTCTGTGAATGAGATTGTCCACTATTGTTTTCCGTGGAAGCTATAGAACAAATCCTCCCTAAAATGAAAAAAGTCCATAGAAGCTCTAAACTCCAGGGCTGTTGTAGTATATGACATAACCATGAATCATGTCACTTCAAGGTTCCAAGACCTAAGAGAAAACACCCCGACATGCGCTGATTGGCCCATTATGGTGCTGATATAAGGTCTATGGGTATCTGAGCCTCTGGTCAATCTCGGAGAGCTCATTGGACATCTATAACATCGATCATGTGTTCAGGTGCACTAAGAAGTTGCACATAGTCCTAGGATCGAATCCACAAACACTTTTTTTAATCCTGATAGATGTATATTATGTAGGTATACCTGTAAATTACTTCATGTCAGATATATATATAAGGTGTACTCTTCTAAATAGTAAATCGTTATTGTTTACATTTAAGCCCCACGTTCCACGGGCTACACTTTAAGCGCGTTAAGGATTCCCCCTCAACCCCAACTTCACTCCATCCCATCCACTTGTTTTTCTACATCACACATCATGAATCCATCCTTTCCAGCAAGCTCTCCACAGAGCTCTCCAGCTCCGAACACACAAAGCGCACTCAGCCATCGTCCAAGCCCGCGCCAAGCCCAGAGCTCAGGCACACCACCCAACAGCACAGGCAACGCCCCGATTCCAGATGACGACCATGGCGCCGATCTACCGATGAATATGTCTGCATCGGTAATGCTGACCAATTTACCCCGGGATGCGCACCAGGCACTCGCCGACGTGGAGAGTATCGATTCGGGGAAAGGTAACATCCCTCCTTGAGCTTTTGGACCGGACTACCGCGAGGTCAACAAATGGTAGAATAAAGCTAATGACAATCAAGTTACTGTTCGCTTTCAGCCTCTCCCGTCAGCGCCGATTCTAAAAAACCGGGTGTTCAAGGTTAGCGCCTCGCAGAAATTCGAAACGGTCGTCAAGTTTCTGCGCAAGAAGTTGGACTGCAAAGAGACCGATTCTGTCTTTTGTTATGTGAATAGTGTTTTTGCGCCCGGGTTGGATGAAGGCATGGGCGGACTATGGAGGGTGGGTGTCCCGTTCTACTTGCAATTCGACAAATTGAATGCTGACTTTGTGATAGTGTTTCAAGACGGACGATCAATTGATTGTCGCTTATTCAATGACGCCAGCATTCGGCTGAGAAGACTATGAACAATCAGCGCGAACTGCTGAATGATGATATGTACAAATGATGATGATGATGATGATGATGATGATGATGATGATGATGATGATGATGATGATGATGATGATGATGTTTAATACAGAACATGCAAGAAATGGCCGTGAAAAAAAGATGGCAACCAGACGCATCATGATTCCCGGAAGACCTCGTCCACCGTTTTCTGGAACTCATCGAGCTCATCCTTCGCAATGGGATACGTGTATTCCTTCGAAGGGAACGCCCGGCTCTTAACCTCATCCCTATACAGCGAGATTCCACGGGCAGCCTCATCCCAAACATCCGCGTACTGCTTAACAAACTTCGGCACGAACCGACCAGGCTGGAAATTCCCAGTCATGTCAACCTGCACCAGAACCTGCCCGGAACAGCCATTCCCAGCGCCAATACCGATAGTCGGAATCTGCAGCTTCTGCGTGATGATCGACGCAACCTCAGACGGGATTGCCTCAAGCACAAGCATAAACGCGCCAGCCTCTTGCATAGCTAGGGCATCGCGCAGCAGCCTCATCGCACTGACAGCGGTCTTGCCCTGCACACGGAAGCCACCGAGGGCATTCTGACGCTGCGGCGTAAGACCGACATGGCCTACTACAGGCACGCCGGCTTGTGTTATGCGCTTGATTGTGGGCGCAAGTTCCTCGCCACCTTCGAGCTTGACGCCGTGTACGCGGCCTTCCTTAATCAGACGCAAAGCTGACTCGATAGCTTGCTCTGCGCACACTTCATATGACCCCATCGGTAGATCTCCGACCTAGAATTGGAGTATGGTTATTAGGCGGGTGGCGCTCGCTAGTCAAAGAGTCCCGACAACTCACAATAAACGCGGCTTTCGTTGCGCGCGCTACGCTCCGACAATGAAGAATCATCTCTTCCATAATGACCTCCGTCGTGTTTTCAAGTCCAAGCGCTACCATTCCTAAACTATCCCCAACCAAGACCATATCCATCCCCGACGCATCGGCCACATGAGCACTGGGAAAATCATGCGCCGTGAGCATCGTAATTGGCTCCCCCTTTTTGTGCAGATTCTGTAGCGTCTGAATAGTAACCTTCTTCCGCGCCTTTCCATTCCCTGATGATGGTGTGGAGTAGGAACTATGCCGGGTTTGGGAGAGGGATTGTGGCGTCGGGAAATGGGAGGACAGGACAGGACAACAGCCGGCGCGAAAGGTGTGTGTAGCCTGAATTCGGGTAGCGGGGATCACTCTTGCCCTTAGCAGCGACGAGGAAGTGAGCGCTGTGCGCCGCAGCGCAGAACCTGGCGCGGCCATTGTGTGGTGTGATTTTTAAAAACGGAGTGGCGCGATGCACCTGACGATGCACGATATCAAAATACCAGACTATCTGCGTCCAGTGAGTATATATGGCAATATTTCCGAGCATGCAATGCTATGTGCAGCAGTTGTATGGTACCCGAGCTGTAGAAGTGGCAATAACAAAGCGAATGGCGATGACCTCAGCGGCGAATGAAGCTCTTCCGATGCAATGGCAAAGACGAAGGTGTCGTGAGATCTTATATCACGGAATATCTCCGGAGCTATGGCTTTGTTCAGATATCCTTCTGTCCGGACTAACGTGCTGGGTTATGCGGCGTAGATGGGAGCATCAAAAATTCCTGAAGTTGAAGATCTCCATTTACTGCCGCTGATTACGGGGCCGAGTGCCGAGATGGTTTGCGGGGCTGCCAGGTGCTTTGACTCAGGAACGGTGCATTCGATCAGACCTGGTGCTAGTGGACATCTATGAGTGTGACAATTGATTTTTTATCAAAGAATGTTCAATATAAAGCTTTCATGTTGTGACATCAACTGGAGAAGCTCGAGGATGTATTTTATGTCATTCTCACCGCCTGGCACTAATGTCACCGCCTGCAATTTACGTCCCGCCGAGGTGATTACCGCATTGGGCTAAGTGAGGGGGCCTTGTTTTTACTTCTATAGGCTGATGGTTCTTTTCCTTCAAGAATTCATTTGATAAACAATTTCAATTAGCACGATACAAACTGCATACAGATCATCGAGTCAAATAAATGCTTATTCAGGTAAGTAATGTCACGAGAAAGGAAAAGTCTCAACTCGGCCGCCTGCGCTCGGTAAACCACAGCCATCGGGAAACCAGACACCACCAGTAAAAAGACACAAGGAAAATCTGATGAAGATAGAAAAGATGGCCCCGTAGGACCAAAAAAGGGGATAATGATGTGTTAGACTGAAGTGCAATGCAAGGTGAGGAACCCTTGAGTTCATGCTAAATCGTTCATTATACCTTCGGTATATCGCAACCAGCCACTATTGAAGGCCGTAAAGGACAAGCTGATTGCATTCAAGGCGAGCAGCGTCGACGATGAATTTTTCTTGGACCAACATGGGGATGCAAGTATCCAAAATTGCTGTCGGCGGTTGATGGAGGTCGGTTCACGAGATCGAAGGTGATGTGATGCTGGTTTATAATCGGATATTCAATACAATTGAAAGAAGTGAAGATGCTGTAAAGGAGTGGACGACCTCCATCGAGGTCAAGGCAAGCAGACCAGACCTTCAGAGAGGGACTGGTTACTGGTACTGCTGATGCAGAAAAAGAAAAGAAAAATGAAAACGCCACCATGCATATGTCGATGCCGAGGGTATGGTTATGCGAGAGTTTTGGGGTGCAAATCGGGCATGACGGAAGTAAAAATAGCAACGTGGCAGAAGAAAGATAACTTGAAAATAAAAAGCTCAACCCGCACCAGATTGCAAAGATATTGCATCGAAGAGGGCGAGGTTCAAAGAAAATCATGGAATGCTGTGAGAAACAGCAGATCTATTCATCATATTCATAGTCGCTCTTGAGGGGGCGCTGAATTTCGGCAAGCAATGCATCGAGCTCAGCCCAGTTCGTTGAGTTCGTGGCAAATCGGCGATGTTTCCGAGTAAGAGTGTGCTAAGAGATGGGTCAGTATGCATAGGAATCTAAATAATGGGACAAATTGGATCATACCTCTTCAAAGTCGTCGAACTTGTCCCTGCAGTTCTCGCAATAGCCAGGCTTGGGGTCTCTGCGACGTTCGGGTTTCTTTTGTTCATCTTTGTCCTCCCTTTGTCGCTTTGAGCCAGCCACCTCGGATTGCTTTGCTTCATCCTCATTGTGGGGAATGTTGACCTTTCCGGGGGGATTGATGTTGTTCTTCGTCGGAACTGGCGCAACCCCATCTCCACGACGTTGGGGAGCAGCCATCGACCCCACTGCGAATCCACCTGTGCCCTTCTCAAGCACCTTTCGCTTGAGCCCATGAACCTCCTTGCTGAGCCCGGCTTTCGCACCAGGTGCTGCAGCAGTAGATGAGATCATCTGTGAGCGAATTGCGGATGTCATGTTAGACGGCTGAACACCTGAGGCAGCTGGCTCATGACCAGCATAAAAGGGCCCAGTGCGAGGGAAGTGAGGAGGGATGAAGCTTTCAGAGCTCTTTCGCTCGTGGGTTTCATCAACTGATGGCTTTTGAATTTCGTTTTGAATTGGAGGTGAGACGCGCTCCTCTTGTTTCGCCAATGGCTGGGAATGCGCGATCTCTGTGGCCACAGATTCGGGGGCTTGGACTGGCACAGCGGCTTTTGTCTTAGCAGTTCCATCAGCCTTGAGAGAAGCAGCCTTTTTCTCTTTGTGGAGTTGACGCAATCGGTGTCGGTCATACTCCTTCCTGCTCGGGGGCTCATCTATGAAAGGACACTTTCCGAGGGGAGCGCTTCGGAACTGTGGCCAAGATCCATCCTGGCGTCTAGCGACTCGGGAGTATTCTCGAACCATCACTGGTTTGGTCTTCTCGTTCATGTCGTGAATGTAAACGAATGGTCCTTTGAAGATGATCATTTCCATTGAGGTCAATGGATCGCGATCAGACGGTCCGTTGAGAAGTTCCTGGCGAAGAACCCGCGAAAGGTCATTTTCGCCCCGTTCGTTGGCGGTGGTGCCACCAGCGGCCTTATTTCGAGCGGCTTGTTCATATTGGGCACCGATATCACTATCATTGATGGTAGTGATCATACGCTGGAGCTTTTCCAACGCCCAGATTTTCATGCCCATCTGCCGAGCCCTTTGCAGGATGTCCATAGTGACTTGGTCGCGACGCGTCTCAGTTTTCAATGATGCATGCAGGTGAGTCTCGCCGTTTCTCTCCAGAAGAGAAGGGTTGACAGTTTGGATGTTGCTATCTCCGTTAGTGGCGTCTGTAGTTGACTCCGGTTCTGTTGGGGTGGTTGATTCTGGGGGGATAGCACGCGAGGTGACAACGTGGGTCACTAGACGCGAGAAAAACTTCTCCTCACGCTGTATCATAGTCAGTTAGAGAAAATGCCAACGGAAAATGTTCAATCACTGAAGACAGGAAACGCGAAGTGCAACCAAGACCAACTGAACTTTCTGTGGGGCAATGACTTACAGCTCCGAGAGCAATGACCTGGCGAGAGAACCGCCGTCTCACATCCTCGGGGATGCTATCGAAGTAAAACACAAACTGGGGGAACGCCTTCCTATAGTGTCGCTGCCATTGTCGAATGGAATCCATAGTATCTGCCGGAGCCTTCTCAACTCTAACATGCTTGACCAGCGGTTGGCGTTCCTTCTCTCTGGCTGCGACAAGCTTCTTCTCAAATGCACTGGGGTTGCCGTTGTTCGATCGCCGCGCGAAGAGTTTCGAGTCCGTGTTCGTGGTCTGGCAGGTGGTAGAGCGAGGTTCGTATTCCATATTCTCCATCGCTTGTCTCTTCGGTGGTGGCTGTCCGTACGGGATCTCCACTCGAGTAGGGCGAGCTCGTTTAAGCACTAGCTCTGCCCTGCGTGGAGAATTTGTTGCATTCGGGACGTTGGCGAGTGGACGGCGAGTAGCCATGGTCAGGGAGTTTCGTGGCGAGGGAGGTACGAAGACAGTGGCCATTTGAAAGCACGTTCCCAGGGCCGAGAACGCGTGTAGATGTTGTAGAGCAACAAATAGTCAAATATCAAAGAGGGGTACTCCGTGAAGAGCACGCGTACTAACACGTCTTTTCAGGGTTAGAGGAGATCAGAGAATTGACATTGTATCCTAAGAGACAATAGCAAATAGCCAGAGGGGAGAAGAAGAGATCGAAGTGCTCAAGGGTGGAATGGGAAGAGAAAGTCGAGGTGGAAGACCTAAAGGAAAGAAAGAAGAGCAAAGCAAGTCGTGTGGTGTGGAGCTCAGTTTGTTTTGGGCGGAGGCCTGACAACCAACGGCAGAGCGCGAAGCATGAACATCAACATTGCATTCTTTGACCGCGACAATATTGTTTTTTTTCTTTCTTTTACTACTTCATTCTCGATCTCATTCTCTGCGGCTTTTTTGTCCAATGCTTCTCTTCTTAACAAACTACTAACAATACATCTCCAGCCTCCCCCCGACCAGCCTTCCAAACAGCCCCCAAACAAACAAACCAGCCACTACCAAGTACCTAGTGAGGCAAGGATAATTCAGACATGTATATTATAATTCGAACGGAACAAAATGAAATGAAGTACAGGGGCTCAAATATGATCTTTTGAATCCTTATGCTATTGTACATGGGAATTAGAGGGATCTGACGGCTACCATATACATCACATCTAACTACGTAGTGCCTCAATATCCTCAACCTAGTAAAAGTTAGTGACGATTAAATATGGATACTACAGTCTTGAACATACCTCCTTAACAGCCTCAGGGGTTAAAACAATCGGGTGTTCTTCTCCGACACAAACACTATCCTCGATGCGAATTCCGATCCCACGGAAGTGCGCGGGCCATCGCTCATCGTTAGGAACGTAGATACCCCTAGCATGTGTTAGTTTATTTCATGTTTCAGATCTGCGAGGAAAGAGGCTGGGGACGTACGGTTCAATTGTTATACATTGACCCGCTTTCAGGTCATAGCCTCTGGAATATCCAGGGCAGTCATGGACATCCAAGCCGACATAGTGGCCGAGATGGTGGGGGAAGAGAACGTTGAGTGCCTAGTCGGAGTCAGCATACTCCGCATGGAAGGAGTTCGGATGCATACATTGCCGGAAAGATCAAAGCCAAGCGACTTAAGCTCGTCTTTCAGTCCAGTCTCCGCGATGCCATGGAGTTTGTCTAAAGAAAGATTGGAGGTCTCGCGGCACAGAGCGAGGCAGCGCCGGTGCACGTTGAGCACGGCATTGTACAGATCCCGCTGGGGATCAGAGAACTTGCCATTGACAGGCCATGTTCTAGTGATGTCGGAAATATAGGTTCCCCATTCCTGTAGGTTGGTCAGTATCCTGGAACTGTAAAGGCCAAGTCTAGAGAAAAGAACTTACACCGCCGCCATCAACGAGAACCAAATCCCCATCCCTACAAACAAGTGTAAGCAGAGTATCACAATGGTTTAGAAAAGGCATACGAACTTCAATACATCATCATTTCGAGTGTAATGAATAGACAAGGCGTTCTAGATCTGTTAGCATCGAACTCGGCTGAACAAAGGTCGGGAAATTTACCTGGCCACCCGCGACAACCGGGACAAATGCGTTGGTATCACAGCCATTCACCTTGAACTGATACTCCAGGAAAGAATAGAGATCTTTCTCCCGGGTGAAGTCCTGTCGCATAGCTTCGGTGAAAGCTCTCCCTGACGCTTGTCCCAGTCGGCGCATTTGTACAACCTCATTCTCACTCTTGAACACCCTCATTTCATTGAGCAGGTGCTTCAAGGGCTTGACCCTGCGGTTATCGATGACCTTCTTCAGCTTTTCCGAGGCGACTGTCGGCCCATACAGATACCGATTCAAAGATGATCTTGAGCCATCAAATGAGGGGATATCCGAGTAGACCTCCGTCGCTCCCTGGACGATACTCGGCAAAATATCTCCAATATGTTCAATGTTTCCTGTCTGTTCTCCGTGTCAGCTCGATGTTGCGTCGGATCCTTCCGCCAATATTTCGCACCTCATCCGCATTAAAGACATCGAGAGCAGCCCGAGTGCCGGAGCGCGCCCCGTCCCAGAGTTCTGCCCTAGGATCCTTTTCCCGCACATATAAATGGAAGATATGGTTGTCGCCAGAGCCGTCGTTCCCGATGATCGCCAGTGAATTTGGTTCGTTGAATCCTATCCGGGGCGCAAACGTTTAGCGTGTGTCCTCCGTAGCATCACCAGTCTGCCAAGCACACTCACCGGTGAGGTAAAAGAAATTTGAATCCTGGCGGTACTCATTAAAGATGCCTTGCGCACGGTACTTTACCTCCGAGGCAGCCAGCACCGCAATTGCGCCTTTAGGTAGCTTGTTGGCGAGTTTCGATCGACGTTGCGCATATTCAAGGGCGGTGATTCCGGGCGTAACTGGACAAAAGATGATCAGGTAAATAAACAACAAATCACAAACATAGATGACCCACGTTCGCCCGGGCTAAGGATATGGGGATGCGTCTCATGCAACGGCTGGCCGAATTTGAGTTCCGCGGCGGCCACGGAGGTAGCGTAACTGCGAGTGAGAGGGTTGCATCTAGACAATTGGCACAATGAATGACTCAAGGGCCTCGCTGGACGCAGACGGATAGCGCATTGGCGAACAAGAGACCTGCATGCCGCCATGCTTCAAGGTCCTAAAAAGTAAGTGATAAGAGTTAAACTGTTGGAGTTGTTATCGCCAGATTCACCCGTCGACGGTGTAGTCGGCGGTGTGGGCCAATCACCTCGGGTGCGTTTCGCATCGGAGACGGGTTCTGTTGTCCCCCCCCCTGTCATTTCATGGCTACTTCAATCGATAGATATGTACACATGTCATCAAATATGCCTTCTAGATCATGTGGGGAAATCTTACCGGATGTACCTGCCAAAAGGAGCATTTGGAGGCATGCCCTAGCTCATTTACGTGTCTTGACTCATAATCCATCTATATAAATGCTCAGTTCTTCGTGGCTTACTTCTTGCTTGGTCTAACTTCCAGAAATATTCCACAGGCTACCATATACATTATGGGACGAACCTTGACTTACCCCAAGAAGATTTCCAACACCGTCAACCGGTACAACCATCGAGGTACAAGATAAATATGGAAATAAGAGATACACCGAAGTTGATTAACATTATATTCTAGCCACTTATGATCTGGGTGCAATCCATTCAATCATCAATGACTCACAAGTCCTCCATGTATCCTTCAACCCAGGGCCGGAAGACCCATTCCCGGCGATCCTGCCAATGATAGGGCAAATGGGATCCTTCGAGTTTCCCTCCGCAAGCATCAATGAGCCTCTAGAGTGCTACCTCCACGGCTACGTCAGCTCACGCATTATGAATCTAGCCCGCAGCTGCAGCGATGGAGAGGGACTCCCCATCTGCGTGGCAACAAGCAAAATAGACGGGCTGATCCTGTCGCTCACGCCCAACTCGCACAGCTACAACTACCGCTCTGCCATCCTACACGGTTATGCGACCCTCGTCACAGACGAGGAAGAAAAACTTTGGGCTATGAAACTGATCACGAACTCTGTCCTCGAGGACCGCTGGGATCACTCGCGTGTGCCGCCGGACCGTGCTGAGATGCAGTCGACTGTCATCCTGAAGGTAAAGATCGTGGATGGCAGCGGCAAGATCCGTGATGGTGGTGTTTCGGATGAGCGCAAGGACACAGGTAACGAGCAGGTTACCAGCACTGTCTGGACTGGTGTTGTTCCGGTTTGGGAAATGTTTGGAACACCGGTTCCTAGCGGTGATAGTAAGGTCGCTGAAGTGCCTGAGTATATTAATTCCTATATCGCTAGCAAGAACAGTCAGAACAAGGCTTTGGCGGAGGGTGCTGTGAAGGTTCAGCTGCCGGCTGAGGAGCAGCACTGAGGACTACACAAAGGCTGGATTAGTTCAATTCATGATATGTCTTTATGTTTCTTAATCTTCCATAGCAGGCTCCCAATGTCTTCCTAGGTCTACTCTTTCTAGCCCCATTATATAGTTAGACAACAGGCCCTGAGGATACCTGATAGGATGAGAGTAATTGAGATTTCACTCAATGTGTGAATGAAACAAGAGATATGACTGGGATACATTCAAAAAAATGACGTTAGCTATAAACAAACACTGTACAATAAAGTATTACCCCCAACACATTCAAACTACAAATGAGCAGCCACGCTTCCCCACACTTTAGGCTCATCATTAGCCACATACTCGTTATCATCTTCAGAGCTACCATTCCGACCAGCGGTCCGTCCCGCCACCGCTAATCTCTTTGCGACCTCATTCGCCTCAAACAGACTAACAAGTCTTCTCTTTCCTGGCCGTTGCTGAGCCCGTTCCTGACAAACCCGAAGCATATCTTTCACGTGGTCGTACTCGAGCCTGATACCGGGAAGGAAGAATCGGGGCTCACGCTTAACAGCATTCTGCCACTCTGGGTGGCTAGAGGGCCATCCGGGAGGACTAACAGGCGGCCCAGAGGTACTCTTGTTGACCCAAGCATCAACGGTCATTTCAAGAGGAGTCGTGCCAGTAGCATTCTCCCGATTTAGCATGTCAGGACGACGATCGAGGAGTAATCTAAGGACTTGGGGGAAGGCCTTCTTGATCGCATTATGCACCGGGGTGTTTCCAGCTTCGTCAAAGAGTTCGAGATGCTTTTGGTCCGTGGAGTTGGCTAGGTCCAGAATGAGGTTCGTCATGGAGGTTATTATCTCATCATCAGTCTGGCCACTATTAGGGGGGCGAGGGATGGCCGGATCCGCTGGCGTAAAGTAGGAGTAGGCGTCAAGCCATCGTGCAAAGGGCGTTCTTGAACCCTCACCGGCGCGCTCCATGAGCATTGTCGGGTAGAGTTGCTTATCCAGTAGGTCTAGGAGCCTGTTGAATCGGTTGGAGTTCTTACAGACTCGACCTCTGTCGGATACGAGGATCAGGTGGAGAAGATTGCGCGCTTCTCTATCGCGGACAGCCTGGTTGGCTCCGGCTTCTACCAAAATTCGGGCAAAGCGGACCTTGTGGAGGGACATGGCCAAGGCGAGAGGCGTCAGTCCTTCTGTCGATCGGACCTCCAAGCATTCAGGGTGGTGGTCCACAAGATACTGAACCAGTCGAATGCTTTCGTCATTTGGGTCGCACATGATTGCGCAGTGGAGGACAAGGTTGTCTTTTTTACGGTCAGCTGTGTTTTTTCAAGCTCCGAGAATGGATTAAGCACTTACTACTTGCTTGTAACCAGCTTAAAAGCGTTCCCTCGAGTCCGAGCTTGGATTGAGTCAATCGTTTGACTCTCTCATCATCCTGGTTCGCATTAAGATACTCCAGGTAATAGCGAGCAGGCGCGGTACCAAGGAAGAACTCCGTAGCAGCCAGATTACCCCGACGAGCAGCGACAAGAAGGGGAGGACGCTGTCCCTGGGCTTTCATCGGTTCCCCCAAACCAGCATTAGCCCAATCGGCACGCTTGATGCCACGAATCGACAACCCAGGGTAGTACTCAGGCTCTTTCTTCTCCTCAACACCACAGTCATCGCTCAATTTTGTAAGTGGGAGGCCAACTCCGGCACTTTGAATCATTTTGGCAAGACAATCGGTACGTCCAAGCGAAATTGCAAGCTTGAATACGTCGAACTCTACCGAGAACTCACACTTTCCGGCTGGGTTGGTGCGAGCAAGATCCAGTCCAGTCTTCAGGAGGAATTCTAAAAGAGAAATGTTGTTTGTGTAAACAGCATATTCCAAGAAGCTGTAAACATTGGCAGACTTTTCTCTCTTGTTCCAAGAACTCTCATCTTCGTATTCGTCCAAAAATAAGAAGGCATTGAACCGTGCCTTGAAAGCAACAAGAGGGGAAGTATTGCTCTTGACATCACTGGCAACTTCGCCGATGTTTTCGTGGGTGAAGGTATCATCGACAATCTCACTGATAATGTTAAGTCCTTCGTTCTCTCCATCCGAGTCATCAGAGCCATCGGAGCATTCGATATCGATCTCAAAGCGCTTCCGACCCTGGGGCTGCTTCAACTTGTACTGGACGTGGAGAATTTGAAGAATGGCCCTAGCGACGGCGAAATGGCCACGCATGATGGAAATTGAAAGCGCAGAAAAGTGTTGCTGGTCGGTCACAGCAATCTCAAGTGGTGCTTGGTCATTGAGAGATCCCCACATGCCCAGTGTCAACGATTTGATGGTATCAATATCGCCATTCCAGGCTGCTTCGAAGCTGTTATATGATTCATTGTCAGCAGAACGATCTTGGGCTGTGGGGTTAAGGAGGGGATACATACAGTTGTAGGTATCCGTCGCGAGCATTGTCAGTAATAGCTGGTACATTGAAGTTGAAGTTGACTTTGAAAGGCTCAATAATAGGATTTTTCCTCTCAGTCGAAATTTGGTGTGGGAACGTCACGGAAACGCTGTGCGGAGGATGAAGCTCGTCCCATGTCTTTGCATCTTTTTCCAGCAGAACAAACTCCAGCTTCTCGTAGTCGCGAATCAAATCCGCAATGAACGCCTTCTTCTCGACCAAGCCAATGGGATCAGGAGCCTTGTCTTGACACTTCTTAGCTTGTTCTTCGACCTCTCGATTCTTCTTGCGCAGGTTGCGGAGCAGATTCTTTGCAGTGAACCCTTTGTAACTACCAGATTGGAACTCCGACAGATATGTCTCGTCATTTGGGTCCACTGGCGTTGAGATGGAATGACGAGAGGATTGGCACTTGTCTTCTACCAAGAAGTCACGGAGCGTTTTCAAAGTTTGACGCATGACGTCCAATACCGTTTGACCTTTCTCTTGATATCTCTCCTTGAGTTGAGTACTAAAACTGTTGGGGTTCACCCCGCGATTAAGCAGATCAATTGCGACCAGAGGGAGATCATTCTCAATAGCCAGCAAGATTGGCTGCTTCACAGCGGACTTTGCGTCTTCTTCAATGTCCTGGCTACCGTAGTAGCTGCCGTAGGATTGGACTCCTCTAGATTCCGTAATAGACTTCACAATGTCACTGAGGTCAATCTCCTGATGAGCACCTGTATCCAACAGCTTGGCTGCTGCGGGGGCGTTCCTCGCAGTTATAGCGGCCATCAAGACCGATGAGAAGTCCGGTCTCCAGGACCCGCCCTCAACTGCCAGATGATTGATTGCCCTCTTTACGGCCGGCTCATCATGCTGCATGTAGATATCAAGAAGGTCAAACTTGTCGGAATGAGCAAGGTAATAAAGCGGTGTCTTCTGCTTGAGGTCTGCTTGGGCGGGTGAAGCGCCGAGGTCGAGAAGTGTCTGGGACATCTCCTTTGCTTTCTCGAATGGGAGAGCATGGATGAGAACCAGGTTGAGAATTGCAGCCAGGGGTGTTCTATTGTGCTCGTTCATAATTTTGATTGGCATCAAAACATCGGCACCGAAAGATGTGACAAGCTCTTTCACGGCCTCAGTGTGACCATGGAGAATGGCGAGGTGCAAAGGAGCCGTCCTGCTATCCCATGCAACAATATTGATGTCGTAGACATCCGGCTCAAGTTCGTTCTCCTCGAGCGTATCGTACGTGGTCAGATCATTCTTCTCTTCAAAGTCGACTTTGACATAAGAGGCAGAGGTGTGAGACATGGCATCGGCTTGGTCAATCATATCAATATCTTCATCCTCCTCCGTGTTAGGTTTGGTCTCTGACTTGGCGTTCTTTTTCAGAGCGTCCTGCTTCTTCGCTTCTTCTTCCTCGTTCTCATTGCTCTTTGTGAGTAGAATTCGAATTATCTCGACATGTCCCCGAGCGGCGGCAAGATGAAGCGCGGTCTTTCCATCAGCCATACGGGGAATCATGCGAGCGCCACCGTCAACAAGGCATTGCACGACTTCAGGAGTCGAGCACATGCACGCGAGTTGGAGTGGTGTCCGTCCAGTGTAGTCACGACGATCCGGGTTGGTACCCGCCTCTGCAAGGAAAGCTTTGACAGATTCAGTATCGTTCGCCACGATTGCCTGGCAAAGTCTTTCGGTGCGGCCGACGTAAGCCATTTCTATTGTGTTCATATTAGTCCATAGATCAGGAACAGAGAAATATCCCAGACAATTCACTCACCGGTCCAATCAGTCTCAGTAATCGGATGAAAACTTCCAATCTCCTGGCGACCGGGATCATCTTTGATGAAAGTAACATGACCAGAGATATACATCTTGGCCTCCTCTTCGGCTACCTTGACTTCCTCCTCGGTAGCAGGGTTGGGGCAGAAGCCACAGCAGTCGCCAATAACATGTTCTGCTTCGCCAAAGAATGCTGGATGACGATGAAGGTAAACTGTACGCTCTTTGGACTGGTTCCATTGGGCGTTCAGCAACAGATCTTTGGTGTAAAGCAGCTTCTCAATATTCCTAGCGTTGAATTTCCGACCGTAAGGAATAGTCTATCCGTGGGTCAGTAAGAGTCAAGTGGTAGCAAGTGAGTTGCAGTGAAGGTACGAACAAAAGTATGGTAATCAGATACTTGGTCTTGTTCTTGCCAATCAGGCACCTCATCTTCCCAGTCGTCCTTGATATTGCCATATAACATCTTTCCATGACGACGCTGCGCATACAAACTTAGAGCAGGTCGACCTCGCTCCTCGCGCCTCTTTTGGAGATAGTTGTCCCGGTCTTGAGACCGAGGAAGTTTTTCCAATACCAGAAGTCGTGCAAGCCCTTCGGTTCTGGTAAAGCTTCTCTCAAATATAGTCTATCGCGAGAATTAGTTTCGCTGAAATTTTACTCACGTCAAAGAGCTCAATCCTCACCGGGTCAATCTTTGATCTGTCAAGAGCAGGCCAGAAAACCTCGAATCCACGGCGCGAATACTTGGAGAGACGATTCTCATATGAAGGTGATCTTCGGGTTAGATCAATCTGATTCGCCTGTGTGATGTACGCAGCGATTGCGCGTGGAGAGGTATAGACCTGGTGACCATTATATGCCGCGCACGAAACATCCACGTCAAAGCCGGTGAGAATCTCAGCGACTGAGCGGTAGATGCGAAGCACGATTTGCACATGGCGGGTTGGATACTGAGAAACAATGGTGATTGTATTCTTGGTCCTGATGGTTGTGGTCTCATAGAGGATAGAGTTCTTGATCTTATCCTCAATGTGCATGATCTTCTCAAGAGCTTGCTCCTCGTTTAGACCATACAAGAAGAGATCCACATCCGACGCCGGAGCAAACTCTTCATGGTAGTACTTGCGAAGGCCACGCTTTGAGTTGCGATACTTCTCTGGCACTGGCAAAAGGGAGGTCGTGACAGCGCTGCCAGCAGCAACAATGTTGGACCAGTCGATTTCACTCAATGAGCCCTCTGTGAAGAGCGCAAAGTTGTTCTGGAACTCATTCAGAGAGGGTACAACTGCCGTAGCCCCATGTTGCTTTCGGTCTTTTTTACTCAGGGGCAAAAGATACTTCTCTGTTTGCTCTGGCGTTTCTGACGCAAGGTCCCGAGCTCGAATGGAAAGATTTGTGGAACCGTTCTGGTCGTACAGCGGCACAACGTTGACGTAGTTATCTTGGATTGATGTATGAGATGGATCTTGAGCAAATGTCTTGCGTAAAACGGCATCGTACTCGTTATATGGCTGAACCAAATCACTCATGGGCCTCTCCGGGTTGGAGTTGACATACTTCACAAAGTCGTTGTGCTTCACTGGGAGGGAGGGCAAAGAAGTCATGTTGTCAATTATGCAAATGTAATGACAATGTGATAGTACATCAATTGAATGGCAAATCCAGGAGAGAACCACTGGGGTTTATATAGAGAGGCCAATATCTAGGGGATATTTGATATCGACCTAGTTCACTAGTTAGTTCACTATTAGCGTTAGCGTCCAGGCACCCTTAGGCTACCTTAGGCAACAGCCCCACTATTACCACATTTTCAACCAATCGCTTCCTTTCCAGTCTCGGACTAAATTCCCTAAATTTTAATTAATGAGACGCCAATTGACTCGACTCAAATGTTTTAGTTGGAAGCCTGACCGTAGATTATACACAAATAACGGGCTCCCTTAGCAGACGTTAAACAGTGTTTGGATGTGGGTGAACGTAGGTCGGATTCTTCCCAACGTATACACTGTACTCCATAGCCGCCAACAACACATATGTATCGGATACTCCTGTTTGTTACGCCAACCATACAATGAGGTATAGGTATTGCGGAGGAGGTGCCTATGCACCACAGAAGTCGCCTGTTGATACATCACCTCGCTTAACCGCTTGCATGCGCATGGGGTAGATCCCCTAAAAAGGGGAAGCTGGATCCTCTTAGGAGGACCAGCGATTAGTCTGAATATCATAATACCAATATCAGGCACATCTCACATTCTTCACTCGAATCCATATCGTACCGGGACGCCCCCAGGGGTCTGTCCTAACAGTGTATGTGGTTTCCGATCATGCGTATTTATTCCCGGCCTCTTCGCTCTATCTGTTGAGCTCGTCTACGAAGAAACTGCCTTTTGTATTACGCCAACTTGACCGCAGGGCATATTTTGGTGCTTTGGGGTGTGGTTGAGTCAACGTTGGGCTCTCCAGTCCATCCACGTCTCTTCACAATAACGTATTTTCTCGGCCACCCACCAGAATATGGTTTGAATGTGTCGCTTAAGCGAGTAGAAACAGATCCCAGGCATATCAATGGGCCTCGTTTTTAGTAGCCACCTCACAACTATGCTTTAACAATTGACACCAATCAGAACCATGCAAGTGACAAAACAAGCCGAAAAGTCTATAAATACATGTTCTAACCATGGGATTTCGTCCAAAAAGACAACAGCATGACTATAGCAACCCCAGTAGCTTTACATCCAAGACATCAGAATAAGTTCATCCCAAGTTAGTTAACCGCGTGCATCTTCACTGTACTAACTAAGATATAATACATCGTGGATAACGAGTCAGGTGGTAGGTAACCTTGACGTGCTTAACCTGGCTACCCATTTTGTGCCACGCAGTGGCAGCCGATAAAAGATGAAGTCGAGACGTTTGTTTGTCCTCTGTAATGTATATGTACTAGGTATGTTATCTTTCTTCCTGTGCAAACGCAACCGACCACCGAAGTATTTAAATTACTAATTGCCGATTCTGCCCCCAGGCTGATACGCGAGGTGAGAAAACGGGACTATTAATGTGGCAAGTATTTAGGGTTCCAGCTCAAGCCTGTCTGATGTTGTACCAACATCGGATATGCTGCCAGTCACACAACCAGACTAGTATGAAACTGGCCGCTGTTAGCGTGCCCACATCCATGTACTTGGCCAAGGTCAATTGTTGGGCGGAGATCAATTCTTGGCCACCCGAACATGTAAGGCATGCAACACCACTCGGCTCGATGAACCGAACACTGTCGTGGTTGCTCCGGATCAAGGCTATTGTCTGGGGGTCGACCATCTGCGACCACAGCTACATCTTGAAATGATCCATTCGGACATCATGGAGATGCCGATCGCCAAAGATGGCTCCAGATACGTGATAACCTTTACTGACGATTATTCTCGTGGCTCGTGGGGATATGCTATGAGATAGAAGCATGAAGCGCTCCAGAAGTTTCGACAATTGGAGGCCTGGGTGCACCGACAGTTCGGCGCCCAGATCAAGAGGTTCCTCGCCGACAATGGGAGAATACCTGCCGATCGGAACGCACCTCGAGCCCCAGGGAGTTGAGTTTGACACTTTGCCGCCTTCCTGCAAAAGGCAGAATAGTTTGGCCGAACGCACGAATCGCACTATCTGGGAGCGGATCAACACGCTCCTATCCGATACGAAACTTCCTCCTTCCTGGTGGACCGAGCTAGTGGACACAGTGGTCTACCTGAAGCTGCGCGCGCCAGCATCGATTTTACAGAAGAAGACACCGTTCGAAATATTATACGGGAAGCTGCCCTCACTGCTGCATCTGCGACGGATTGGCTCCCGCGCATGGGTGTTGATCCCGAAAGAGCATCGAGCAAAGATCGGACCCAGATCATCCGAGTGCCGATCGCTAGGTTACTGCAAACCGAACCAGTACAAAGTATATCAAGTTCATTCCGGAAAGACCGTCTTTTCGATGAGAGACTTTTCACGAGGCCGTGTCAGGCCCGAATTAACTAGAATGGGGGGCAGCTATCCAGAAGGAATATGCATCTCTTCTCAAACATGGGACATTACCAGAGGTAAAGAGCGTAGATTGATCCAGCCCAATCCAACTTGGCTCAAAATCTCAAATTGCTGTCATGTTTCGGACGTTACAAGAGTATTAGCTGTGAGGTTCAAACATCTTCCGATGAGATTGAGCTGTAAGACCCCGAGAACTTGAAACACATCAGGAAAATCGAGCGATAAACAGAACTAGATATGGGGGAAATAAGGAGAGGATGCGGCAAAATTAGCAAAGGCATTCTATTAAAATAGAATAAATACATAACCGAACCTCCCAAAAAGCCACGGCAAACGAAAGGAAAACGAATGACAGGGTCCGCAGCCCGACAACCCACAAACCACCACTGTGTTAACGGATCGGAACAAAATGGCCTTGCGTACACATTGCAGTGTACATGTAGGTTCGTAGATTCATTGAATACTTCTCGCGGGAGGAAGTCACCTCAATCGTTGCACATAGTGACTCCCTCAATTAACCCGGCAATGGCGAATGGCGCGGCGCATCGCTCTTACAGAGAGCCGAGAGCAACGCAGGGGACGGCGACACCAATATTGCTGACATCCTAGATTTATCATTAGCGTATGAGGTTCATTTACAGAAGACTTTGGAATACATACGTCCTGGGAGGGCTGGCAGCAGGCAATGTTCTGCTTGCACTTCTGATCAACCAGCTGGTCGACACCGCCGCCGACGATGTTCAGGACAGGGACTAGATTGGACTTGTTAGCAATGATATATTCCTTTTTAGAAAAAGTTCAGTCATTTCCATACTCTTGGCGGTGACGTCTTTGCACTGACTGAAGAGACCGAGACCGTCACCGCCGGGACCACCACCCAGAGCAGTCTGTATAACACCAGGCAGGGGACCAGTGTTGGCAGTGGTGATGTCGTGGGTGTAGGTAACCTTGTTGCAGCAGGAGAGACTGGCGTCATTGCCACACTTGGCCTCGGCCTGCTGGACGGTGGTCTCGTGGTCGACGGGGAACCTGATCTCGGCGTTGCCGCCACCAACACCGTCACTGGAATGAGACATGGCCATAGCAGAGGCAGCGAAGACAAGGACGGTGGCGAATATCTTCATTTTGATGGTTTGGGACGGTGTTTGGTCGCAAGAAGCGGATCAAAGAAAGAATGTAAGTCGGATGAGGTGGAAAGAGAACACTATTCAAAAGAGTAAATGAAGCTGAGCATGAAAAGAAGATGAGGCCGGATTCTTCTCTTTCTTTGTACCTTCTTCTCTCGTGTTTAACCTTCTCGATATCTTCCCCCTGCCTAGATGCAATCTAGTCGTACATTGCGGGCCCTGATTGATCAGTTATGCTAGAGATGGGGTTAGGAATGCGTCCCACCGGTGAAACTCGAAGTCAATAGTTCTGCTGATCATTGAGTTATAAATATGCATACCCGCCTTTTATCGTAGAACCCTTAATTCCTACAACCCAGGTCGTCGGGAAAGTCTTAGCGTTAGGATCTTGACAAACTGCTATAAGCCCTATTGTGGCGGGGTAGGCTATACAACAAGAGAGAAAATAGAAATTGGACTTAATAAATGGCACAATAAAAGCATCAAGTAGGTCGCACTCATGGCTGGCAGTAAGATAACTAGACTTTCGGGTTCGGGGCGGACCAGTTCTGCGGCCAAATCCAAGTCCAGTCCCTTCTCACCCAGCCTGGTCGGGATGGAGACTTCTGAGCCAATAATATCTATCGGACGATCTGCACCAGCCTGGTATCATAACAAATACAGCTGCAAAATGACCCACTGCACTAGGCAAGATAAAGTCCAATAGTTTTAGGTGGTCGATCAGATGATCATCCGATCTCATGTCTCTTCCGCCCATTCTTATTCCACCCCAATTTAGCATGCATATTTTCATTCAGCCAGCCTAGAAAGAAGGAGCTGAATCCTCCTAGGACGACCAGCGATTAGTCTCAATATCACCCATATCAGACACATCTCACATTATTCACTCGTATCCATATCATACCAGGACGCCCTCAAGGGACTGTCCAAACAAATTTCCTACTTTTTCAACTTTACGGGTAATTCTACCCACTACAAAATGCCAAAAAAAAAGCTCACGATGAAGAGGCTCTTCTAGCTAAGGCATAAGAGGCTTATGAAGCGCAAAAATTTTCGTCCTTACGCACGGCTGCGGACCATTATCGCGTGTCTTATTCGAAGCTTCGCGGTCGGAAAAACAAAAACGGACGGCTGTCTCTCTCCGATCGCCCTACCACCAACAATGCATTAAATTCGAATCAAGAAAAAGCATTGAAAATGCTGCAAATTGCCTGTTGAAATTAGCAGGTTCGGAGAGAGTTGTTGGAGCTTGATGTATAGCTATAGGCTGATACGACGTCTACTTCCACACATCAAGCTTATTACCCAAAAACCGAAGGAATCCTTACGTATTCAAGATGAGGATCCTGAGATTATTAGCAATTGGTACGATAGGCTTGCTTGTCTATTGTGAGCATAGTTTCGAACCTCTTTGAGATCTATAACTGGGATAAAACCGGCTTCCAAATTGGCCAAGGACTTAATCGACACATTATCTGTACGCGTCAAGATGCTAGCATTGCTACTGGAGATCGAGTTGAAACTATTACTGGCATTAGATGTATCGCTGCTGATGGCTGGGTGATGTTTCCATGGTTTCTAGTCAAAGGCAGCGTCCATATGGAAGACTGGTACAGCAATCTATCACCCTCTTCTTCGGCATACAAAATCATCCATTTGACGTCTAGTGGCTGGACGGATAGTGAGACTGCCTACCAATGGTTCTGCTCATTTCATGAAGCCACAAAAAACCGCGTAAGACGTGGGCGACCGAGGCTTTTGCTAATGGACAATCATATGTCACATACAACCATCTTTGTTTAGACAGATGTAGCTAAATTTCGTTGATGATAGAGTCATCTGCCATCGGGCATTACATGCCTTGGCTTGCTAGTTGGCGGATCTATGACTAGCAGTCTCTCGCATACCAGTCGTCTCCAAACTTTAAACAAGAGCGCTATACAGGCGCTGCCCTTCTTCCCTGGCCAAGGATGTCAGACCAACATAGCTAGGAGGCATTATTAACATTTTCAAGGAGTCCCACTGCCTTGCGGGCTTAGCTGAGTGCGGATCGTTCGCTTGCAAGGAATGCAGCAAATAAAATCGACCTGCGTTGCAGATTAGCCAAGCTCCTGATTCTGTCGTACTTTCTTTGATTTAGTCCAGGTCGGACCCACACAATCCTCTGTGTCGTTATGCCATGAGTACGAATAATTAATTCGAAGATCTGCGACGCCACTGAAAATGGTCACTTAGAAGAATCAAGCATAACCCCAGTTCCGTCCCACTACGACCTATAAATACTGGCTGTTCTACTGCGTGCACTTCCTGAACCTTCCCTCCACTAAGTTTCGTTATCTCATTATCTAATTAACGTGCGTGTCTTTATACGCCCCAGGTTTCTCCGTTCACATTTATCACGGAATACTTCATATTCCTCAACTTTGTTGCCGTTGTCTCCAGGTCGTAGTGACAATGCCTACAGATGCATAAATGACAGCGCTGCCGCGTTTGACATTACTGCAAAGACCCAGACTGTCGCAACTGAGCTTGATGCTCAATACTGTTGGTACGACCACCGCGCTGAGTGGTTTGTCGTAGCCAGAGGCCGGGACATCGCAACCTTCAAAAAGTCTTGCAGGACTTGCATGACGAACTGTAAAAAAGAAAATGCCCATTTTAGAAAACAGCCTGATATGCGGGACATTGACTGTTTTTTTTTTATCAGAAGCTGCGCATCTCGGACTTATCGTCCGGAATTAAGTGGTAAAAGTGGAGGTATAACAGATTCCGAGAAATTCTGTAACATGAAGCAATTAGAAACCAGGATTTTGCAGTTATCTTATAGATATAATGCTGCTAACCTAAAGCTAATGCAGGCCAGTTCGAAAAGGCGATAAAGTGGCACCGCCAGGAACGAACCAGGTAATCGCTTGTGAATCCTGGTGGCTGACAGATGTATATATATTACCTCTCCTGCATAGACTAAAGTACATTCTTCTACTCATCATCGTTATCGTTCTCATGGTCGCATTCTTGTTGATCTTGTTTATCACCACCATAATAACCATATCCATTATCGACCAGATTGGCCTAGTCACGGAGACCCTCGACTGACCCTTGGAATTGCATGCGTAGCTGCTCTTTCTATATATATTCTTTAAGAGGAATCAACGATCGTCCATTGTACAACTTACCATCTTGCCCAGATCCTTATAGTTGCCAGTGTCCATATCCTCGGCAGTCTGCACGGCCGATTGGATAGTGCTAACAATAAGCCTTGCTGTTTTGTAAGGTGAGTCATTTACGCCCACGGCATCGACTCCAAGTGCCGAAATAGCAAGGAGTAGGGTGGGAGTAAATAACTTCATTTTGCCATTTGTCAATGTGGGAAGGTATGTGTGAATTTTGAAAGGAAGGACGAAACCAGGGAGAAATTGATTTGATTTATATGCCGCGGGAGAGGGGGAGGGAGTTAGATCATTTACAAGGTCACTTACTAGTCATTAGGGCATCAACAAACATAATACATACTGGTCAGACAGATCCCAGAGCTGGTTGTGTTTCATTGATCAGATCCCAGTAGGGAGGTGATAGTCACCACTAGAGGACCTAGGGTATAGACTATAAAATGAGATCAGTCACCAATTTATTTGGATCGATTGAACCAGCACGAGTAGAGCAGATGTGTTCAGAGGTTGGGGTGAAGCTACTGTATTTGCCTCCATATTCTCCAGGCCTAAATCCTATTATTTAGGGAGTATTTTGCTGAGCTAAAAGCCTTCGGCGGTATTGGCAGTGAAATACCAAGTGGCCCGAGTCCACTTTCTCCGCATGTTTGGCAAGTCGGGTCCGCCTTTGTTTACTATCTGACGATATGAAAGTACCATGGCGTCTGCGACCGGTCATGTGAGGTTTCGTATATTTTTAAGAGAGGCGGAAGCAAAAGCGCGACCGGAAGAAGTAGATATCAATTTGCTGCGTCATGTAGCTTTGACTGTGGTCCCACCAAGCTAGCGAGACAAGATCATGCCGACTTTACTCTGATCTGAGTCGAACTACCCTTGAACCACTGCTTGTCACTTTCAGATGATAGCCCGTATATAAAGTCCCCAGTGAGTCCCCAGTGGGCCCTTTTTCTTTGTTAAATCTCTCAAGCTTTCTAATGGCTGCCTGGCTTGACCTCGTCAAAGAGAATGACGCATGGGATTTAGTTGATACCAACCGCGGAACAGCTAGTGCAGGAATTGCCCTATCCGAAATGTCAATATCCATCTCTGCTCTACTTTTCCGGAAATTCAAATCGCAGAAAAGCCTTACGGGTCCTATTCCCCTGCACCAACATCATACGAAAAGGCCCAGTAGGCTTACTCCGTCTCCATCTCAGCACCAAGACCGTCCATACACAGAATCCTATATTATTTGCTGAAAGTGGTCTATGCCTCGAACAAAGCTTGGGCGATTCCAAGTGGCTCAAACATTTAACGATAAAGCATCAAACCTTCTCCGTGCGGATGCAGAAGGGAAGTTGTCCCTTGCGAGGCTACAGCAAGAGGTCAAGAGGCAACTCATTTTGCCATAGACCCAGATCCTGTGTTATTCCTCCATTCCACCCCTGACATCCAAGCTGCAATAAACTTACTACAACAACCACGTCGACAACTTACCATTGGCGACGAAGTTGTTCCCGCTCCCATTCAGGTAGTGATTGTCTTGACCAACGGCCAACATGCAATAAAAGCCTTCGCGCTGGAATGCGCACAGCTTTAAAGGCTGGTCGATATCGGCACAGTCACCGTTCTGGATGTGCGTCCACGTCGCGGGCTCTCAGACAGTGTCGTCTTTGGGCCACTGCAAGCCTTTATCGTTAGGCAGCTGATTATAGTCCAGGCCGAGTAAATGTCCGATTGTCGATGCTTCTTAATGTCTCATCTGAGCGCTCTCTGGAGCACTCGGGTACAAAGCCACGAATGGCTCCCAGATGCACTGGCATTTGATATTTTGAGAAGAACGCGAAGGGACTATGCGAGGAACCAAACGATGGACAATTGCCTTCGAGAGATTACACAAACATCCCTTGGCTATGCAAAGGAGGACTTTGATGACCTTGTAGCCTCGGTCTTCTTGATGGATGCCTATCCCCCTCAAATGCATGGTATGACCATATATCTTAACTCATAATCTCTTATACCCAACTAAGAAGCTAACTTGCCCAGGATTCTCGCCTACCGTGGTGTTCGCCGCACTTTATGGGAAGCGATGTCTAAACACCTGGGACAATGAGTTCAAATACCATATTCCTGGTGTTTCATCCCGCTTCGTGCACCATTTTGCGCAGTTGAGCACTATAAAAGACATCAGCAGCCATTTGAGAAGAGATGTTGTATCGCTTGTATCGCTGGTGGGGCGGTCTTCGCTCCACCACTACTTGTTTGGTCTGTCTGTGTCGGCCCCCCGGAGCATATATCTAGAATACGGGAGATGGCTTTCTTTCCTATTTTAGTGCTCACCCCTTACTGTTTTTTGATTAAGTACGAATGAGCTCCTGAGTATTACATGATCATTAGTACTCCCGAGGTCGCTCACTAGGCGTGACTGCCCAGGTGTTGCCTACCAAATAATTGCTGGTCTCCCTGGAACCAACGAAAGGCAGATTATATTAATAGTTAAATAATGGAGAACAGCAAATAAAGCGAGTGGCCCAACTCAACATGCGTACCAAAAACACTAACAATAAAGGCCGGGCCATTCAGCCCGGAAGTGCGTTTAGCTAAATTATGTGAACTTTCTCACTCACATTGTTCTGCTTCAATGCATCATGTGGCGTTCCCTGATATTCGGCCGAGAAAAGGGGTTCCAGGGACTATGGAAGCGGGGGTTTCGCTCGAGGAGAATTGGGGAATGGAAAGGGACGACCCCAGCTTTACTATATAGATTTGCCACAACATGAGGTATGGTCCCCATCCAGATATCAAGTCCATAGTCAACCGCGGATCCCGAGTGAGAAAGCGAATTATAACCAACAGATTCCCAGAACTGCTGTCTATAGGTAGCATATCAGATGATGTCCATTAGGGAAAATCATTGGGTGCCAATAGGTACTTGTTAATATATCACAGGATATATAAACACGTAAATTCGCAATGATTGAAGGCAAAAATTGGGATCAAAATACCCAAGACACTACTGTTATATTCAAATGTGAAAAATGTCATCAATGAACGATTTCCAATCACTCCTTGATCAACAGGTCGGGAGACTACCAAGACGATCATGGCCTGCGCCCATAGGTATGCATAATCTCTTAGCAATAATCCCAGTGCAGTTACGTTATGCAGTTCAGCTAAGTGGATAACGGAAAGGTTCATCAAAGAATCGGAGGCATATACCGATCAACTCTCTGCGCTTCCAGGGAGCTGCCTGGGCTACTGCGGGTGGTGGCATGTGTGCGACACTGCATGGAGCCTACAAGATCTTTCGAAATTTCCGTGGATTCAAATACATCTGATAGTATCCCTATTCTTGATCACCCATGACCGTGATATGTGCAGCTTAACCAACCGTCATCAAAAGTGTATAATTCAAACCATAATTGAACCCCCAGCGACACGACCAGTTAGATTGTAGTTTGTACAATTTGGTAGTCAACCACGAGATCATTCACTTTTGAGAATGGTGGATATTGGTTATCTTGTCGAAAAGCGCGATGAAACATATTAGGTCCGACTAATTGAAGACTAAAGTCAGTGAGCGGGCAGGCATTTTTGTTAACATTTCGTTCACGTTTGAGGTTTGGTTATATAGGTTACAAAAAAACATATACATGTTAGAGGTCTATAGTGGATCCGACTAGGACCGGTACTCTTCATCTTAAGCAGCTTTGCCTCGGAACGGAAAGTTATATCGGTGGACCAGACTGACTCTTCAGCCACACAGACATAGCAAATCATCATATAAGCTATAATCTGCATAATTTGCTAGTGAGGTATGGCCGCTTTGCTTCGGATATGAAAAGACGGATATTTTGAATTGTCGCGGCATTCGCTAAGCTTAATCGCTGCTCTGCAAAACCATGTGGCGACGGACCTGACTAACGTCATGGATCACGAGTTATGATTTGTGTCATCATTTCCTTTCGATATTCGCACTTCTCAATTGATTTGCTGGTACTGTTGTGTTCAGTGGCGAGAGTGTTTGGGCTGACATCATGATCGAACCCCAGATATATCTTCGGTGGCATAAAAACAGTCATCTTTCAGGCTCAGATACTATTGTAAACATATTTCTCAACCGCTAGTAAATGATCCAATATGCAGCGATATATCGTGAGGTCTTCTACCTCTTACGTCCCTAGGCTGACTCGAGCTTTCGCCCAAAAGGCTCAGTCCGAAACTAAAGGTGACCAGAAATGTGCGATCAACATCTCTATTGAGACGAACTCTCGGCAGGAGCTGATATAATTCGGTCCTAGTTAATGTCGCACCGGCATTCCCAGATGATTTTGAGGACTCACCTTTGAAGTCCGAGATTTTGGAGAAGCGAAACCGGGATCAGGGGATGAAGGACTCTGACCACCCCGTTCGTACATCATCGGACGTTTCACATAAAGTGACGCCACTGACAAATTGATGATCAGACGGTCTACGAGATATACGAAAGTATCCAAGGAAAACCGCCCCGGCCCCTTAAAAGCACGAAGAAAACAGATAAACCCGCCGAGAAGAAGCCGGATCCTGCTGGAGAGGCGCGAGCGCCTGAGCTTGATGAATTGTAATGTTTCCCCACTAATATAGTTGCGTCAAATATTCATACTGTATGACAATGTATCCTGTACTATTATCTCTCGTTGAACTTTCGAATTTTGCTACCCTATCAGAATGAAACTTATACTATGTATTTATCGTGAAACTTCGGTTCATGGTCGTTGTTATTCATATGCTACTATACTAGTACGTGGAAGGCACTGACTTCGACCTTAATGTAGGCTCTTAACTCGTGAGGTAACTCTAGCACGGTCTGGATTCCATTGTAGCGTCTATCAGATCATTAATTGGGAGCCACGAACCGGGTTGGGTTTATACACCAAGCTCCAGTCTAGACCCCCAGTAGCGAGCTATGGAACAGCCTAAGCATCCCCCGGTCACTGGGTAAATGCCCACTAAAGTGAGGCACGCCGATCAGGCAACTCGCATCCACAGCCTACAAATTCGGAATGTCACAGATTATACATGGAAAAGTCATTTTCGCACAAATTAAGCCCCTTCCCGCTTTCTCTCTGCCGTCTACCTATAAAACCGAAAAAGAATATTTAAGATGACCAGCGAGAAGACATCACAAGGCTGTATAAGCGGCCAACTATTACTTTACTGCTAGACACGTACATGGTCACGTCGTCGTGTCCACGTGACTCTTTTTAACCTAACTGGAGGATACTAACAAAGCAGAATGAAAGAGCTATCCGTTTTGATTTCACGTAGGCTTTTGAACAAGAAAGAAAGATTATATTTGATCCCCATTATCAAAATAAACAGACATTCTATTGCCTAGGTCGACCTGAGTCTCTTTGTCGTGCACATACATCATAAATCCAATCAAAAAAGTAGAATGATCCCAAAAGTTAGCAGCCCGCAGATGTATAACCGAAGCTCAATGGTGTTTATAGCCGATGCGCACCGTATATATGTCTATCCTTCGCAATTATGGTGAGATGAACGAATATTCAATGCTCTGAACTATCAGACGCATGGATCCACATCCAGTGGACCCACCTATACCAATGCGGGCAGACCTCGGCGCTGAGTCATCGACTCATCATGCCCGATCTAAATCATTCATCCAAAGACCTCCCCTCTCCTTGTTGTCTCCTTTACTCGGGTCAGAGAAGTGAATCCTTCTCTGGTATTCATTATTCTTCTTCATTTGATTACTCTCACCGACCGTTCAACCACTCAACCTTTATTTCAAAGTCCATTGTCTGCCCCGCCCATTACTTCCCCGCTCCGGTTGGGAATATCTGCTTTAGTGAATCACGGCGTCCTGATACTGCTGGGTCTGCTTTCTCTGTGAGAGCCCCCAGCCGACAATACCTCCGACATCGAAATCTGCCATCGCTACCCAAACCGCCAACATGAGTAGCCCAAAACGCAGAATCGAGACCGATGTGAGTAATGTTGCGGAAAGTCCGATAAGCCCCCAGCGTCGTCGGAGATACTAATAACGGCTGTCTTTCATTATACAGGTCATGAAGTATGCTCCACAAGTCCAAAAACATCCGAGATCTACGGCCACTAACCCTTAGCTAGGATGTACGACCGATAATCCTCCTGCCCTTTCCGCCGCTTTTCCCAACCTTTTTGGTTGGCCTCGGCAGGCATACTTGGTTACCGGGATATAATCTGACCATATATCTAGGATGATGAGTGACTATGAGGTGACTCTGGTCAACGACAACAGTAAGTTCTGACTCTGTGTCGGCTATGGATCTATATACTGACTTTGGAAATCTAGTGTATGTACTTTATACACCCTACAGCAACATTTGAACCATTTGAAGCTCTCCGGTACCAATTACTATCAACAGGCAAGAATTCTACGTTCGGTTCAAGGGCCCGGAAGAGAGTATGTGCCGCTGCAAATCAGCTGATATTAAATCATCCTAACTTTCTTAGCACCTTTCACCGGCGGCCTCTGGAAAATCCACGTCGAACTGCCTGATCAGTACCCATACAAAAGTCCAAGCATCGGATTTGTCAACAGAATCTTCCACCCGAATATCGATGAGCTGTGAGTTATGGTTGCTCCGACATGTGTGGAGAGTCAGAGTTTAATATCATTTTCCGATATAGGTCCGGCTCCGTCTGCCTCGATGTGATCAACCAAACCTGGTCACCGATGTACGACATGCTCAATATTTTCGAGGTTTTCCTTCCCCAGCTCCTCCGTTACCCCAACCCTTCGGATCCTCTCAACGGAGAGGCAGCAGCGCTGATGATGCGGGAGCCCAAGGCATACGAAGCAAAGGTCAAAGGTGTGTTACAATCCAAATATATATATTTGCTGTTATGCCATACTGACATCTCATCGCCAGAATACGTTGCCAAATACGCTAGCAAGGAGGCTGTGGATGAAGCAGGCGAGGACACCGAGTCTGAAGATGAGCTCAGCTCTGCGGGAAGCTACGAATCTGGCGGCGAAGAGCCTGCAGGTACCATGGACGATGTCTAATGGTCTGCAGTGCGAAGGTTTCTGTCGGGCTCGGGATTGACCTGGCACGAACATATTGCATCACTCTACTCTTCAATATCCATCAGGGTGCTGGATATCAGCGGGCGTTTTATTTTCTGACACAGGGGAGTTGTCATGTATCCATTTCTTTTTTACCCTGGCAATGTCTATCTATTATCTTTTGTATTTGCTTATCTATTTCAGTCCACCCAAGAAGCATTTGCGGTAATTACCAGCGGAGTCATGGGTTGAATAATTGATGCCAAATCTCTCATAGATATTGAGAGTGATATTCTTTTTTAAATATTCCCATGATATCATAATTATATAGTGAGCTCGAAATACTTTTTATATAAAAGCCATCCCATCCACAGCTAAACTTCTATATGGGTTGACTCGCCTACGATTCCATCTCCCCCAGAGGATTGGCACTTCGAGCACCTACGTCTATTGTCCTGATTTACGGCAACTCAAATGACAATGGAATTCAGATTGTATGTCTATACGAAAATAATGGATCAAGTCCAGCACTCAAAAAGAAAAATACATATACAAGCAGTGTACGACTGACAAGATGATATGAAGACAATAAAAAAGTGCAGACACAAAACACGCCAACAGAAAAGAAACCAACATGGGATGAAGAGAAAAATATTTCTGATAACAAAAGAAAAAGTCTGCGCCATTGGGTATTACCAGACCGAGAATGAAGGGAAAATAAGGAATGGCTATGTGTGTGTGAAAAAAAAAAGTCGACCTGCGATCCATGCAAGAAACAAAAATCCCTCAAATAACAGCGCAGCGCAAGAAAATAATGAAAAACGGGTCTTCCAGTACCCTTATCTGCATCTCTTGATGTAATCTTCATAGCCCACAACCTCGTTTGTCGTGTACAGCGTCATCGTCAATGTGCAGCGATGCATACCTTAAGCGTCTTTAAGTGACGTTCAGAACTCCAAACACATCATGGCTGGGCTTAGCATCTGCGTTGATATCGGTACGAGACCGTTTCTTGTTCGGGTTCATGACAACTTCACCCCAATGTTTTGGGACGGTGCCTGATGCGCCGGATGTGGGACGACTTGGTGGTGATGTGCGCGGGGTTGATACCACGGGTGTTGTTCTATCGGTTCTTTGTGATGGAACTGGTGATGCAGAGATAGGAGTGTGCAGGGTTGCTTGGGGTCGAAGGTGTGGTTGTGGCTGGAGGGACCAAATATCAATGACGGAGCTGAAAGAGATGATTAGCGTGAATTCAGTTCTCATTTGGAGCCAATGTGCCATATGTTAGAATAAATGGCAAATGGTACAGTATACTTACTCAGAGGTCCGCTGGCAAATGGATTCCAGCGCCTCCCTCTCACGTCTCACGTATTCCGAATCCGGCTGGCTTGCCTGGTGAGCGTGATTAAGTGCTCCGTAACCATACCCGGCTTGATAAGGGTCTTCTTCGAGTAGACGCGCAGATTCAGGCTGGAAAAAAGAAATGTTAGACAATTGCACTCTCCGACAAGCATCCCATGCCATCGAGCATTGGACTGAGGTAATGCGCGCTGAACATGTGATGATAAACCTAGCTCCAGATTCGGGACTCACCTCAGGAGACTCATGCCGATTCCCGCCGAGGCAGGAGGCACAGATACCCATTTATGAGGACCGGGATCAGGACTTCAGGATCGGGGATGTTCTTAGCTGCACGTTTGCGCTATGCGATGGGCACGAGGCATTAATCACCCCAATAGTTGAGATGCGGGTATCCTTTGTTGCAGAAGGCGAGAGAATTATCGGAGGGTAAGGAGTGTGGAATATGCAGAAAACAGAGAATATGAAATGAAACAAATGGCGCAGTCGAGAGTCACTGTAGACAAAAGGACTTTGAAGTGGGAGGTTGAGGCTGGGCGGCCCGTGCCATGTCATTTGGCCGTGGCCGCAGTGCGCCGTGGAAACATCGTTTTTCTCGATTTGGCATTTTGGTTCATTCCTCTCCACACCACACACACCACACCATGTTTGATCTACCAAATGCTAAGCGGTATGTTGACAAGAAACATATCCAGGTTTTTTTTCAATATACACAGCAGCTAATCTGGCTCATGCAGCGTCCGTCGCGATGAGATGCGTTCTCCAGAGTCATCCCGCTCGCCATCACCAGCACCAGATGATGCCGCTGCCCAGGATGCATACGCCCGCCTAGGACAGCTGCTTAATCTCGACCAATTGGATACTGCACAGGATACAACTAGCCAAGACAATCAGCCTGCGGAGAACGAGGATGAGGAACAAGAATTCGAGTTCCGGCTATTCAGAGCCCCCGCCAAATCAACGGAAGATACCACCAAGCAGCCAGGAAAGCAGACAGATGAGACAAGCACAGAGGAAAAGGCAGCGCCCATTACTCAAAAATTGAGGATTCGGCTGCATTCACCTACACCGGGATCTGGCGCTGGCACCGAGGGACGATTTGTGAAAGCCTCGCGCGGGTGGGATTATTACTTCTCTACACCTTCTCTGCAGGGCAGGAGCGGAGAACCCACCGCCGAAGACGAGAGCCGGATAACGGAAAAGAAGAAACAATTTGAGGACATGGCCGTTAGCGGACAGCACGTGCTGACATGGGCCAACTCGCTAGTCTGGGTAAGTAAATACATATTTGGCATTTGGCTAGTTTTATGTTTGCTAACTTAATTCATAGCCTGGCTGCCATCTTCCCTGGCGAGTCATCCATCTCAAGAGACATCAGACCAAAATGCCACGGCCAGCCAACAGTCTTCCCGTCTACGTGGTAGAAGGCGTACCAGTCTCGAAGAGTCCACTTACACGCAAGAAGCCAGGCAAGAAACGACGAGTGCAGCTGCGCAAGCGGGTTGCGGCCGCACAGGCTGCTAAGGAAAATGAAGCAGAGAAGCGGACTCGGAAGAATCGCGATAGGAAACTCAAGCGCAGACAAAAGGCGAGAGAGCAGAAGGCTGCGGCGGCGGGTGTCAGCGTTGAAGATGTCGTGATGGCTGGTGATGATGATCATTCCTCGGGTGGAGAAGAATGAAACTATCTAGCTTCAGGATAGATTCTTAATGTGATACCCGTGGGAGTGTTAGTTTTCTTCCCTTTGCCGTCAGCAACAATATTATAATATATCGAATTAAAGCGGAGTTTTTACTGTCGCGTAAGCAATCTGGAATGGACGAGCTTTGCATGGTATTTAGCGGTCTGATCGAGACCGATATGAAAAAAAAGCATGCAATGCATCGCTTCGCGGAAATGAATAATATACAACGCTGAGGGTATGAAACGAAATACGGAGCGGGAAGAAAGCACTCGCAAGTTAGATCAGTCTCGCAAAAAAAAATAAGAGCTATCCTCGCCAATCGAGTGTATAATCACACTTCTATTTAGCGGGCGCATCTAGAGTCGCTGTTAGAATTATGCTTTGGCTCGTTGAGACAATTGACTTACCGGTCTTGGCAGGCTCCACAGGGGCAGCAGCAGTGGCCTCGGGTACAGCAGCGGGTTCCGCGGTAGCAGGAGCTTCGGTCTTAGCGACAGGCTCCTCAGTCTTAGCGACAGGCTCCTCGGTCTTAGCGACAGGCTCCTCAGACTTAGCGACAGGCTCCTCGGTGTTAGCGACAGGCTCCTCGGTCTTAGCGACAGGCTCCTCAGGCTTAGCGACAACCTCCTCGGGCTTAACAGCAGCCTCCTCGGGCTGCGCAGCAGGGGCCTCGGTCTTAACAACAGGCTCCTCTGGCTTGACAGCAGCCTCCTCAGTCTTAGTAACAGCTTCCTCAGGCTTAGCAACAGGGGCCTCGGACTGCACAACGGGTGCAGGCGCAGCGGCAGGAGTCTCGGTCTTGGTAGCAGGCTCCTCAGGCTTAACAACAGGCGCAGGCTCGGCAGCATCAGGGGCAGGCTCGTAGTGAGTCTCGACGGGGCCGGCAGTAGCGGTCATCTCAGGGGCGGCAGGCGCAGTGGTCGCGCCCGTTGCCTCGGGTGCCTTGGCAGCATCTATCGCAAATCAATAAGTTAGTTGTGGGCCAAAGCGAGATGAAATTGGTATCAACTTGATAAGAGGGTGTCATACCGGGGGCAGAGTCCGGGGTGGCAGCGGGGGCGGTGGGCTGCGCGGGAGCTGTCTCACTGGCCGCAGCGGCAACGGGGGCAGCAGCGGCAGCTTCAGTCTCCTGTGCGGGTTGCTTCTTAGCTGCCTTCTTGCGACTGCTGAAGAAGCGCTTGAAGCCCTTCTTGACCTGCTCGAGAGCGTCGGGAGCTGGGGGGTGGTTAGCGCTGTGTACTTGCGGTTCTCCGAGGAACGCCAAATGTTAGGTCGGGAGGATCACTCACGAACACCAGGCATTTTGAACTAGTTTGAGATCTGGTTATAGAGGGGTTTGAGGATGTATGTGAATCAAGATCCGATGAGGGGATACGAATCGAAAAGGAGAAGGAGTCTATTTAGTTCCACGTGACTCTATGCTTTCTATTTTTTTATTTTTTTTCTGGAATTGTCTTCATCCTAGTCTGTTGTTTCCGATAGAGGGCGTTTATTGGCTGTTGGCGATATAATTGGGTCCTATCCCGCAGCTTATCTTGGCCTCTAGCAGCTATATTGTGGCTGTGTTGGCGCTAATTTGTCTACACTTTCATTTTATTTTTTCTTAAAACACTCGATCCTTGTTTCATACCATTAGTAGAAAGGGGAGATAGCGGGGAATAATTTAAATCCAAGGATTGTTCCTTTGCTATAGATCTAGATGTAATGAATCCCGAAGTCCCAAGCATAAGCGATGCAAGCATAAATGGCAAAGATAGAAAAGATACAGAAAGAGAAATGCAATGAGAAAAAAAAAAGATAACGCCGGGGTATCAATGGTATCAGGTTCCCAAGTCACTGCGCAGGAAGTGTATAACTAAAGAAATTTGAAAATGGTCAAGGCAACAGAATGCCCTAAGCCACATCGTATTAGCACCAATCAATGTTAATCAGAAACGACAGACATACCTAAAATAAGAAAAAATAAAGCGATTGCAATCTTAAGATTCTGGGCGGCGATGACCATGAGGAGAACGGCACAGAGAGACCACGTGGAGGATCCCCCTATCGCGAACCCCGGGACATGCTTGGACTTGAAAGCTGCATCGTCGATGATGGATTGCAAATTGGAAGCAGCAACGCTAGACTTGGCCAGCAAAGCTTGCGATACTTGCGCGTGGAATTGAATGGCCTCCTGGGCCCGCGATTGTGCAGATAGTGCTTCGGTTTGTTGGTCTTGGGCCCTCTGCAGTTCGCTTGCTTTCGATTCGGATTGTTGTATAAAGGTTTCCATGTTTTGAAGCCGCTTTGAAAGTTAATGGAAGGATCAACATAGTGGAAAAAATACTCATACCTCTGTCATTCTGGTTTCTTGCTCGAGAATCATGTTCATTCGGCTAGTCAACCATTCCTATGAAAAGGGGCAAAATGTTAGTCTCACAGTACACACCAAAAGAGAAATTAATATTTGGCAAACCATAGCAGCATCGAACTTCTGCATGCCTCGGTATATTCTGTCCATATCTGAGTCAAGAAGCGACTCTAGCGACAGGTGTAAAGAAGAGGCGAGATCCTTCTGAGCGACAGCATTGGTTTCCTGAGCCTGCAACGTCTCTTTGCTTCTAACCATTGCGTCTTGATGTGCACTTTGCAGAGCCTGCTGAAGTGTTACCACTTGGCTCGATACGTTCTGGATGCCCTGTTCGAAATTTAGTACATGTTTCAACTCTGAATAGCATAGCTTGTTCGAACTTTACCTTTTCGAGAACCCCTGTTCCAGTCTGCACATTTGACAAAGCCATAGATATAGAATCTTGGAGAGACGACACCCCAGCTTCAATTTCTCGGAGAAATTTGCCGAATGTTCGTTTGAACACAGAGTCTGTCGCCTCCATATCGGTCACAATTTTCTCTTGCAGAGACTGAACAGCGTGTATGAACGATTGCTGCTCCATAGACCGTGCAGCTGCATCTTGCAAAGCCTCTTGAAGTCCGTTGTTCAGCTTGAGGCTGCTCCTGGCAATAGATCGATGTAGGTCAACAAGCTCCTCTTTTTCCGTCTCCATTCGCGAGGCATGGCAAATAACAAGGGCATTCTGTCGACTGTTGCTGTAAGAAGTCCACCACTGGGGTCGCGACTCGAGTGTCTTCAGACACTGCTCCAATATTTCTTTCGGGACTTCATCTGATGCAGGATCAGACCCTCTGTGCCTACTCACAAAGCCGAATCGATTTTTCTGCGGAGGTGGAGACAATGTGATTGGAAGGCATGAGGGGGGCATTGGAGTACCAGCACCGTCGATCTCACACAGTGCCAGCCGTGCGGCGTAGACTGATCGAAGAAGATCGAGCGACTCTGGGCTGTCTGTCTGCGCGCCATCTTTGCCATCGCTGAATGTTTGACACGAGTTCACTAGTTTCGTCGCTGCAAGCCGGTTGCACGAGGGTGAAGATTTCATCGAGTCGAGGATTTTGACGGCTTCGTTGAAGATGCTGTCTTGGTCTTGCGATCGGGAACTGAGGAAAGAGATCGCGTCGATGTCTAGTGCTTTGGGTGCAAGAATTGGGACACCTTCTTGGGTTAGCAGAATCATTTGAGACACATCTGAATGTCTTACTGTGTTGTGAAGCACTTGCTCGACTGAGGTGTGCAAGTGCCAGGAATGTATATGATAGCACTTGAAAGCTATCGATTGCCCTCATAGTGAAGCGCCTAGCTGGGTTCGGCTATGAGTGTTGCTTTGGATGGGCCCTGGTTCTTGATCAGTCGTGTATATGGTCTAAGGTAATGGGTATAAGATGGTATGCGAGAAGAGCGGTATGAGACGAAAAGAAGTGGATGAAGGATGATTTCGAAAGTGAGACTTGACATCTAAGTTGTTCAGCTCACGCCCAACGCTGGCTTTACTTTTTTTCTTGACAATTTCCCCTCAGCACTCAGTCGGCTACCTATATGGACTTGATTCCCTTTATTAGAATACCAATGCAGTCGAATATCTATCATTCGAAGTCTGAGGGCGAGTTAACGAACTGAGTATTCTTGTATGGGAGTTATATGGAGGTAAGATGTTCCCCAGATAAACCTGACAAGCACTACTCCAATGTTTCAATCGGGAGATCACTCTTGGCACAGTGCTCCATCCCCTTTAGTGGACCTTAAGGCCCTCTTGGCAACTATTCCTGATCATGAATGGATTTTATTACGGGGTCACCTTAGCAAAAAGGACATTTGCCAGCCTATTCAAGCTGAAAATAGCGCGAAGAAGGTCAGCCACTGGGCCAAAGGTGTTTTCCCTGGGCTAATATTTGGGTTCAAATAATAGCCCGGGTGGTGCAGGTGGTTTCAACTTGAACTTCCCTTGCAACATCTCTCTATTGGCAGATATTGACTGCTGAAAATTGCCTGTTCATTCTAAGGCTCGGTTGGGTACAAACTGGGAGATTTAACAGCGGGAAAAGGCAAGCAACAAAGAAGAATATAGAGTACTAACTAGAAGAGAAAAAAAAAAGGGAAGCAAAAGAAAAAGCAAAATAGCAGTGTCCCTTGAACCAGGTGTATTTACATAGCGGACCTGGTAGTGATTACTATATGAGAAACATTGAAGTCCCATTCAAGAAAAAGAGGAATCCGGCAAGTCACAGTTTCGGACCATGTACGGCATATCTGCGTGTAAATTAGAACGGACTGTGTTATTTTGTCTTTTTTTTCACTTTGCGTGGGAGAATCAGAATGGTTGAGTTTGGATTTCTCCGCATTAGTTTAGCAAGCTTTGGCAATGGACGCATCCACAAGGAAGCTTTAACACCAAGCCAATTTATTGCCGCAATATATTCGAATATCGTCTCCCTGGAGTCGAGGCATAATCAACGTTGAAATCATAATCCTCAGAGTAAACAAAATGAAAAAGCAAATTATATAGATAGTCACGTGCGCGCTAAACCCCATTAGGGGCAACCCATCTGCAACAAAATCGAAAGTCCGCAACACAGCATCCGACCCAACACGCGCAAAATCACCATGTCGTGCTCCATACCCCAACGCTGTGCCCGCCAGCTTCTTCGAGAACCCTTCCAGCGCGGCTGCCTACCCATTTTCCTCGCACCCGCCTTCTCTCCCCGCACACAATGTTTCTCGACCACATCCCCGGCGCAGTCCCGAGTCGGAGGTGCACCTCTCTCCATCCCCCCGGAGGTGTCATTTAAGCTCATCGATCTCCCCGCGACTCTCACCCGGACACGCGGAAAGGATATCCCCAAGTTTATGGCTGAGATTAAGGGGCCTAAGGGTAATGTGTTCTTGCTGAAATGTGGTCCGGCCGATGGATGCTAATTCGTCCGATTGACAGGCGAAATGAGCCTGAATATTCCCTCGTTCCTCACTATCACCCCTGATGAGACTGGCCAGAAGGCTACCTTATCAATCTTGGATCAGGACGTCCCTCACCAGCGTGCCATGTGGGGTATGTTCTCCTGTCTTTTCTCCGCGGCGGTCTAGTGCGGCAAGTCATGGTCTAACATTTTACTTTCCTATCTAGGAACCATTCGCGCACTCCTCCATAACCACATCCTCGGCGTTTCCGAAGGTCACGTCTGTGTCTTGAGTATGGTTGGTGTCGGTTACAGGGCCACGATCGAAGAGAAGGCGTCCACCGTCAAGGCCACCTACCCCGGCCAAAAGTTCGTTTCCCTTAAGGTCGGATTTTCTCACCCAATTGAACTGGGTATCCCCAAGGGTGTTGTGGCGAGCACACCGCAGCCTACCAGAATCCTATTGGAGGGTGTTGACAAGCGGATTGTGACCCAATTCGCAGCCGAGATCAGAGAATGGAGACGCCCCGAGCCGTACAAGGGCAAGGGTATCTTCGTCAACGGAGAGACTATCAAGCTCAAGGCGAAGAAAATCAAATAGACTGGAAGCGCTTTTCTTTTCAGCTGCGCGGGACATTTTGTGTTTGGTTCCGTGTTTTGTACTCTTATCGTCATATATGTATTTTTTATTCCTCTCACAAGCGATGGTATCACAAATCTACTTCAAACTGAATCTGCTCCCCAGGAGCTCAAGTGCAGTGAAAGAGGTGACGAAACTAAATTTTTTAGACCAATTACAGCTTCAGAACGGTCTTGACGGCAGCAATGACCTGGTCCTGGTGGGCCTTGGGAGCAGCAACGACACCCTTGTTGACAGCCAAGGTCCGGCCCTTGCTGAAATCCAACCGGTTGCCGTAGATGTCAGTCACCTGGCCACCAGCCTCACGAACAATCACGTCACCAGCGGCGTGATCCCAGATCTTCTCCTGGTAATCCTTCTTGACGGGTAGACGCAGGTAGACGTCACCGGCACCACGAGCAATGGAGCAGTACTTGGCCTGCGAGTCCAGTCGCACGCTAGGAGCAGTGATTCCAAGAAGCCGAGCAACGGCGGCGTTGTCGCCCTGGGCGGAGTGAGCAGCCTCGACACCTTCACAGAAGACAGCGTCGGAAATCTTGGCGACGGGGCGCATGGAGATGGGCTTGCTGGCAGCAAGAGCACCACTGGCTAGAGGACGGCTGGTGGCACCCTCACCCAGGATAGCGGAGAACAGGACACCGTTGCCGGCAGTCGCGGACTGCTGGACACCGGTGCTGGCATCAATGGGGGCAGCATCGTCGACGGGGAGGTTAGGAGTACCAATAGCACCGACCTTGACGTCACCGTCAACCATCAGACCGAGACACACAGCGTACTGGCCGCCACGGAGGAAGCCCTTGGTGCCATCGATGGGATCGAGCGCCCAGATGCGGCCCTTGGGGCCACCGGCACTGTTGCCGCTGTCAATGATGTCCAGCATGCTCTCCTCGCTGGTGAGGGGGCCACCCAGAATTTCATCGCTCTCCGCATCATCCAGCTTGATGTCCTTGACCAAGCGCCAGATCTCAGCGCTCAGGCCTTTGTCCTCACGTAGGGTGCTGGCCTCCTCCTCGGCAACGATCTCATCATTGGGGAAGTTCTTGCGGATGGCAGAGATGATCAAGGCCTGAGCGCCGAAGTCGCCAATGGTGACAGGAGACTTGTCGTCCTTGGAGACTGTGCCTTTAGCCTTCTCGAAGAAGACCTTCTGTGTCAAGAGACACGCCCGCTGGACGGCCAATTCGGCGATGTAACGTTCCTGTTGGTAAGACATTGTTGTAGGATGGCTGGAGGAGAAGTGGGGGAGAAGGAGAGAGAGACGAGAGCGGGATTTCAGAGCCACGCTGACGGCGAGAATGAGGGTGGAGCAGACCACGAAGCGGGACAGTACGCGTAACAAATAGGAACGTGGGGATGGATCTGTTCGGTGTGCAGAAGAAAGCTTCATCCGAAATCGACTGGCAAGAATTGCAGCCGGGATCGACTGCTCTTGCTTTCTCGTGGTCTTATTGGTTGATATAATGGTTTGCTAAGTCGTCATTCACGGCCTCTTTCTCCTAGTTAGCCTCAGGCACAAGACCCCCGCCCTAATCCCCTTTAGGCCGAAATAGTCACGAGGAGCCGATAAGCTTACACAGTCTCAGCGTTGTTTCAACTCTCCCTTCCCCTGTAACAAGGCCGTTTTGCAATTTAGATGCCCTATTGATCAAATTGGGAACTAGTTACCTATTTTTTCTACGTTCGCCGCACCTTTTCATAGTGCTTATCGGATTAACGGACGCCAAGACACCCCTGGGGCCTCCGACGTCACCGACACCACGTGAAGGTATCGCGAAAGCTCCCTAAAACCTTATGTTGGTTTTCACACCATTAATCCCTTTCCGGCATTTTTCTAGAAAGTCAAGTCGCATCCTCTCGCGCTCGATACTCCGTATACACCCAATTCTTGCGAAACATTTGTGTAAACAGCGCCGTGCGGGGTCATCTCTATACCGACATCGCAGCGCGGGGTGATTGCGGGCTGCTCGATACAAGGGGCAGAATCTTCAATTCCCCAAACTTGTTCCTACTTAAAACAAGTACACACTGTTCGAGAAGTCATTCTCTTGACTAGGCCAGAATGTTCCAATCCTCCGTAAGTCATTGCGTTGAAACAATGAACCGTCCAGCACCGACTGATATGGCTTTCAATAGAAACCGTATTCGGCTGTGACCGTACAAATCGAGGTCCTTACGAGCGAACAATATGAGGTCGAAGACTCCAGCGGAATCGTCGATCTAGTGGAAGTAGTTCGCATCCAGGCCAGCGGCCCAATGGAAGCAAGTCGGGCTCTTCGCAAGAAGCTGTGAGTGCACGAGTATTGACAGCGCGGAAAATCAGTCTGACCAATCCAGAAAATACGGTAACATCCATCGACAACTTCGCGCACTTACTATTCTCGACTTCCTGGTTCAAAATGCAGGGGAACGCTTCTTGCGCGATTTCGCTGATGAGGCATTGCTCGAACGTCTGCGCATTGCAGCTACTGATTCAGTTTCGGATCCCCTCGTGAAACAGAAATGCAAACAGATTTTCGGACAATGGGCGGCAACTTATAAGGACACTCCTGGTATGGCAAAGGTTACGGCGCTATACAAGCAGGTTCCCAAGCGAAAGCAGCCTGCAACCCAGGCAAAAGCCAAGGTTCTTCGCGAGGGATCCACTCCGAATCCGAACGACCCCCCAATGGGTCATGTTGTATCTGTGTCAGGAGCTGGTGGACCATCCACTCTGCTGACGAGTCCCAAACAAAAGGCCAAGAAATTCAAGAAAGATAAGAAACTATCAATTAGCGGCAAGAGATTTGATCTGGAAAAGGAGCGCCCTGATATCTTGCAAGCGCTTGCTGCCTCTTCCGTTGCTAGCACCAACCTGTTGAATGCCCTCAAACTCGTCAATCGCGAGACGCACCGAGTGAGTGAGGATGCGGAATGCATCAACCGATTCGAGACATGCAAACAGCTTCGTCATGGGATCCTTCGATATATTCAGTACATAGAAACCGAAGAGTTCCTGGGCGGTCTGATCCATGCAAACGATGAGCTAGTGGATGCATTGATGGCATTCGAGGTGCTAGACAAGAGCGTGGACTATGACAGTGATAGTGAGGACGAAGGTTTCGAAGGCAATTGGAAGCAGAGACATGGACTTGGACTGGATGACACGGACGTGAGCGACGGCCTTGTCGGGCTTAATATCAATCCTCCAAAGCCGCCACGGCCGAATCGTCCTGATAGCCTGCCTCTTGCATCTTCGACGCAACATTCACGTCAAATCTTTGAGAGCGGGAGTGAGTCGGAAGAAGAGGATGATGAAGACAATCCCTTTGGGGACAAGAATGCTATAAAGACCCCGGCCATTGAGAAGTCTGGACATACTTGGTAAGTCACTCTTCCTCTCTATTACATGTCATGTTACTAATGTCTCTACAGGAAAGAGGTCTGATCCATGTGATTACAAAGCTGAAGTTCAGATGATCTGTACTTTTGCGGTTTGCGGTTTTTGCTTATTTCATACATTGTCTGGTCTTGTGCTCTATCGGTATACCCAAAGCCATTGGCTATCGTGTTGCTGAAAGGTGAATATTCATTTTGACCGTTTGTGTCTTGGGTGTGTATATTCTTAAATTGGACAATGATTGCATTGCAATTTCTGTAAACCCTTTTTCAAATTCCCGAGCGAACATATATATTGGTTTTGTTTGAAAGAGCCACTTAGCTTGTAGCCCTAAGCCCATTGTAAAACATTCAATGGTTAAAAACCCAGCAGACTGATTAGTCAAATAGCGCCGAGAGCCTTAGAATAAGCCAGAAGAAGCCTCACACAGCTAGCTAAACGCCCCGCCCCTGACTCTCTTCGGCCTCTTTCGCGCCTTTTTCGGCCCCCTCCCGACGGACTCGACAAAGAAATCTATAAAGCAACGTAGTGCCCTAATAATCGACAAACTGAACATATATCTTCTCATAACACTAAAACCAAGTCATCTATTCAAAAACAACATAAAATGCCGGTGACCGAACTCGCTCTCCTCCGGGTTAAATCGCAAGACTCCTCATCCTCTGCCAAGAATACTGCCTTGGAAGCACAGAAGGCACTGACGGAATACTCGGGCCATCAGGTTACATATTTCCGCCAGATTGAAGATCCAGAATCCTTTTATCTGTTGGGTGGGTGGGAATCTATCGAGAAACATACAGCCGGAGGCCAGTGGACATCATCCGTAGCCAACCAGAACCTACACCCGAAGTTGAAGGGTAGTTTTGATGTTAGCTGGATGTTTCATTTGGACCTTGATGTGAGATTTTCAATACTGATGAACTAAATTTGTAGTTAAGAAGTATAAGCTAACGGAGCGGATAGCTACCTACATCCAAAATCCCACTGGAAGCACCTGTCATCGCTATAACACGCTGCTTTGTCGAGGCGAGCAAGAAAGATGAATTTGACGCTGTTTTCAACGTCGGCGTGGCTGATTTGAATGCGTCCACTTCCCCATTCACTTCCTGCGGTGCGTGGCGCATCGACAAAGAGGGCGAAGATGAGGAATTTGTTCTCTTCAGCGGGTGGAACCAAGTTCAGGATCATTTTGATTTTGCGGGGTCTGAGGTTTCGAAGGAGTTTAGGAAGATTCAGGCGCTGATGAAGGATGCGGATGTTAAACATGTACGTATTGAGAAGTGGGAGTAAATTATTATGTGACTTTCGTTCATCTATGTGGTATCTATCGTGGGGTTATTAGATTTAGTCCTGGGCGTGGATGTGCTGTTCAGGATAAATTGTGTCATTGCCTTCCTGCCATCCAGTTTGAGTGGTGCCTCTATATGCATGGCGCCGAGGACATCTTTCCTCTCGATTTCCAAGCCGAGAGACTTAGCGTGTTGTTCTAACTGGACTGGTACGTATGGTGGAATCATTTCGTCTTTCTCGGCAGAGAGAAGAAGGATCGGGGGAAGGGAGCGGGGCGTTGATGGTGTAGTTTCAGGGTTGGCGATTTGTGATCCAGGTTGATCTCGCCATGTAGCCATTTGTCTCATCTTAGCTTTGATATCCCAGGTATTCCAAGAGAATGGCCAAAGATATCTGTATGGAAGCCATTTCTGAGGATAGAGGCTGACGAGCATATCTTTAATGCTGGATGTTGGCGCCTCCAAAATGAGCCCGGCAATGGGTGCCAGCGGTTTGTTACTGCCTGTATTTGAGGTTTGCCCGTCATGTTGGTGGGAAATATATGTAGATACTGCTGAGCACGCAACAGCAGCACCTAGGCTGTGTCCCCAGATTATAATCTCAAGATCGGTTTCTGGGGACGCATATGTTTCCGAAACCCAATTCAAGAATGCCTGGGCGTCCATCTCAATACCGGACTGTGTGGCGCGGCCAGATGATGTCCAGTAGCCGCGGTATGAGAGAGCAGCGATAGTATATTGAGAGACTTCGGAGTCAGGAATAGGAGATGAAGTTGATCTTGACGTTTTCGTAATTGGACGCAAGACGTGAGAGAGGAGAGGCAATCGCATAGGAGTCGATCCACCATTGCCTTGAAAGTAACAGATCACAACGGACTTTTTTCGTCTTGGGATATGATCTTTATTTTGTAAAGCACCGGCTTTTGAAAAAGACTCAGCGTCCTTGTGTGGAACCGGAATGTAACCCTCACAGACAGCCAATTTAGTCCCATCCAAACTGCGAATTCGCTTCTCCTCCCACTGCACAGGTCTGCACTCAGCCTCATAGTCTGAAATAACATCAGATCTTGTGAATGGAGGTAGCCAGGATAGGTAGAGGAGCTTGTTTTGCATAATGATGATCCAGAAGCATTTCCACGTCCATAGGCCGAGCAGAAGCCCGATGAACATAAGAGGTGGTACAGCAAAGCTTGGAATGGCGTCTGTCATGATACTCCTTGCTTGGATCTTTGATCGTACATTTTGAGCGACGTTCTGTTTCTTTCTGACGATGCTGTGGAGACCATTGATGCCATTTGACGGGCTGTTGTTATAAGAACTTGGTGAGGGATGTCGCGTGTGGGTTGATGATATTAACCTCGGCTTTGAAGCGCGCAGCGCGTGTCGTAATCCGCAACGTCCCAGCATCAGCAGAATTGGTTGGCGAGTAATTGGTTGGTTTGGAGGTTGTTGGATGGTTGCCATTCACAGGGTGGAGTATTGAAGCGACAGGCCTTGACTCAGCAATTCCAAGGCCCCGGCCATCCCGAGGTCTCTAGGGTATGAGTATACAGTCAGGATAAAGCAGTTTTCCGCACTTGAATAATGTGTATTTCTCAAAATATTTAGTCAAATAGGAGAATAGCTTTATTTCATCACTCCGCCACCGAAAAATGTGTAAATTGTCGATTCAATTTGAATCACACGACAAATATATTCCCTGTCCATCTCCGAAACAAGATCGAAGCTCCAACAGGCGATGAAAATGATAGCATTGTGAAATATTCAAATGGGTATTCGTGGTCATCTGGAGTCATGATATGAAAAAGAACAAAACGCAACCGCAACAAAAAAGAAAAGATGAGTCCCTTCCCAAGACGCCAAAGTACCAAAACCGCAAGCCATGCAATGATGCAAAATGAAATCTCACAGAACCTTCGATCGCATCCACTCGCTCGTACCAACTCCAAGATTAAGCCCATTCCGCTCCCACCAACGTCGAACACGACCCTCAGCGCCAGAGCTCGGATCAGCATCCTCAAGCGCCTCTTCAATGTCGCAAGTCTTGAATTCAACCCGCAGACCGCAGCTTTTCCACCATTGCAAAATGTGGTCGTGGCCATTCTTTGTCGGGCCAACCAGTACCTGGTTATCGAAAATCATCTTTGGGCCCTTGAGCTTATACCAGAACTCGAGGACATGGACATGGCCATGCGTGCTCGCGATGCGGGCAACGTTCTCGGCGTGGCTATAAGGGATCCCTGATGCGTCCCACCAAGCAAGCGATGCAGTGCGACCCGATTGCGCGGCGAGTAGCACGGATTTGCCGACTTTGAGAGACAAGGGGTTGGATTTTGGGGCGATGGCCGAGGCGGCTTTCCACCAGTCAAGTACGGGGACTCGACCTTCGGCGCTGGCAGCTTCTAGGGCACGCTCGCTGTATCGTAGCGGGAGCCCGGAATGGAGCCACCAGTCTAGTACCTCGACGAAACCAGCTCGGGAGGCGCCGTCCATGGCGTCGGCCATGTACTCTTTGTTTGGGAGGGCGGGCGCATCTCGCCACCATGTCAGTACGTTCGGGTTGCCATAAATCGCGGATGCTCGATATGGAATATTTGTGAGTCGAGATGTTGTCCAGAGGAGGTCCAGGTGTTGTTCGGTGAGGTAGGAAAGGATGTCGGTGCGGGAGAATTTGACGATGAGGTGGCAGGCAAGGTCGGAGAGCGGTTTCCAGCGAGGCAGCGCATCAATGCGGTTTTTAATTGCCGCAAAGGATCCTCGCAAGATAGTATATTCGAGTGTGGCCGTGGTGGACATTTTGGGTAGATGGCTCTGCCATTCTTGGGGAACAGGGAGATGAGTTGGAATGCCCACGGCTTTGGCTGTTTCCCAGTCGCGGAGTTGATCCTCAAAGACATTAAGCCAGATTTCCAGTGGTAAAAAATCGGCATTGCCTGTATGTTTCGTTTGTGGCGTGGAGCCGCTGGCACTTCCAGATGTAGATGTCGACGCAGTCTTAGGCGGGACCGCAGCACCATGGGGGATTGCTCTGGTCGACAGAGTAGCTTCCCATGGCGGAAGTTTTAAACTTGTCTCCAGTGTCTGATGTAACTCCTTCAGGCCGTCCCATGGCAGTATTGTCAGGTCTTCGGGTCCGTTCGACTTCCAGAGCACAGGCTTGACAGTGCAAATCCAAGGCCAAAAGCGACTGATTTCATCGAGTTGTCGAGTGCTGAGCGGGTGATCCCATTCTGACACCGTCATTCCTGGAATGAGGATCACCGGTTTCTTCGAGACCCAGCCACGAAGAAGCGCCAGCGTCAAGGTATTCGTCAAACCGGCCAACATGGCCCCCAACGTTCCGGCATCGATGGGCGCAACCAAGAGCATGTCCGCCCATTCGCATAGCTCCGCCGTCTTCGCCTTCAGCCATTTCCGCGCGGAGGTTTTCTTATCGAACGTTTGGCTGTCGACCGTATCCATATAGTGCGGGATCTTGTTGGTGCCCGTGAGCAACGCAGAGGGTTCGTCTGTGATCAGTCGCAGCTCGATATATGGGTTCTGGACGAGGGACGGGAGGACGGTGCTGGCGAAAGCACTATCTGTCGACAAAAGCAAACGGCGGCGGCGAGGACGCGATGCTGTCGTATTTTGCACCGCTTTGTTTCCAATCACCGTCTCATCACGGTCTCCGTCCACCTCCATCTCCCTTGACCACGTCTCTTTTGTAATGCTATTGCCTTGTATAATTGGTGAGATATTAGATCGAAATCCAACTGCCATGCCAATGCGACCAATAAGACAGGCTGAGCTGTATGAGGATAAGTCGGTCGCACGGAAGAAGTCTGGTAGAGAAGGTATGGAAAAGAATCGAGGTCGAAAGGCGACAGAACAATATCAATTAAGGACACTCGTACTCCTAACTGCAGAGATAAGTTATCGGACTGTGGTCTGATCAGAGTCCAATCATGCGACCCGGGATTGAAATCGAGGCTGTTGCTTTGTTTTCTGCAACAATCAACGGAGTTCGAGCGGTGAGATCGTTGCGTTGTCTGGATCGTCGCCACGTCTTTGCCACACTTGACTTGATGAGCTGCCAAATGAACAGAGTTGCTCAACCAGCGAAAAAATGCCGAGCTCCCTCCGGGATCCTCTCGAAGGGGAGGTTCACCAATGACAAAGAGGCAAATGCTGGTTCCAGGGTCTATGGCGGTTAAAGACGGGCCCGTACAGGAAGGGCTCGGATTGATTGGCGAGTGTTTGGGCACTTCCGCTCTAGCGGGAAGCGGTCAAGGCCTAATGTCATGCAACATGCGTACTCTTTTAGATCAACTTCCACAAATCCTTTGTTTTATATTGGTCCCTGTACAACTTCTGGGCCGCTCAATTCATGTTCAATGCTGAATTATGAACCCAACAACGCGGTACAAAGGGAGTTGAACCAGGTCAAGTCCCCGTGCACTGTACTGTATATATGCTGATCTATACAAATAATACTCGAACATTTCTATCAATGCCCTAATGAATGCTCACTCTATCGTCGGGCCAGGTTGTTGTGCAGTTTGTGCTCTCTCATGGCGAGACTAGCAAATGCACCCAGAACAGCCAGGCCCAACAATGTCACAAATACCGCCCGCAGGGAGTCCATGTATGCATCAAGCACACCGGGTGTCAAGTCCGCGGGCATCTTCCAAATCTCATCCAAGCTATCGCGAAGCCGTCCAATCAGTTCCTTGGCGTCATCGCGCTCACCCAATCGAGACCAAAGCCCAAGCTTTAGGGTGTTCTGGAAGACAGTCGAAGCGACTGTGATACCAAGTGTGCTTCCGGTGCTGCGGAAGGCATACGAAGCAGATGTCACAACCGCATGGTGCTGGTGGTCCACAGAAGAAATGAGCGCCACCAGGGTGATGGTTAGCATGCTACCATAGGATGCACCGCCGAGGAAGAAATAGAAGAACGGCAGTTCCACGGGCGTAGAGAGATTCAAGGTGCAGATGAGCCCAGCGGAGAGAACCTGAATAGCCATGGCAACATAGTTTAGAGGTGCATAGCGACCGCTGGCACGCATGATGAAACCCGACCCCAAAGAGCCAATCGAGGTGCCGATCGCCTGCGGGATTATTCGCGCACCAGCAGCAGTCGCGGAAAGTCCCTGTACCTGGAAGTACACCGGTAGGTAAAATAGGAGCCCAAACACGGCCATGGTAGCGAACCAATTGGTCAGACAAGCAGCTGCCACGGTGCGGTCCAGCAGAAGGCGCACGGGAATGACAGGCTCGGAAGCAACCTCGGCTTCCACATAGATGAACAGACCTAAGGAGACAACAGAGGCCACCAGCGATGTCACCACCAGCAGGTGGTTCCAGGGCAACTGGTTTCCGCCGGTGTTGAGGCCAAGCAATAATGTGACCAGTGTCAGAACCAGAGTGATAGCCCCGAGGAAGTCAACGCGCTTGATACGTGCGGCATCCGACTCTTTCACGGGAATATTGACTTTAGTTGCGACTAGAATGCACGAAATGAGCAGGAAGGGAACCTGGAGCAAAAATGCCCATCTCCATCCCAGAGTGTCGTTGATCCACCCGCCAAACACACCTCCAAGTCCCATGCCAGCACCGTAGCAGATGTTTCCGATGCCCTGCCAGATGCCTCGCTTGCGGAGAGGGATCAGGTCCGAAGTGACAAAAGTGGAGATCGCAGTAAGACCGCCTCCCCCGACACCTGCCACGACACGACCAAGGATGATAACCCATTGCGCGCTTGCCAGGCCGCAGATCAAGTTGCCAAGGGCAAATACAATGTTAGAGAACACAAGCCCCCAGCGACGAGAGTAAATATCAGTCAATCGGCCACTGAGAGGCTGACAGGCGGCATTGGAGATCAGATAAGAAGTGGCTAGCCATGAGAGCAGGGAGAACGAGTTGAAAGACGAAGAGATGGGCGCAGAGAGCGTCGCGACAATTGTTGTGTCTATAAAGCTAAAGTTAATTTTGTTTTCGCGAAGAGTCAGCGGAGTCCATACCGAGAGCAGCCAGGAAGACACCGAGCCAGATGCTTCCGAGGATCCAAATCAGCTCCTTGGTACTGTGTTCCTGGGGTAGTGGGGTATTCCCACTGGCATCGTCGGATGCATCCCGAAGGAGTGGCGTCTGCTCAGATGCAGGCTCTCTGGCAGTCTCTGCAGACATGGTGTAATGTCCAAAAATGAACTGCAATTTTTTTCAGTGTTGCCAATTGACGTGCTCGGGGATTCGGAGGAATCTCCGACGAGACTGCGGAGATTATGGGGTCTGATATAGCGGCTGTGGCGAGTGTCTGATTGGTTGATACGTATGTACCTATACGTACCGGATATTCCCTGGCGAGTGGGGCTTTCCCATTTGAGCTGCCGCTGCTCTTATGAGGCTGCTCAGGCTCAGGCTCACTGAGTAGATGTCGGCACGGGTTCACATCAGTGATCATGCTCAGATCAGTCACGTGTAGGATGACTGATGCTCAGTGAGTGCTCGGTGAGTGCTCATTGGATGCTCTTTGATTACTCAGTGTTACTCAGTGTCCAACAGTGAGTAACACTGATGCACTCAGCCCACCTCAGACCTTAGCCAGAAGGGATTAGCCCCCCACAGGGTCGTTTATACTGTGATAGTTAGTTCGTTCATAGCAGCCAGTGCCCGGTTGATATCACGCGCGCACGTGACCTTCCGCCCATCCCCTTTATTTACGTTCGACCCCGTCAGCTCCTACTTCTCTTCTTAAGCTTTTAGATAACTGCGAAACGGCTTAGTTAGTTTGAATCAAGACTGTAGACTTCCGCAAAGCTCGAAAAGCCCGAAACCCGTCCCGACCCGACCCTCAAAAGGGTCAGGTTTCGGGCCTATTCCCAAAGCTCGCAACGGGCTTCGGGCTTTTGGTTTAGGCCCATAGCTCGAAGGGGGGGCTCGTCGCCCCCCCCCCCCCCCCCCCTACGACTAAACAGTGTAAATATGCCAATTTCTCGTGACTGCATAAATAATGCAGGAATCCCCAGTGATTTCAAGTATTTCGATTATATTACTGGAGCACAACACTGAAGAAAAAACGGCCATCTTTCCCCATTGTTCTTATTCCTTCACATACGTTAGTAACATTGAGCCATTACCGATAGAAGCATCTAAAACATTTAAAATACTGTGTGTGGAGTTCATCAATTGCATGAGATGCATAGTCGAAGACATGCTAATGTGATTCATCGTCGCCACGCATAGGAATATATGTATCTATATTCAAATAGCAATAAAGATAGCATTCGAACATTTCTCGAGGGTGTAAGGAGTACTTCGTGATCGATTAGCTATGATGATCTTGCGAAATATAATCTCAACGATAGCGGTGTGGAATGTCCCCACTTCGGCTACCACAACTTGTCATATACATAATGATTTATCACTTGAACATCATTCTATGCGGGCATTCCTAAGCTCAACACGCGCAGTATGTAGTCTCGGCGGTGCTTTTTATTTTCTCCGTTATGTGACCGGAAATAGCAATTGGCTGTGGACTATATCTTCAGTTACACTGTGGCCGCTTTCTTACAGAAAGCTTTGAGACTGATCGTATTGATATCCTTACTTATCTGTACCTTGGGGCATGCTCTATCAGCCAATAGCCAATATACAGTGCTTTTTATATGTCCTGCATCTGCGCAGAGATCAGCCAAAACATGCCGTACAAAATTCCATTTGGTGGGTTCAGACGTGAATAGAAAGTCTGCTGCAATGGTTTCCTGCAAGTTAATGGAGTATGAATCTTTTTGTTACGTTATAGTACATTAGCTCTTCAGCTGGGGTCCGGTCCACCAAAAATGATTCACAGAGTTAAAAGGGCGACTATTCTCCCTCCTTCATGTAATCTACAATTCCATATGAGTGTTCTAATCTCATCATATCTATTCCACCGCTAGCTAAGATTCATTCTTACTACCTTTCTTACCAGAAATATGGCTAAACAAGCTGAAGGTAAGAAACAGCCCCTCCGTGGGACTTAATAAACACAGTGTAATGCTAAAACAAAAATCGTGTCCCTTTAGCGACACCAGCCCTGGTCCTGGGCGTTTTTCTTAACTCTGGCTTGGAAACAGAAAAGGCTTTGAGGCATGTCACTCTCCACGAGGCTTTGGACGACAAGGCCCTGGCCGATATCCGGTCGCTCCTCTGTAAAGGTGGTCAGTTAACAGCCGAGCAGTATGTTTTAAACCTCACCGTATAATCCCTATTACTTCCTGACATCGATTATAGGGCTAGATATCCGTTCTGTAGCAAGGATGGAGGCTCTGTGCCTGAAAGCATGAAATTTTCAGTCTACTCCAGTATGCTCGCAGAATCCGGAGAGATTCGCAAAAAGTCCGGAGAGAAGGTCAGTTGAATAGTTTTTGAATGCTTATTCCATATATTATTCAAAGATAGTACTAACAGCCGAACTTTCTATATAGGAGGAAAAGGACTCGGGGAAAACTGTTGAAAATCCCAAGGTCATTCTTAAGAAGGAGACAATCTGGACCGACCTAGATGAAAGGACTCAGCAGTTTCTCGGAGACAAGTCGAATTTAGATTACAGAGTATGTCTTATTTACTCTGAACCCGTGGTAATTATTTGAAGGAAACTGTTCCCCACTGACAAGGTACAGGAGAACAGAGCTGCCCTACTCGATGACCCTTTAACAAAGCTTAAGTCATCATATGATCACAAGAACTATGCTGCAGCAGTTAGTAAAGCGACGACGGTGTAAGTTTGCTACCTTTATAGTGGATTATGCTAAACCCCTCTAGCCACCCTGCAGATATGACAGAACAAAATTGGAATGTTGTCATGCGCACCAACAACGTACTCAGTGGCCAATCAATCACCGTTAATAAGTTTAGCTCGAAAGCCCCGGAGATTACCAGCGTTGAGAGAGGAGTGTATACTGGTTAGTATAATAACTCAAATCACCTAGAGCTTAGGGCTACGAGCAAATTTTACTAATGAAGTTATTAGCATTTCAACTCAAATCGCGTGAGTTTGAACCGTACCAAATCTCCTCTACTACCCCTGAAAAGATCGGCGATAAGGTTGGTTAAGCTTCTTAGGATCTTATGACGAGGCTAGTAACAGCATTCTGATACTCTTACAGCAATCCCTTAAGATCCCACGCTTTCGGGTCGTTGATGGTTCGTCGGTAAGCGTCTATGAAACCAAGACGTCACTTGCCTCTGCACTCGCAAAAAGTTCATTCTCAGAAACTGTGGTAGAGGCCTCTGCGTAAGTTGACTTCTAGGAACTACTTTTATTCACACTTTGATTTACTGATGACTTCTATATCCAGTGGAGGGGGATTCTGTGGGGTATCTGTTGCTGCCAAAGTTGGAGCTTCTAACACTGAAGAAAATTCAGAGACCGGCAAGTCAAGTGCTGCCAAGGAAGCCATGCATATATCCTATAATGTATATCTTGATCCATCTGGCCCACCACATGCGACGCTAATAAACAAACAAAACTTTTAGTTTCCTCGGATTGTGCTTCACCTGGAAAGTGAAAATCTAGAGTTATCAGATGAGTGCAACGAAGCTCTGCAGAAGGTGAAGACTCAGGATGATGTTCTTAATTTCTATCAACAGTTCGGTGAGTAGGAGGCTTTCTCTGAAGTTAGATCGACGTATACTAACTAAATTACTAGGCACTTTCTTCGCCCGGAGAGTTGAGCTGGGAGGACGCCTTCATTCAGAGCAAGAGAGCTCCGAGTTCGGTGAATCTACTGTATCACAAAGATCCCACTCAATGAAAGTTGCCGCAAGTGTGTCTATCTCGTCCTCATTTGCTCAGGCATCAGCCAGTGCGAGCCATGAGAATCAGTCCAATTCGAAAGACAGCAATGAGAAGAGCAGCCTACAAAGTTCAATCACCTGGGAAGCCCAAGGAGGCGACACTCTACTTTGCAATAAGTATGTGGACTCTTACTGAGATCTTTATGTCTTCGTGTCTGGGCCGAACTAATCTTCCCTGTGTTTCAGCCCAGCTGCTTGGTGTCCCACTGTTGCCTCGTTCTATAACTGGCGAGTTATGAAGGTGCGCCTCCATTCTCTTACCCCCAATTAGCTTATGTATACCATGATTAACTATCTATATAGCAAGATGACATTTGTTCTATTGTCGACGTTATAGGGATGATTAAGGGCTATAGTTGGGTACCCCGAAAATTTGCAGAGGCTTCCAGGCATCAGAAGCGTCTTCAATTCAGAATGAACGCCAAGGCACCAGACAATCCCGAGAAAACAACCGAATCCAAGGTTCACGGTTGTTTCGGTCTTTCGATGGTAGGCCCTCGAGACGGTGAGTTCCCTTACCGCTTATCTGTCTTCCTCAGGACTAACGACATATCAGCTATCGAGGTGGCATATTCCAAATCCACCCCCGCACAGCGGCAGAAAGGGCGTACGATAAATCATATTTTAGAGTCCAATCCTCTTTGTCGTATGCAGTCAGCGTCGGAAGAGGGTTCCTACTTCGAAGTTCGTGATGCGGACTTTGGGGAGATTGAGGAGTCGGTATGTCTGCCCGAGAGGCATTTAAGGAATGAATACTAACAATAAGCTTTATAGCACCTCGTGTATGGAAAGCATTATCGATTCTACAACCCCTATTTCAAATGCTGGCTTGCAGTCACAGACGAGCTCAAACCTCATACATGGGAACGATTTCTCTATGGCGGCGATATCGCAGACGCAGGTCTATTTTACCTTTGCACGCCTGGTAAAGGTAAATTAACAGGGGCGATCCAGGACAATGAATGCGTCGAGTTATGTATGTTAAACGAGAACAAAGTGGAGCAGGGTATGGCTATTTTGTTGGACCCCCGAAAGTGGGTAGGGTATATTGGTATCCTTCCCTACTCTGATGCCCTGTATAACTGGATTGTTTACACCCAGGTGGAGTATGGGCCTTAGGGTCCACAGATCTTACTTTGGTACTTGCTCATAGGAAAAGTGGGATTTTAGGGAGTTTTAGTTAGATTATGAAAGAAATTTCGGGCTTTGAGGTTTGCAAATTTTCCATAACCTATTTATACATGGCTGGTAGTGGGCCCTAAATATATTGTGTTCGAACTTTGCTGCAATACCTTCACTACAGTCCTACATCTATGCAGGATATGAAACAGGCTACACCAGCTTAATAAGGAAAGGCTTTGCCGAGCGCGAAATTTTTTATATAGCTAATGAGAGCCAGTACCTCCGTTTTATGGGTGATTTGCTAATCGGATTACGGAATGTTCCACCATGGCGAAGTGCCATTTGTCCACGAGTATAAACAACCACGCACGGTATGCTTAGTTTTACTCAGTGATCAAAAAGCGGCAAGAGGTAAGCACTAGAACGGAAATAGGAAGAATGAAATTATTGATCGTTAAAATGGCAGATTTTGTCCACTTCCACCATCATAGTCATGAACTTATGCCTGATATTGCCAAGCAGATCTACAACACTAGCAAGATTAGATATTGTAGTTGAACAGATTTCTCGACAGAAATGGTATCCTTCGAACAAGTAAACATTCTAGTCAAGTGAATGGATCATGGTACCTTTTCAGATGCCCTTGGTTTGACTGGCTGAAGTTCAATGTTTACCTCCTCGGTCACTAGGCTTCGCTGTGAGCTCGTGTCCCAGTCTCCGTCATACAATCCCGAAACCTTGTTTGTACAATGGGGATTGGAAAAGCTATCCGCTGACCTAATGCTCGAATGCTCGAAAATGCGCCGGTACAGAAAAAGCAGTGCTAGCTTTACACTTGGGGGACCGAGTAAGTAGAAAATCTGGAAGAAGTAGAGGAGCTTCGAGAATACAGCGACTTTTTCTGGTGAGAGGGTTGCTCGGTGCTTGCTGGGGCCATTAATTCGACCTAAAAGTCCATCTATGTTAGTACTGCGCATCTTTGGCAAGATCAGAGTCATGATAGTACTCACATCCCACGAATATCCCGTACGGTATCTAGTCCACGAAAAGGGCTACGCAGGCGATCTAATCATCTGCGCCGAGTGACAACTTTCGCAGTCGGCGAGCACCAAAACGGGCCGCAACAGAGAATGTGAAGCTCTCTGGATAAAGCTCCATATCACTAACATCTCAGATAATCAGATTCAATTTCAAACATGTTCAGGTCTATGACAACCCAACTGAGACCACTGAACGAGATCAGCGCAATATTATATTGGCACTAGTATAAAACGAACCAACTGCATAAAGTAGCGCACGACTTGAAACGCTGGAGGTGACGATCGTAGATCCACAGCCTGCTATTCGGGGGCCCGACGGCATGCCGGGTCTCAGAGCTAATATAACCTATTGCGCGGTTCTTTTGTTCTGCTTGGCGCCGATACAATATTGGGCCTGCAATTAAAGTATATTTGTTGGTCTCGGGGCCGTACAGTGGAGAAATGGCCCGCCGAGGATTGCACTGCTGCTGCCATGCAACTTGAGGTGCGACATTGGGGCCAAGAACTGAAGCTTTTCCTTTCTGGTCGCACATCGAGTGGCCCCGTGTCGGAGATGTGGAACCATGCCAATCCAGGAGAAGATTAGCCTGTCATTTGTGGTTTTCGGTGATATTTCACGTCAATGGAATACCCTCATGAGCATCCTTATAGAAGGACTTCCTTCCAACAAAGCCCTCCTAATACGTTCTCTTGAAGTATTCGTAGATTGTGAATAATTAAGCTTGAAACAGGTTAGTATGAGAGGGGTGGATAATAAGAGAGGAAAGAGCACGGCAAGATGCGAACCACTCCAGTGTCAGTATCCAGTATTACATTGCGTTGAATTAATACCCAGGTACATATTCAACAAGTAATGCGAAATGCCGACTCCAACAGCCATAAAGTGGGACAAGTGTGTTCTCCACATTTGTGGAGATCCCCGGATTTCCCTCTGACTCGAGGAAATGGGAATTCCGCGCGTTTCGACTTTTCCTCATCATTACCCTACTGATTTTCCCTTTAGCCAGTCTCCTTTGTAATCTTCTCCGCATCATGGCATCGCTCATTCGCTCTCCTTATATTCGACCCCCACTGCTATCCGGCCAAACTTCGGACATTCAAGGTTTTTTGTCACTCGACGGCAAATCGATCTGCCGTTTCACGGTCTATAATGATACATGACTGACACAGGCTCGAGAGCAGGAAATATACCTCGGGCCAAATAATCAACTATTAAAGGGGGCTGGTATCTCATCGTTCACGAATCTATATAGTAGTTAATTTGATATTCTCGACGGTCTCCGATATGACTCGCCTTCATAGATTGCCTTTGTTGGCAGCCTTAGGATCACTTGCCCTGGCCAGCCAAGATGCCTTCGAATTTAAATGTCTCAAGTTTGGTGATGAAATCAATATTCCCAGTGTCAAAGTCAACTTTGCCGAGTTTGTGCAGGGAGGCACCAACTTGTCCTTGGCGGACAACCCGCCTAGTTGCGGTAGCTCAAACCAGGAGGTCTCGGTAGACCTTTGCCGAGTCGCCATGGCCGTCGCCACCTCGAACAACAGCGAGATCACACTAGAGGCTTGGTTCCCTCGTGAATATAAGGGCCGTTTCTTGAGCACCGGAAATGGCGGCATCTCGGGGTGTAAGTGTCATTCCTAGAACTAGCATCTCGAGTCTAATCTTAACTCAGGTATCCAATACTATGATCTTGCATATACTGCACAACTAGGGTTTGCTACCGTTGGTGCCAACAACGGACATAATGGTACCTCAGGAGAGCCTTTCTACCGCCGCCCTGAAGTAATCAAAGACTATGCATACCGCTCTGTTCATACGGGAGTTGTAATAGGCAAGGAGCTCACCAAGCAATTCTACGAAGAGGGCTTCAACAAGAGCTACTACCTTGGATGTTCGACCGGTGGCCGTCAAGGTTGGAAGTCGGTTCAAAAATATCCTAATGACTTTGACGGGGTGGTTGCTGGTGCCCCTGCTATCAATCTGATTAACTTGTTTTCATGGAGCGGTAGTTTCTATCGCATCACTGGCTCCCCAACTTCCGATACATTCCTGTCCACATCTGAATGGAAGATCGTTCATGAAGAGATCATCCGCCAATGTGATACGATTGACGGCGCCAAAGATGGAATCATCGAGAATCCCGACCTCTGCCGCCCCGTCTTGGAAACATTGACCTGTGACCCAACTGCCTCAAACAAAACAAGCTGTCTTACCAGCGCCCAAGTCAACACCGCCCAGCAAGTGTTATCGCCACTGTATGGAATTAATGGCACCCTGCTATACCCCCGCATGCAGCCTGGCTCCGAAATTCTGGCCGCACCTATCATGTACAATGGCAAACCATTCCCATACAGCGAAGACTGGTACCGTTACGTCGTCTACAACAATCCGTCCTGGAGCGGGGCCAACTTTACAGTGAAAGATGCTGCTGTCGCTCTCGCCCAGAACCCGTACAACATACAAACGTGGGATGGCGACATATCTCCATTCAAAAAGGCCGGTGGCAAAATCCTGCACTACCACGGCCTCCAAGACCAGCTGATCAGCTCCGAAGACTCTAAAATGTACTATTCCCACGTCTCAAACACCATGAAACTCCCACCCGCCAAGTTGGATGAATTCTACCGCTTCTTCCCTATTAGCGGCATGGGCCATTGCGGTGGTGGGGATGGTGCCTATGGCATTGGCCAGGGAATCGGTACTTACGATGGAACCAATCCCCAGGACAATGTGCTTATGGCCATGGTTCAGTGGGTCGAGGAAGGCAAGGCACCGGAGACCGTTCGTGGTGCTAAGTTCTCTAGTGGTCCTGGCTCTAAGGTCGAGTACAAGCGCAAGCACTGCCGCTGGCCTCGACGCAATGTGTTCAAGGGGCCTGGGAAATACACCGATGAGAATTCTTGGCAGTGCGTTTAGGGCTACTTGCCACTTGTATAAAGGAATTCTTCAAGTTGTCTGTAAATTTATTGAACGATTGCCAGATTTGATGAATTGAATTCAGCCATAGAGATGTAAACAACCTTGAAAAGACGTCATATCGGCAGAAATCAGACGGAATTGATCGGCAAAACAAGGCGCTCCGCAGCAATGGCAGACCGCCTAGCAGACTGCCCCGGCTGGATTGCAGATCAGTTGAGCTGCGTGACCACTCTATTTCCCGCGAAGTATTTCTTCCTTATATATCTCTTTTGCATGAATCATTACAAAATTTGAAAGACGACAGTACATTACATCCTCCACTCTCCGTGCACGGACCATTCGACACCCCCCATCGAAGCTACCCCTCGGATCGCGTATATAGCGGCGATAATCCCGCGCACCCTCGTGTCTCGAGTTCACAGCCTACCCGTGACCTGTCTGACCTATCAGTACACTTATCCATCCCCAATCGTAATGGCAGACCCAGAGATGGATGAATTCGCACAGACCCGCGGCGCTGACGACCTATTTGACGATGAAATTATCCCGATCTCCACGGAACAGCAACATGCGCAAACAGAGGTCGCCACCCCCGCGCCAGAGCCAGAGTCACAGGAGATACATGCACCTGAGAAGCCAGTTTCTGAGCAGCCAACTCCACGTGGGGAAACTCCGCAGCGGGGCCGTGGAGAACGAGGCCGGGGACGACGGGGCCGGGGCAAAGGAGGACGCGGTGGACGGGACTCAGAGCAAAAACGGTCAGAAAGCTCTCCGCGCAAAAAGTCTCCCGTCAATGCACCTGCTGTCGATGCGCGCGAGGCTGGTGCTTCGAAGCCGGAGAAGCCAGCTGAGCGTAAAGAACAGACCGGCGTGGTCGAAGAGGGTAATGGTGAAGATCCGGCTGCGAATGGCGCCGAGGCCCAGCGTGTGCCAGCTGTCCGGGGTGATCGGAGTGCCACTGGTGGTCTTAGAAAGGTGTGTAGTGCTTCTCTTATGAAGACAACGAGAGTACCAAGCTGACTGTTTACTTTCAGCCTAAACTCACGGAAGAGGAACTATCAAAACGCATTGCCGCAGCCAAGGAGAATGCCGTAAAGAAAGCTGCGGCGCATGCTCGCGCCGAAGCTGACCAGGCATCATTCATGGAGCGCGAGCAGGAGGCGGCGAAGAAACGTCGCGAAGAACTCGCGCACCGTCGTGTGATGGACACCGAACGCGAGAAGAACAGACAGCGCAAGCTGAAAGCCCAGACGGGGCGTGAGTGGGACTCGCAGAAACGTGAGGAAGATTATGACCCCCGTGGTGGAGGCAGCCAATTCCGACGCGGTATGCATGGTGGCGTGTCTGGTGCCGTGCGACGAGACTTTGAAGAAGCCCGGCCAGAAGATGTCGCAGATCATGCTGGTGGCAACCGTGGTCGTGGACGTGGTGGTCGAGGTGGTCGTGACCGTGGATCTCCGCGTGCTCCACAGGGAGATCGGTCACGCAAGGGCCTATCTGACAGTATATATGCAACACCGAGTCCTCCTGCGCCGGGGCTGGATGATAAGAGTGCATTCCCGGCTCTGCCCGAGAGACCTAAGAAGACTGAGACTAAACCTGTGTCTACGCCGGAGACCAAGGTTAAAACTGACACTAAACCGGTCCCTAAGCGAGAGACGAAGACTAAGGCTGAGACTAAAATCGAGCCTGAAACCGCTCCTGCGGTATCCAAGTCGCAAACAGCAATGGATAAATTGGATTCTACGTTCTCACCCATCACTGGAACTTGGGCAGACCAGTTTGAGGATGAGTGACGAAATGTCTCATTGGAATATAAATTTTGATTGTTTTGGTTCTCATTGGTTTCCACGATTTTCTTTCTACATTCACGACATGAAAAGATTCCTGTTTCCCTCTCTTGCAATTTGATATCCTGCTTGTCCTAAAGCCTTCATTGGTGGCTGAGATGGCACAGATGCACGTTCTCCAACATTACATATACGTATATTGCCATTCATAGCATACACTGCTTTCTTGAATTGTGACTTTCGCTTTCGCCTTCCATCTCAGAAATCGAGAGATCCTCTTCCAAACCCTAAACACTTGACACATCCAGATATGAATAGCGCGTAAATAATTCGTTTTGGGTAATAAATACCAGAAACTTAGAATGCCAGTATGAAAGGTACAAAGGTCTGGAACTAGATGTCTGGACTGCCTGAGGGTTACTGTGGCATTCCCTGCCATTCGTTCTTGACATGGACAATTCTAGAGAGAAACAAGGAGATCGTCAAGAATCTCTAGGGCAACTTATGGAACCAGCTTCATCAACTATCACTCTTCGGGGTATGATGTATATTGTTTTTCTCGCTGAAGATAGCGACTGGCTCAACCATCTAAAATTGTGAACATTATACCACATTGAAGTTAGAACTACGTGGAACTTAATGGTTTATTCTATCAGTGCTCACGGACCATGTAAATTGTACCTTCCTCTACGGCCCTTCTTTTTTTCAAGAGGGAACAGGAGGGAATGAAAGTGCAAGCCATTGAAACCTGTTGCATATAAAATCGAATGAAAGAAACCCACCCTGAGCAGTGTCGGGATTTGGATCTATGTCGAGGACAGGAACGTGAAAATCATGTCACATTTAAAGATTGGTTTTCTTCTTCAGATCTGATACAGGGTTTATCAACTGCACGCAAGTATATGCATTGTTAAGTATCGATACATGCCACCATATGATTTAGCTATATATTCAGTGATTGGCCTTGGTGTGATCGAGTATTGTTGGATAGCAAGGAGATCATCCTTAATTTGCAAGCCTTCAACGGTAGGCAACCCCGTGATCATCAAAGTTATCAACAGTGCGGGATGCACAGGCGTACTGGCATACCCGCATCTACATACCCACAGCAAGTATTCCATAGACTGGCATTCGGTTGCCATGTCGGGTCTGATGGGTGGCAGAAAGATAGATATTGGTTGACTTGTGAAACACCTTCATCCACAAACACGGTGCTCGCCTGTTCGTGACTTTTATCCCAGCCGGGGTGACCAAGACCTTTTGGGAAGTAATCAAGGTGATTGGATTGACTTAAGCTATAGAGATTTTTGTTGATCATGAAACAAATATCATTTTCGAATAACATTTCCATGGTTGTTATTCAATTCCATGGGATTCTACCTCTACCTTTTGATGTTTACTCGAGCTTATATGCCACAAGAATTTTGGGAAGGTCGTCCGGACCAAACACTAACTCTCGGAGCTAGGAATCATGGCGGTCAGCAATGATTCGGGGAAGATGCATATAGGGCCAGTTAACAATGTGATATTGAATATAGGCGCTGTAATGTATCGCGTATACATAACGGGATCCTGCATCTCAACATATTGCTCAGCCCAAGAAGGCAAAGCTACCTCGAAATGACGATTCACATGTAAATTCAATGATGCAATTTTCAAAGTTAAAGACGACAAAACGTCCCAATTAAACCGAATCAAATCTCGATTGAACCATATCAGATTTCAATTGCTCGTATGAAAGGTCAACGTGTAAGGCTTTCCCCAAGGTGCATGTGATTGGTCCATTCTCGCGTCAACTGGCAGGTGCATGCAGCCAAGGAATTCTCCGAGATCAAAACGGTCATACTGGATAAATACTTTGATGAAATGTGATTTACCTATAAGCCTGTAGGGAGAGGAAAGCAATGAAATACGTACAATGACTGAGAAAACTTACTACCATGGAACCATTCAGTATAGCTTCGTAGAGACAAAGAAGCAAAGAAATAAGAAAATAGCAGAGAAATAGACACCCAAACGAGAGATATAATGGAATGTGATGAATCTATTCCGGAAACAGAAATGATAATCATAGTTGGTAAGTAGATATAGTGAAGACCATTCATCGAGATTCCGTCGGAAATCCGGGGATCCCCATGCAATTTAGAGTGCATAGTTAGCTGCATAGAAACAGCTAATAGACCGGTAGAGCTCGGGTACTTAGTGCCGGTTGAACCGAACAAGTTCGTGACTAATGAAAACCCCCAATTTCCCCACAGTGTCCAAGTGGAGTGTTAAAGGGTTCTCCTGTTCTTCTTTGATACATAATGGCAGACATATATCGAAATGAGTTCAAAGGAGAAGACAGATGGCACCCAACCAAATTCATCTGTGGGCAATTTGGCGCCCGAACATGAAAACGAACACGAAAACGAACATGCACTCCCGGAAAAGAGAGTCAATGGAGGCTTTGATGCTTGGCTGAATGTCCTCGCGGGTTTCTGTGTTTTTGTGAACTCTTGGTGGGCTTACATTGTTACCGTATTCTCCTTATATCGAGCTAATATTTGCTTCAGGGGCCTTTTAACAACATATGGCGCATTTCAAGAGTATTACCAGACAGTCCTTCTATCAAATGAGACCCCATCCGCAATCTCATGGGTGGGCAGTATCCAAGGCACGCTAATCCCATTAGTTGGTCTTGCCACGGGACCCTTAGTTGATGTCGGATACTTGCGCCCTCTAATTCTAGCCGGAAGTTTCTTGACTGTATTCGGGATGATGATGACCAGTCTCGCCACTTCATATTACCAGGTAAGCTTACAATCAAACATCCGAATATTTTTATTCCTGACAAGAACAGATATTACTCGCACAAGGGTTCTGCGTTGGAATGGGAGGCGGCGTTTCCTACATCCCAGCCCTCGTCGTGATCTCCACGAGTTTCACCACCAAACGCCCAATAGCCATCGGCTGCGCTTCAATCGGGTCTAGCGTGGGGGCCGTCATTTTCCCGGTCATGTTCCGCCAACTACAGCCCAAGATCGGGTTTCCATGGGCTGTCCGCAGCATAGGCTTCATCAGTCTCTTCCTTGCTATTATATCATGTGTGATCCTATGTCGGCAACCAGGCCAAAGAACACATGCAAGAAGTCTTATTGATTGGAGCGCCTTCCGCGAGCCCTCGTTCATGATGTTCTCGCTCTCGCTCACCTGTGTCATGCTCGCGTACTACGTGCCTATTTTCTACATCGCCTCCTATGCCCGCACGGTCGTGCATACCAGCACCGATATTAGCTTTTATATGGTTGCCATCGTCAACGGGACGTCAGTCATTGGTCGTGTTGTTCCATATCTGCTTGTTGCATATATCAAGCCCATTGGGATTCTAATATTCTCTGTGGTAGCGTCGGCAATTGCGATGTTCACGTGGATTGCGGCTACCGGTACGGCTGGGTTTATGGTCTGGGCATGCTACTGGGGAGCTCTTAGTGGTGTTTTGGTTACAGCACCAACTTCCATTGTGGCACATCCGATTTTCTGTCCGGATTCGAGCTTTTTAGGGACTCGTTTGGGTATGATGTGGGGGATATCGTCTTTCGGGGCGCTTGCTGGAACCCCAATTGCGGGTGCTTTGGTAAATCTTGATACCGCAGAGTTCTTGCGTGCTCAGGTCTTTGCGGGCTGTATGATGGTTGGTGCCGTCTTGTTGCAGGTTTGGCCAACTTTCAGGGTGATTCGGTATGATCTGGAGCATCCTCGCAAAAAATGAGCAATCCACTGGAAATTGAAGGCTTTCTGCATCAGCACAAGTTAACTAAATATCCTTCAAGTGTAAATGTAATAGATCCAACCATAATTTACCCGATTTTCAGTATATTCTGTACAAGGATAATATCCGAGAAGACTGCCAAGGAAGAGCTTTGATACGCCTATTCCGCCTTTCCTTTGCCCGTTCGACCCGTCATGTCCTCAAAATCAACATACACGCCAAAATCCAATTTCAACATGGGCAACATGGTTCCTCCCGACAGCCTCAATCAAGCATGTTCTTCCCTTGGCATTCCATGTCCAATAAAAACTAATATTGGACAAAGCGAAGTGTTCTTTTGAGGGTCCCTATCTCTATATATTTTCCCCTGTATCGTGTGTCACGATGATAACTATCAATGCTTCCAAAACTCCTTTCAGAAGTGTAGTGATCGAGCTAGTGCTTGGCCGAGTCGCCAAGCACTGGGCACATGATGGGCCAATCACAAAGGCAATGTATACTCATTATGACTTCATCCGGGGTTGTGGCAAGGATTAGGTCAAGGCTAAAGAACATATATAAATATATAAGTGAACGAGTAATTCAACTTAATTCAAATACCCACTATTTGTATTCAAAACAAGAACCATATCTACCTTCGAACGGAATTTTCATCACACATATATTGTGAGTGTACAAGCTTCTTGATACGCCGCATTCTACCACCCCGTCCTCTCATAAAACTATCATCTCAGAGCGTTCTAGCTACCGATATGAATGATTTCGCTAATGATCCCACCTGTAGGTCAAACTAACCTCAACGTCAAAATGGGCAGCGATACCAGCTTCAACCGCCAAACAACCGCCGTCGCAGGAGGTAGCAGTGCCGAACCCACGCCCGCTAACAATGTCGGCGGCGGATCAGGATGGGGCGACAGGCTCTGGCTAGGTGGCGAAAATGAGGGATCGGGTCATGCAGATGTACGCGATGAAATATTGCGAGGACAGCTTCATACCATATGCTAACGAGTTCTAATCCTAACGCAGGCTACCAATCCCAGATCAACAATGGGCGACTTCCACGCATTGCATGAACAGAAGACGCGCGGGCAAAATAAGTTCCTTCAGCGTGAGAGCTTGATTGATAGCGATGTTAAACCTATGAATGCCGAAGGAGAGCCGACTTGCGCCAGCGAGGATCATTCTTTTATGAACCATAAGGCTGGTGATCCAGATACTTATCCTGGATGGAGTACATTTAAGAGCTTTTTCGGCAGGTGAGGTCGCTCTTTGTCTTCTAAAAGAACTATAGGATGATTGGTTCTGACCAAATCCACTCTGTTGTAGAGGATGAAATGGGATATGGGATATTATAAAGCTATGAATTTGCTATACTGTGAGCTTTGAGTTACTATGTTAGTTGTAACTTGAACGTCGACCTGTCGAACGCGTTTCAAAAAATGTTAAAAAGTTTAAAACTTTAAGATAGTACATAAACACATTCTTATGATTTCATAGCAACCACTTTTATCTGCCCGGGAGACCAGCTCTAGAGAGATGGTTTGGCTTGAAGCTTTTCAAGTTCATTCAACGCGCATCCAACTGCATCAACGGCCATTCCATACCCAGCCTGGAAACCAGTTCCTCCAGCACCGTAGTTGTGAACGACGAGGCCCTTTCTCTCCGAATCATCGACCTGCACGACTTCACTGGCAACTCGGGCACCTCCCTCTCGCGATGGGCGCAAGCCTGCAAATGCTGCGAGAATGTCTGTTTCAGGTGACTCAAGCTCAGGTAGCAATGCCTTGGTCCGGGATAAGATAGACTCGGTTTCGTCTCCAAGTGTATCAGGCAAGCTATAACATTTAGTCCGTGAAGCACTAACAGAGAATGCTTGGATCAATATGACTCACCCGACTCCCTTCTGCATATATCCACCGAGAATGACATTACCCTTTGAGTGTGGTCGTGGGATAATGTATGTCTCATAATCCTTCCCGTGGCGCATCACATTTTGGTTGACATGTGTTGCCTTGGCAAGCAGGATTTGGCCTCTGGTGGGGTAGCACTTGGGATCCTCGACTCCCTTTAGGGTACGAGCAGCGTTACCGGTGCAGTTAAAAACCACCTTCGTGTCCTTACTGAGGAAACCCGAGGTGACACCCGAGACCTTTTTTCGGATAACCCGCACTCCGTACTGCTGTCTGAGCCTTTGAAGAAGATAGCGAATATGCATCGGAGCATTGAGGGTTACTGTGGTGAATTTGACACCACATGCAACACCTTCCGGTAGATCCTGCTGAGGAATCTCTTTGTACTGTGGTTTTCCCATATTAGCAACTTGAATTGGAGCACTGCTTCTTGGTAATCGACTCACATCCTTCAGATAGCTAGCCATGGAATCTAGCTTCGTTCGCGACGGCATCTCATCCCAGTACTCGGTAGAGGGTGTTTCCCGAACAAAGGCCTTCATGCCATCTTGCGCCGCAAGTTTGAGGAGGTGCTTGTACCCGAGTTGATCCCATCGCAAGGCATTCTTATCGCTTGCAGAAAGAGCAGAGAAGTTGGCGCCGGCCCTACATCGCGTTAGTATCATAGAAACAAATATCATATCTACAAATATCATCAAGTGCGAGCAGACCTACCATGGTGAAGTATAGTTTATGGATGTATCACCCGGGAGGTGCTCAGCTATGATGGTTGTTTGACTGGCATAGCCTTGCTCCGCAAGGACCAGGGCAACATTCAATCCAATGATGCCAGCACTTCAAAATATTGTTAGTTCCAATCTGTGAGCTGGAGTAAGATTTTTTTTTTTTTGGAGCACGCACCCAATAATTACCACAGATTCGTTCTTCATTGTGACTGGATCAGTGTTCGAAAACTCTAAAATGACTAGGACTCAATTCGTCTAGGGGGCGTCTTTAATTTAAACAGAAAACAGCAAGAAATTTGCAGCTTCTACGGAGACCTCCACTTTGACTCATTTAATTTGATATTCTTATCTCGCATCTAGCTTTCAATTTAGATCGGAATCAACGAGTAAACGAACGCCTATCTCGGAGGCGCAAATTGGGGGCCGCTCCGATTGGCGGCATTTGACTGTGGGTCCCGCGGTGTAGCTTCTGATTGGTGCCCATGATAGTAGTTACCTGAATTGGAAACGTTGTAACTATATCTCGGTTGATAAAGGCCGGGCTGGTTAACAGCACAATGGTACTGGGGAATGTGGATACCAATCTAACACTACCTATCTTACGGAGTACAAATTTCGGACTTGCTACACTTGCGGTGTCCTATTTGGGACAATTTTTGGAGATGTTGAATATTATGAAATTGAAAGTGAAAAAAGTGAAAATATATTGCTATTATTCAAAATTTCAAGCTATTATATGTATGGAGTATAAGCATTGTAGTCCGCTGGGATCTTTTGCGGCTATCAAGTCGAAAGGGGTCTCCAAAAAGGAGATGTAAAAGTACATGGTGGATACGACGATGTATAGAGATCTCTGGAAGCTGAGAGCTAGAGCTATCGATTTGAGGAAAACATCTACTTGGATGTACGTATTATAGAGGAAAAATGGGTGTAAGATTGACACGTAAAATTATATTGATTATATAGGCTATTCAATTAAACAAACGACGTCTACGCTTCACTATGTTTGCCATAGTCAGCAACTTGTGTAACATGTTGGCCGTTTCCCTCAACCGGGACTCCATCGAGTCCCGGGATAATCGGCTCATCCAAGTCACTCTTTCTGAAGCAAAGGAAAAAGAGACACCCCGCCACGAATCCCACAATTGCGAGAGATCCATACATCCAAACAAGCTTTGGATCTTCCGACACTGGGCTGAGACCAATGCAAATAGCCGCCGCAATGCCGATCATAAGCCAAAAGAGTGCGGAGATAAATGATCGAAGGCTAAAGTAAGTTTTGATTAGTTTCAGTTGGACGGCATCATGGGGGTGCAGTTGACTCACTTTTTCGGAGCATGTGTGAAAGCAAGTTCCAGGCCAGTAACGATAACAAAGGCCTCGGAGAATGCGACGAAGATATATGCAGGGGCTTGAATCCATACGTGGATGCTCTTTTCTGGGGAGATATAGATGTAATGCTGTAGCACGCTGGCGTAGACCATAGAGATCGAGACAAGAAGGAAACCGGCGAAGATTCGACGGACGGGGCTGAAGTTGATGTTAACCTTGCGAAGGAATGGATAAAGGCCCACTATCGGTAGATTGTTAGCAGATGTTTACTTTTTGGTATCATCGCGTCAATACTCACAATCAAGAAGTGGGATAAAGATACACAACGCAATGGGGTCAAGGTTTTGCAGGAGATCATTCGGAGTTCCGTGTAACGCCATTTGTCCAGCTTGCGAGATAAGATTGTTCCAAATCTGGACCCAGCAAACAAAATAGAATGGGAAAAAAATAAACATCTGTAATAAATGTAAGTATAGCTCAGTGCACAAGTGTTGAGCTTCGACTTACTCTACAGCTTTTGAAGCCTCGGCGGACGTCCGAGACGTACTGATCCGTGTAGCGCGGTGAAGACGCAAATGGGTATTTGCTTAAACGGCCAGAGGCCTGTAGGGCAGATGGCTTCGCGTCTTCGAAATTCTTCTCCTGTCGAGCAATGTTCATGACCTTGCATGCATCAACAATAGCAGATCCCTGGGGAGGAGTCTTAACATATAGCTTCTGGCCGGATAGGAAGACGATTCCGGAGAGAACGATTGCGCTGGAAGATATTAGCAGAGGTAACATATAAGTGTCTCATTCCAACTTACATCAATGGGATCAAATATGCAAGCCAGAAAGAGTGATGTGCCTCAATATTGACTGTAATCAAGGGGGAGAGTGCGCCAACATTGACAACCCAGTAGAACCACATGAAAAGTCGCTGTACTGTCAATTCAGGGTCAACAATCACACGCTCGCCTGATTTGAGCGTCTTCAGAACCGGTTCTGCGTTTTGGTATTGCTCAGCGCACATGGGAGTCACGTTGGCCTTAATTCCACCTGTTCCTAGGCCAATGATGACCATTGCAGCAACCAGCCCTCCAAATCCAGCATCACTCTTAAGACCAGCTGGTGTCGCAGTGGCAACAAGGACGGTCAATCCGACGATATAAATCCCCAGGGAGATTGTGATGGCTTTGAATTTTCCGACATATTGGTCTGGCGGACTATTAGCAACGCTGCTGAAAGATAGGAAGGAAATATGTATCTTACCTGCAACAATCGCGCCGATAATTGTTGAGGCATAGGCCCAAAATTTAAAGAAGTTTCCAAGAGCCGACGCGGTTGCTTGTCCTCTACCTAACGCGCCAGGGAGACCGGAGCTAGGGTCATAAGGGTTACTAGAAAATGATTAGTAAGTGTTCTTGAAATATTCATCAATGTCTGAAAGACCCAACGTACTTGATATAATTTTGCATAGGACCGCTAAGGCCAAAATAAGTGAACCGTTCGCCAAGCTGATATCTCTATGTCAGCAGGCTTCACCACGTGGAAGGTGGGGCAACATACCTCGACGACCAGAATTAATAGTGCGACACGTGGGAATTTGTCAGGAATACGCCGGAGACCAGCATGGAGGCCATTAGGAGACTGGTCAACTTTGTCCAGTTCCTGTTCTGAGTTTCTCCGGTTATCGACTGAGACAGAATCCATCTCGGCGGATATAGTAGTGTGTAAAGTGATGTATGAGAAAAATAATTCTTCTCTACATGTCAGATCAGAGGAACGGCGTTTAATTTAACCAACTCAGTCAGTGGATGGTTCGACATCGGGAACGAATCCGGGGTGCAGGGCCCACCTGAGACCCGCAGATAGGAAGTCCCCCACTTCGATGCCTATCGCTGGGATTGGCGCCGATAGTGTAGCCGATGCCGCCAACCGGAGTCCTGCATTATGTCCGAAGCGTATCGAAGGGTAAATGACTAAATTTGTTAACATTGTCGTTTTTTACTTTGATTTGATTTTTAAATGTTCACTTAAGATTGACCATTTAGCATCTTTTTGCTTTTACAGTTCTTCTCTATCACAAGCCTAATCGCTCCTTTGACACAGAACAATGGCCAGTACACAAACACCAGAAGAGAAGAAGGGGCGCTTGTCTATCCCAGACAAGCTCTTGAAGGGATTGGATCCCGAATGGGTAGAGCTATGGGAAAAGCATGGCAGCTCAATGGTGAGAGCCGACGAGCTGTCTCTGGAAGAATATCGCAAAAGTCCTGCTACATACAGCTTCACCTACCCAACATGCCCTGGTGAGTCAGATTCATGGGCTTAATTCATTGAATTAAGGTCTCAAACAAGTGCTGACTACGATCAAGGCCCGTCCGTTTTCCATGTTGAGGACATGGAGATTCCGGTCACTCAACCAGCTGGAAAGATCATGATCAGGGTCTATACGCCAGAAGGACCAGGACCATTCCCTGTTCATTTGAACTTCCATGGAGGTACGTATATTATGGAGCCGCATGCACTAAAACTCTTCAGCGTCAAATTTCTGACCTTAATTCATCGCTTGTAGGTGGTTGGGTCCTTGGCAATCTCAACTCTGAAGCTGCTTGGTGCCGGCACATGTGCAACAAAGCCCAAATTAAAGTTATCGATGTTGACTACCGACTGGCTCCGGAGTTTCCCTATCCTACCAGCATCTACGATTCATGGGATGCTGTGAAATGGGCAAGTACAGACCCAATCTCATTTGAGGTTTTCATTAACAAAGAATGTTTGAACAGACAATCGCCAATGCCTCTAGTATCAATGTTGATCCATCGAGTGTTTCTATCGGAGGTCTCTCGGCTGGAGGTCAAATTACCGCAGTGATGGCACATTTCGCCCGCGACGAGGGCATCGATTTAAAGCTTCAGTTGATCATCGTTCCAGCGACAGACATGCGCTACTGTTTAAAGACCCGGGAGCTTAACGAAACCACTTGTCCCTACAAAAGTGTCTTGCTATACCACGATGCCCCTTGGGGACCACTAGGCAGAGAGCAATGGTTCCTAAAGTATTGGCTCGGCGATGATGACGGTAAATCTTTTCTTTCTCCCCTCTCCTCTTGAAATCCTCTTTATGAATGTACTAATGTTTTTCTAGCTACCCAAGAGAGAATTTTGACAAAAGAGTGGATCTGCACACCTGTACTTGCTCCTTCATTCAAAAACCTTGTAAAAGCACACATCATCACAGCAGAGTTTGATCTTGAGCGAGATGAAGGAGAATACTATGGTAAGCTTATGCAAGAAGCTGGAAACGATGTCACAATGAAGAGATACCCAGGCGTGCCACACGCATTTGGGCACTTCAATCACCCTGAACGGGGACTCTCACAGAGCTTTGTGTATATCGAAGATACCAGTCGACTCCTTCGGCAGGTGCACTTTGGCAAGAGTGAAGAGTAATGTGCAATACAATATGAACGAATAAAATAGAAGAAACAAAAGGTTCTTTCGCTGAAGCTCGGATTTCTCTCTGTATGGATTATGATGGTTGAATATATATGTTCAACAAGTAGATCTAGCCTTTTCTTTTTTGCGCTACTTTTACCTATATCCACGTTTCCTAAAATGTCATAATTTTGGCCATCATTACTTCCTAGGCTCTATACAGCTTGTCTCGAATTCAATAAAATCACAAGGAATGCTATGACCAATCTTTAATCATTTCCCGAGGTCGGCCCGGGAGATGCGGGGACAAGGTTATCGGGGTAATAACCCTAAAATTATACTTCGCTTTAGTCACAAGCGCGGCCTGGGCATCAGCTGGGAATTGATTTGGTTAAAATTAAGGTTGTTCTGTACATAATCTGTGCTTCGAATGAACAATAAAGCTTGATGTTATCAGCCTGTCGTTTAGCCCTCAACTCAAGGACAATGCTAGATTCTGTCACGTAGTCAAACTGACCAGTTGGTCATAATCCCCACCAAAAAACTGCAGGGACTTCCAAGCACGGAATCAACGGAGTCTGTTATCAACATGGCCGTTCAAGAGTTCATCTGTCAATGCATTATGCACCATGCTACATTCGTACTAAGGGACAGGGTGATCATAATATTGGTCGTGGGACTCCGAGATTTTCTCAACCAAGTTTCTCAAACTACTAGTGGAGGAGACACCGTCTGGTCGGTATCATTACGTACCTATTTTACTCGACTTTTGGCAGTGCGGATGTAACACAAGCACTTTCTCAACTTCAGAGAGCAGGGATGCCGTTGCATTTTGTGGGGACGGTATAGGTATCATTCATGGTGAAATTAGTAGATAAAGGGCGATAATATTGGTTAGGTTAACATATCCCGAAGATGTGTGTTGCCTCAATGTCAGAAAATGAAGCAAAACCTCATCAAGACTTGTTATATTGTAGGAAGGGAATGCAAGGGAGAACAGAGTCAGAGGAAACTTTGCACAAATAACGAAAGGAAAGTGATAGCAAAGCAGAAGGGGAGAAATAATCCTCGATACTGACAAGCCATGACGAAGGAACTATCAAATGATCCTGGTTGGCCTTAAGAAGATCTTAAGAAGATGAGTCACCAATGGAAAGGGATTATATCCATTTTAACATAGAAACTTGATCAATCAGCCAGCATTTTGACCTCAAAAAGCCGAGGAAAGCGGAGGGAAACTAAGAATCGAATCCTCTAAATAACTAGTTAGATGAAGTACATGTAATTAAGGAGCACACAGAAAGTGTGCGAAGCCTTGGAAAGATGCAGTGCAGTGTAAGTGTTATGCAGACTCTTTTCGGGTACATTTATCGCTCCCTGGGGTAAAGGAAGTCAGAGTAAGGTAAAGCCCAGTTTTAGGTGTCCAAGGCCTCGGGGGACGAACCGTATTAGATAAGCCTTGAAGAGCGGCGCCCAGGCGGATATCATCACGTGGGATGTGGGGCCGGCATCGGGAATGGACTGTATCCTCTTGGGTCTCGCCAATACATGTTCATGACAATTTTCTCAATGCAAGGATGTCAGGCCGAGCTCGTAGGTACATGAGTAAGCGAGATCGCGCTTGCGATTCCTGTCGAACCAGAAAGGCAGCTTGCCGCATTGATCGAGCACCTCCCTGTTATCTTTGCACACTCCATGGGAAAGAATGCACATTCCTACAGCCAACGTCGAGGCTACGCCAGACATTTCCAGAGGCAGTCAGCTCACAGGTTTCTCAACGCACTGAGATAAACTCACGCTCGGAGTTGCATGAGGTTTCACCAGTTGGTGACTCGGTCCACTACGATATCTTGATGTCGATTGATGACGATGGGGTAGATCATTCAGTCGCCACTGCACCTGAGAGGTTCCATGATTTCTTTGATGGAGCCGGAGTGTCATTATCGGGTGGCTTTGGAGATGGCACATGGCCAACTGGATTTAGTCCAGGGAGCTTCGTTTATCCATCCCCTGGGCTGCCAGGGATTGGTCGTTCGGAGGATGGAGGTTTGTCGCAGGCCGCCTGTCTGTCGTTGCCTGTGCAGGATACTGACTCGTCGATTTGCCTTGATACTCAAGGTGTAATGACACCACAATTGCTCGGCAGTAGTGGTGATATGGACCCTTTGCTGATGAGTCGTTATCAATATGACACATCTGGGGCTTTCCATTTCAAAAATCTCAATATCCAGTCCGTATCCTCAGGGATCGACCCAACACAGTTTTTACTGTCGAAGCCGTCAATATTTGCTGCCAGCAGGGAAGAAAATGGATGCGATAACGTGCCTGCCTTTGAATTGAGACAGGAACTCGAATCGTTGGTCCCGGGAGATATCGGTCTCAGACTAATCAACCTATATGAGAGGATCGTTGCACCAGATTATCCAATACTTGGCCCACCAGGTCAATTGAATACCAGCACCAGCCCACCATACCTACTTGCGAGCGTATACCTAATAGTCGAGCCCTTCACTAAATTTGACGAAAGACTATGCATTGATCTCGCATATGATAAGCCATCAGCCGTGGCACTATACGCGATTATCAACAAAGCGCTTCCACATGAGTTACATGCACCGAAACTTTGTGTTGTGCAGACAATGCTTCTTTTGGCGATTCGAGCTTATCCAAATCCAATTGTATTGGATAGTGGATTCAAATGGTCCCAACTCTCCACTCTTATTGCTTGCGCTCACACCCTTGGGCTACATTTGGATCCAAAGTCATGGCGAATACCTCCATTACAAATTGCCCAGCGACGTTGTCTGTCTTATTTCATTTATTCGACAGACAAGTGGCTTGCATTGAGCCTTGGTCGGCCGCCGCTACTGCATTATGATAACTGGCTCGTGACAAGGCCTAGCCAAGACGATCGTCCTGTCAGTGGACTTGACCCTGTAGCCTGGACGAAGATCATGAAGCGAGCGAAACTAGACTCTCTGCTTGATCGTGTTCTAACACAATTATAGTAAGTCAATTCGCATCTCATTGCCTCGCTGTTATTTCCAACTTACCAATATTAGCTCACCTCGTGCCATTAATGCGATTTGTACCGATTACGAGAAGACCACCGCATTGACTAGTCCACTACTTGAAGAACTCTTCTCATGGCACAGACCAGTGTCTGCATCATCGACCGACTTCACATCATCGAATCAAAGCAGGCCAATTGGACTAGAAAGAACACTCGAAATGAACTACCATTATATTCATCTGAGTATTTGCAGGGCAATTCTGAGACCATTCCTGCAGCCAACTGTCGAGAACTCGAATGAGGCCGACTATACATTAGCGCGCGAGCAAGCCCGGATCCGAGCAGAAACTTGCATTTCAGGAGCAGCGGAGTTTATTCACGAGCTGCGGCCAGAGGACCTTGAGGCTCTATGGCCGGCCTGGAGCGCGACTGCATTTTCGTCCATATGTTTCCAAATCCTGCATATGGCTGTCAGCTCCGTTGATAAGAGCGAGGCAGATAAATGGGTTACTTGTCTGCACAAAGTGCGCCGGGATATGCGGCTGAAGGCTGATGTTCTGCCTTGTCTACATCTTGGCCTTCTGCGGATTGACTCCATATTTTGGAAGGGAATTAATAATGTGTTGCATTTGGAAGCACATGTTCGACAAGCGTTTGCGTCTGGTTCAAGCGTCGGTCGACCTCTTGGTATAGCTAGTTCAGCCAAGTGATCATGCATTGCATTGATATGCACTATTATATCCCAAATATTGAGATTAGACGATGTTTTGTATGGATGACCAAGGTGCATCGATTGTACAGAAGGTTGTGACACTGGTCTTTGGTCTGGATGGCATAGGCCCTCATGCTTATGTGCAAAGGGCAATAGAGAACTGAAGTTAGGGTTTTTACAAGTCTCTTATGGGCCCACGAACTGCGAAATATTGTAACTGTAATTAATATATTCAGATGTGAACTAGTCCACTTTGGTACCCTTTCCACGGAGTCGATCACGAATAGCCACCAATTTCCCCAGTATCCGGCCTTTCAAAGTCTGGGCTCCAAGAGTGGCAGCCTCATCCAGAGAGACAACTCGTCGAACCAAGATGTTAAAGATAGTTCCGAAAGCAAGTGCAATCACAGTACTAGTGAGAATGATCACATTGTAGGGCATGCTGAAATCAGGGGTTGGCAGTTGAAGCAGCAGACTCGTAGAACGGATGTAGATCGGCGCATTGTGTACCGGATCCACGATCCGAATTACTGCAGGCGCAACGTTGAAGCCTCGATTGGCATCCGGTGGGTACTCGGTGTACCGAAGAATGGCTTTCTCGAAGTCGTAAGTCAACGTGACGGTTGATGCGGCGGGTACAGACAGCGCCAGTTCTAATTGTGTTCCACGCTCGCGATCAATGGCGGGTCGGTAGTACGTCTCTTTGACGATTTCAGAGGCTGGGACCTCGCGGAGGACTCCGTCGTGTCCTGTGATTGTTGCGCGCAAAGTATGTATATATGGTCGTAAGAACCACGGAAGAGACTCGAAATAGATGAAATCAACTGCGCTGGTGTTCGACGGATTGGCAAAGATAATGCGCATTCCACCGCGCTCCTGGCCGTGTCCAACGATTGTTCGCTCCGCATGCAAAACAGGCTCGTCCAACGGAAATTCGGTGTTCACTGGCTGCTGCGGAATGGAAAGATCAAAGGAAACCGAGGGCGCCAATTTGAAGCAGCGCGTAAAGCCATCCTCTTTCTTGATTTCATCGGCCCCATCGGATATGAAGACACCCCGCTCGTGGGGCACCCGAAGGCAAACACTTTGGTCGCTAGATCCATCGAAATCTGTAAGTGGGCAAACACCATTTATGCTTCGCCCAAAAACCTCGGTAAGACTCCACGACTTGTCGTTTGTCTTTTCTAGCGGGTAACAAGTATCATCTGAAGCGTAAGGCTTGGAGGTGTCACAAACCAACTGCTCATTAGGCACAGGCCGCGGAATCGGATTGGCTAGATTCAAGTTAGCATTCGTGAGCCAGAGTGTACCGGTGAAAAATACGCACAACGAGAGCGCTTAGATCGGTCAATATCCAAGACCATGTCCACAGTTTGCTCGATCTGAACCACACATTCTCCGTTTGCAGAACAGACTGGCTGGATATCCACTGACATACTCTGCCATGCGGCATCGAACAATTTGTGTCCGTCAAAGAGTGAGGAGATTCCAGCTTTTCCTTTGCAAGGCAACAACTTCAAGAAAGGGGTCAAATTCTCTGTGCAAACTACCTCACCAGGAAGCGTTCCATGCAAAAGGTGCAGTTGATCGGCCGCTGAGTGACCCCCAGCTGGTTCAAAAGAAACCACAGGTCTAGTGGTCCGGGTCGAGTCCACGAAGTTCAGCGAGGCGCAGAACAAACCAGAGAGGGACTGGGTCAAGGTGATCCATTTGGCAAAAGCCCTAAGTAAGTCAGAATTATGTGTCTCTCATGACATGTTTCGAATGAGGAACATACTCTTCGTCGCTCGGCGCATCAATCCATGCCCAAAGCTCGACGCCAGTGCCTCCTTCCTTACTGCCGTTCCATGGCCGTGGGCCCCAGCTTTCAGCGTCCCATCTTCCTGTGGTGAAGCGGAGGTGTAATTCTTTTGTATGAGCGTGTTGAAGGATTTGACCAAGAGCGCGAGGCAAATATCTAAAATGCTGTTGGTCGAATGATTGTTGTGATGTATTGCTTCGGAAGTTAAAAGAAGCTAGTAAGGAGGACTGCGGAAGTGGTTGTAGGAGGAGGTGCTCGTGGTAGTCCGACGACGCAAAGGTAGAGGAGCTCCATAATGAGAGAATAAGTGCGACGAAAGGAAATGTGAATGATGAAAGGACCCTCATGACTTCATGCTTGCCGGAGCTCGGTCTTCGTCCATGCGGGTATCACGGGTCAATTGGCAGGGGGTATCAGCGAAGTGATGGGCATATGTTGGCTGTAACCCCAGAGAATCAGACCTAAGTGATCACCAAGTCAACAGAAAAGCTCTGCATCGAAAGAAAGATCAAAGCCAAACTCCAAAACCCCGAGATGTCCATCTGGTCTGTTGACTGCGGAGCCTCACCGCCTTCCTTGGCGCCAAAAGCATCAAAAGCGAAAGACTTCGTCGTTTGCCGTGAATCAGTCCGTTGACACAATTTCGTCTTTCCTTTCCTTTACAGTCTAGTGTATCACTATCAACATGGCAGCAGAACAGAGAAAGCTGCTTGAGCAGCTCATGGGAGGTATGTTGCGCTTTTTGCACTTCTCAAAATCTCCAAGCTCCAGCCCACCCCGACAAGTCTCCAACTAGAGCTAACATTACTTCTGTCTATAGCTGATCAGCTCATTGGAACTGGCGCACAGGGTCGGAATTCCCAGCTCGCGATCACAGACAACAAAGTTTGCCGATCCTACCTTGTTGGCACTTGCCCGCACGACCTGTTCACCAACACCAAGCAAGACCTCGGACCTTGCCCGAAGGTTCATAGCGAAGGCTTAAAGACGGAATATGAGACTGCACCTGCCTCTGAGAAAGCGAAATGGGGGTTCGAATTCGATTACATGCGCGACATGCAGAAGTACATTGACGACTGTGATCGCCGAATCGACACTGCGCAGCGCCGATTGGAAAAGACGCCGGATGAGATTCGCCAGACAAATGACCTGGTATGTCTAGCTTTACTTTTATATTCGATCCCCAATGAGAGGAACCCCGAAGGGCATTGCTAACTTCTTATATAGCTCAAACAAATCGCTGATCTTTCCAACACAATCAACTCCGGTCTCCAAGAAGTCTCGATTCTCGGCGAGACAGGCTCTGTCGCACTAGCCCTCAGTGAAATGCACAAAGTCCGCACCTCCAAGCACCAGAAGGAAAGTCTCGAGCGCGATCTCAAGAACCTTCAAGATACCTCTGGTCCATCCGGCCACCAGAAGCTGCAAGTCTGTGACGTTTGCGGTGCTTACTTGTCTCGTCTTGACAACGACCGCCGGTTGGCGGATCACTTCTTCGGAAAGATGCACATGGGATACTCAGACATGCGCAAGAACTGCAAGAAGCTGAGCATGGAGCTGAAGGGCCGGGCTCCTCCAGTTCGTCACCATGAAGAGGATGATAACCCTTACACTTCTGGTGGTCGTCCTGGTGCTGGTCGGGGTCGGTATGGTGGTGGTGGTGGTGGCGGTGGCGGCGGCGGTGGATATCGCCGCCGTGGAGGTGGCAGATGGTGATTTTCGTTCTCTTCGCTTCATTCTTGAAGACTTGGGCTTTGGGCCCGTTGCATAGCGCAGGCGTTTTTACTTATTATCTCGTGTATGATGCTCAGACGACGGTTAGGGAGGTCATAGGATAAGTGCTCAATATCCATTTCATTTTTCGTGCTTGTCCTTCTTGTCGATATAGCTCACAACCCCCCTGAGTACAAGACGCGTGTATAGTATAATATTTCCTCTAATGCGGTGGAATATCTCGATGATTTTCTACTTGTGTCATAATTGAAAACGAATACAAAACTAGCGATGAAATGGAATCCAGTGACTACACCACGACGCAAGTTGAGGGTAAACTAACTACCTAGAATGGTGATATATGGCTCCTTCTCAGCTAGCATTGGGGTTAACACAATGAACATCGGAGTAGCTAGGGTAGGAAATGGATTAGCTTATATTGATATGAAAATATGAAAGTATTGATTATGGCGTTTTGTCTAGAACAAAAAGATTCAAATTGATCCATCCGTGGATGACCTATAACATCCCAATCAGTCTGCGGTGAGGTTCCTGTGATTCAACGAGGCGACAGGAGTGATTGGGGTCATGTTTCATCCAACGAAGATTCAAATTCATTCGTACTTGCGGGATCCTGGAATACCACACATCAGCCCTTTGTTCAAAAACACTCTTAAGATGAGGGACAGTCATTCCTTTTACAATGATCCACTGTAGGAAATCGACTAAGAGACGTCGGGAGATATATGTGCTCTCCAAAGTCATCGATGGAACCTATGGCTCAAGCAAGACATTAAGGACTGGAAGCTTGACTTCATAAGGGTACTTACTATAACTAAAACTCGGCCACGGGAGAATACTCAACGAGTGACAATGTTGAGAAATTACAAAAGCTTGAGGAAAATCCTACCCACGATAAAGCGGCCGGGATCCAGAATTCACGGGACAAGATTCAAACGTCTTCGGGGCAATACTGGTTGAAGGAACGATTTTGGTGGGCGGTTAGGGTTTCATTCCTATATAGCCCGTTCACAAGACGCATCGACTTTTGGCGTTCACAGCTAAAATGGTATGTGTATCTTGTGCTTGTTGAAGACTGTGCTCGAATGGGAGGATGGTTTGGAACGAGTTGTGGATGTTGTTCAAACCACGAGAACCTCGAACGAAAGCTTGAGGGCTTGAACTCAGCCCCAAGCTTAGGTCAAGGCTTCGAGAGTGGCCAGACCCGAAGAAGGATTATGTACAATATCGCCGGATCAGGAACATCTCTTTGCTAGAGGTGTCGGGTTGAAGTTGCAAAAACCCACGGCATGAGGTCTAAAGCTAGACAATGTGTGAAAAGAGATCAGGAATGTCCATTTGCTTGAATGGGATGACTAGGTACGTTTTGGACACGGTGCTACGGAATATTACGCATACAAATGTAGCCTTGTCTTAGCTATATGAGAGAATGGCACAAGAACACTAGTAGAAGTGGTTTCATTGAGTAGAGAACCTGACATAAAATTGAAAAGCATTTGGTGGGTATTCCACTTTCCTAAAACAAACCTTTTTCCCATCCCCGGAGACTTCAGTCCCGAACACCAGACTAGCATTGCGCAGCCTTGTAAAAGGAAATACAAATGGGATAAACTGTACAGGGGAAAAAATGGCTATCGTGGGCATGACTCTATTACACACCCTGCTGGGGCACGTGGCCGTTTGCTTGGGTCTCGAATAGAGCCTGCATTAAAGTGTCGTAATGAGCAGCGGCAGCGGGTTGGCGGGCCAGAATGTCGCGAACGACACTCAGTTGCGCTACGTCCACGTTAGGCGCAGTCTTCAGAAGTTGTTGGATGGCGGGAGCATCAACTTGTGGGCCGAGAACTTGCACCGCGGCGGGGAGGCCAGTCAGAGCAGGCTGTTGAGGGGTGACCTGGCCATGCTGTGCAGGGGCCGGTTGGCCGTATGGTGCGGGATTCGGGTTGAATCCTCCGAAGTGGGAGGGAGGAGTGGGCGCAACTCCAGCGCTGAACTGAGGCTGTTGGGGAGTCGCTGCAACTGTTGGGCTCGCAGAGACAGGTGGCTCCTGGCTAGCCTGGTGGGATGGCGGCTGGACAGATGAAGGGTTGGATTCGCCAGTCTTGACGACGAAAATGGTAAGAAGCATGCGTTGAGTAATGGGTCCCTCCAGTGAGATGTTTTCCAGCAGTTCAATAAACTCGGGCATCGTCGTAGTGCCAATCTCCATGGGGACAATGTAGGTGTCTTTGACGGCGGAGAGCGGGTGCTTTCCAATGACGCCATAGCGCCCACGACTATAGAAGTAGTCAAACATTTTGTCGAAGCCCGCTCGATCCTCAGGCTGATCAGGACTGCTTATTGCTATCACAGACACATCGGTGGACTTGCTGAACTGAAGGCCGCACAGATAATCAGTTGCCCGTCTGATGTCGATACGGCCATCAACAACTAGCGTGGAGGGCGCCAGTTGGCTCCATGGGATTCGGCCACTCAAGTCCGCGCCTCCCACATGCTTCGCGGACGAGGAGAACTCTCCAATTGGAGGCATGGTTACCTTGCCGCGCCAGATGGTGCCGTCATCATCGAAGTCTTTGGGTGAATAAGGAGGTGAATAGGGCTCATCATCGCGCAAAAGCTGATCGATCTCAGCGTCCGCTTGGACCCTACCACTAGGCAGTGGCTCATAGATGGCGGGAGCCACTTCGGGGAAGACGTGGTCATGGTGAGCACCCTCAGGCGATAGACCCCGAGCAAATCCATCTGTCCCTGTCTTCGATTGTTGATGTCCCGTCGGGCTGGTCGGGCTTTTGTGGGCTGGACTGCCGTCATCGCCCACAGCGCGACGGGGTCCACGGGAGAAAACAGACTCGTTCGCGCCATGGTGTTCATCCTCGATCAACTCTTCTCCTTTATGGGTGCGTCGAATCCGAGGACCTTGCTCCTCGACAATGGTGTGGTGTCTGTCTGCTTCTCGCTTGATCTCCGCATCTTTCTGTTGCAGTTCTTTGCTGGCCATCTCCCCCGTCGTCATCTGAGCCAGCAACTTAGGGGAGAGACTACCTATGAGCAGACGATCTCGCAGAGAAGTATTCTTCTTTACATTGAACATGATCGACCGTAATTGCGCCTTATAAGATTCATTAGGCTCCCCCGACCGTCCACAAATACTCTCATACATAGCATCCTCAATGGATAGAGCGAGTTGCTGTGCCACGTCTTCCGCTGACTGGTTCGCACGCAAGGTGAAGGACCCTGCTTTCTGGGCTGCAGTAATCTGGTCTACAAACAACTTGATGAGGTGTGTGGCCACACTCTTGCGAGCAGGAATCAGCTCCTCCAAGGCTCCAATGGCAGGTGCCTCGGGAGTAGGGTCTGTCTTGATTTGGGGACCAATTGCCTCTGGGGCAGCTGCTGGAGTAGACTGTGGGGATACCCGTTGTTGCTTCACCTGTGGTCCCTGATAGAGAAATGAGTTAGCATTTTGAATGTCATGATTGGGTGGAATGGAAGTGTTTACATTTTCCGCCTCCACTGTCTCTTCAAGTTTGCGCTTATTGGTGCTGGATCGCCGAGAATCAATAGCATGGCGATTTTTCTCCGGTTCGACCGAGACGGACACGGCGGGTGTAGGAGAACCGCCAGGACCTGGTGTAATGGATGGCGCAGTGCGAGCTGGTGTGCTAGCAGCTGTCCGGCTCTCACTTGGTCTTCCTTTGCGTCCTCCCTTCTTGCCCTTTTTCCGCTTGGATTTCTTCTCCTCGGTCTCTTGGCGACGTTGCTCGGCAAGCTCTTCCCATGGCTTCTCTCCTGCATTGATCTTTGCCAAGAGCTTTGTGTGATTCTCTGGTCGACATTGTTCGCAAAAGTATTGATCTGGTTCTTGACCTTTCATGAATGTGAGGCCCATGCAGTCGTTGTGTTGCCATGCTGAACATTGATCACAGCAGATCATATCGCGCTCCACATCCTCTTCTTCTTCATATTCACCGCAGATACATCGGATTATCTCTTCTTCACCTCCCTCGCCTTCACTAGGACCGGGTGTGGGTTCGGCGGACAATTTCGCGCTCTTTTCTTTCGGGCTTTTGCTTTTGCCTTTTTTCGCTGGATCATCTGGTAGCTCGAGGTTCTTGTGTTGGCCTTTGGTGGCTCGGCCGGAGCGTCGGGGTTCGTCTAATCTTTCTGTTAGCACGTCTCCTGGTAAATGGTCCACAGCCCCAGACTTGGGGCTGCCCTGCCACTCTCAAGTGATCGGATAGCAATGTGTGTAGTGATGGTGTACGATAGCTTACCGGCCATGATAATGGTGATTGGACGCGTACTACAGCGCGTGAAAGGATAATAGGTCTCTTCACTTGCTCGAAATTCGGGTATTACCCAGGCTGACAAAAGTCTCTACAAGCTCAAGACGCTAATGTAATACACAAGAAGACGGCAAAACAGCCTCACTGTCTAGCCCACAGTTTTGCCTGATCGAATAGAAGAACTGATCCAGACTCTGCGCAATATTTCTTGGACTGGCACGCGGTGGCAATGAACGCGCTCAAGCGGGTGTTATGGTGGACTGTGCAATCCCTTGCTGCGCGTCAAATCGACACTTGGCGCTAAGCGGGGTCGCGTGAAGTGAGTTGAGCCCAAACCACGCACTTTGCAGTCAAAAATGGCACTAGACGTTTTCAGTTGAGATAGAAACAGTATTTGGTCGAAGATCAAGTGACGAAAGGAATAACGCCAAAGATGGATGGTAAAAGATAGGAAAGAGATGCGATGCGCGATGTGAGGAGAGGAGAGATGAATCAGTGCACGGCTTTGTCATTCACCGACTAGCACGTGATATTTGTCACCAGCCACAGGTTCGCGGCGAAATGCCCTTCGATAAATCTTTAGATCGAGCTTCTCCAGGTTCCCCACTCTTCATCACAGACTGTTTTATTCCCGCCAGTTTTATGCAGAAATTATTTCAACTACTACATCACCCATCCTACGAACTCCTTAACACTCAGAGAATATGGCCGACGTCCGATCGCTCCTCCGCAGCGAATTAGCTTCCCGCAAGGGCACCTCTCCAAATTCGACAGGAAATCGCGTCACCAAAAAGCGCAAGGTTGATAGTGGAGATGGAGTAATGCGAAAGAAGATCCGCGCCGCTGAACTAGATGCGTTTCAGTCTACCTCTGACGCAATAAGCGCCGAGCAAACTCCAGAGCAAGAAGGTCCGGGGCAAGTCGAGGATGGTGTCGCCGGCCCAGAACCTCCGCTCGATGACGAACAAGAGATTATTGAGCCAGCCATCGCAGAAGAACCCACTACGCAGTCGCCCCAAGATCCATCCACGCCTATTGACGAAGAGGCATGGGCAGCATTTGAACGCGACGTCGCCGCGCAGGATGATGAGCCCCATGTACCAGCCGCTGTCACAGCCGAGGCTACGATATCCGCGGCACCAATGACAGCCGCAGAACTCGCTGCGCAGCAAGAGAGAGCGAAGGCGTCGGCAGTCCGCACTCGTGAGACAGAGTTGGAAGGGGAGCGAGAGGATGCCGCACGGCTTTTGGAGGAAGAGTTTGATGAGATGGATCAGTTGGAGGAGCGGGTGCGAAGACTCAAACAAAAACGCGAGGAGTTGCGGAAAGCCCGCGTCCAAGATCAGACACAGGATGAGCCGATGGGATCTGGCGCAGTGGAGCAGGATGAGAGCGAGAGTGAAGACGATGAGGATGAGGATTGGGATGATTGGAGATTTAAATGATTGAACGAATCGTCTACATGAAGGGAAATGGTTTTCCTCATATACAGTGATACCCTCAGAACCGAATGGCATTGGTATAAGCAAATTGCCTCTTGATGTACAATATGAACTCGGCTGTCCTTACTTCGACAAAAATGTTGTGTAATATTTAGTGCCCGACTATTATTGACTTATCTTCTATTCCCCATCTGCCACCTGATCAACATCCATGTAGCTCATGAGTCCGTCCTTGTTGACGCGCATCGCCTGTTCAATCTCGGCCTCGCCTTCTCGGAGGAGATGCTTGCCACGGAGAAGATCTCCTCGCTGCCTCTGCTTCTCTTCCTCCACCCGCTTCTCTCGATCTGCAAGAGCCCTCTCGCGTTTCTCCCGTTCCACGCGTTTTCGGTTAACTTCTTCTAGTTCTTCTGCCGTCATCTGTACCTCCGGTGGCGGAGGCAGAGTAGATATGTATGCCTCAATCAAAGGGTTTCGAACCTCGGGCGCGAGTCCGATGTAACGAGTATCGGTGATAATCATGTTGGGCAGAGCTTCCAAGTTCGACGAGCGATGCAACAAGTCCAAAGGAACAGATTTGAGCAGGGCTGACAGGTCTGACTTGCGGGTGCTTTCGGGTTGCTTGAGACGTGAGATATGGTCCCGGTAGAACTTCTCACGGTCTTTGTCTCCAAGCTGAGAGTCCTTCATTTCAGGCTCTTTCCTGTACTTGCGCTTGAATTCAGGCCAGTAAAGCTTTGGGGTGGCATGCTCTTGTAAAAACGCCAGATATCTAATGCGCGGGTCGGTCTTCTCTTGCTTCGCTTTCTGCTCTTTCACATATTGGATTCGGTCCCGGCTCCAATTGGAAAAGATCTCTCGTCGTGTCTTCATGTTCGAGGGCGCGGTATACCGAGTATCTTCAATGATACGGCCTTCTTCAATGACATTCTCCCATGTTGTGAATGGGTTGATTCGGAAGTCATCCAGCAAGTCACGGAAGAGGGCCTCAGAATCGGCCTCTGTCAGCGGCAGGCCCTCTGCACCCTCTTCCCAGTCTTCCTCCCCGACCTCACCATATTCCCCGGGATCCAGTCCGTAGTCTTCACCCATGGCTGCTAGTTGATATGCCATGTCTTCTTCGTTGAATTCTAGCAGCTGATCCTTGGGACCCTCACTTTCAGCACGTGCACGCTTTAACGGTTGGCCCTCTTCTCCTTCGCTGTCTGTAACTTCGACCTCCTCATAGTCGTCGTCATATTCTGGGTGCTCCGGTTCTTGCGGTGTCGGCTGGGGCTCTATACGAGCATCTTGCTGTGGGGGCGATGCTTTGTTGGCTGGCTCTTCGGGCTCACCCCGTTCTTTCCTTTCCTTCTTCTCACGCTCGAGGCGATCAAATTCCACCACGCCCTTCAAAACTTGCTCTGGAAATTTCCAAAAACTCTCGTTTGTTTCTGGATTGTGCACAAATCTCCTCCCAAGCTTGGTCTTCACTAGTAACCACGGGGCGCAGTCAGGAATGGGATGCTTCGCTTTTGGCCGATCTTCGGGTTCTCTGCGTCCACGGTCATGATAACCTCTCCCACCACGGAATCCTCCGCGGCCCCGAGAGTTTTGCGGTGGCCCAAATTGCGCTGGTCCAGAGCCAAACCCTGCCGGCGGTCCATATGGTGTTGAAGAAAATGCAGGTAGCGTTTCGGGATTGTATGTTGCTTCTGGGGTTTCGAAAGCGGCCTGATTGGGCTGAGGGGTTGTTTCTTGAGGGCGGGTGTATGTCGATTGTTTTGTTGAAGAATTATAATAGTATAAATGGCCTAGTTTGATAGTTAGTATGGCCAAAAGTTTTCACTCGAATCCTGCGCAAGACCGACCTGTGGGGGCTCGATGTTGTGTCCACCCCGAAGGCAAAGGGGGAGGAGCGGTGTATGTTGATCTGAGCATGACGACCAAGATCAATCAATTCGACGTTATGGGTAAATCGTCCTTGTCATCCGTCCTTGCTGGTGAATTCGTCGCAGCGAAGCTTTGAGGTGGTGAAGTGGTCCGAGCTTGGCGGATGACAGAGGACGCGCCAGGGCGAGTTGCCTGGAGCTTTACGTCTTCACTACCGACCTTCACCATCCCGAACCACCTGTCTCGCACAATCAACCCTTACCTATAGCCCATTTCTGAGTTTTTGTTGCTTTTCTTTATTCATACACGATGTCTCGGAGATACGATTCGAGGGTTTGTGCACACCGTCATTCCTTTTGTGCAGCTCCAGCTAACCTATGACGCTGTTGGAAAGACCACCATCTTCTCCCCAGAAGGTCGTCTCTACCAGGTTGAATATGCGCTTGAGGCTATTTCTCATGCTGGCACAGCCCTTGGTATCTTAGCCAAGGATGGAATTGTCCTCGCTGCTGAGAGGAAGGTGACCAGCAAGCTGCTGGAGCAGGATACCTCCGCTGAGAAGCTCTACACAATCAACGAGTACGCCGTCCCCCTTTTGTCTTGAATCAAACAGCCAAATTTACTGTGTTTAGTACTGGGATAACTAGCTAATATCTTCCAGTAACATGATTTGCGCCGTTGCGGGTATGAACGCCGATGCCAACATTCTGATCAACTATGCTCGCCAGAACGCCCAACGCTACCTCCTCACTTACAACGAAGACATTCCATGTGAACAGCTTGTCCGTCGACTTTGTGATCTGAAGCAAGGATATACCCAACACGGAGGTCTACGTCCGTTCGGTGTCTCCTTCATCTACGCCGGATACGACCACCTCCGTCAGTTCCAGTTGTATCAGAGCAACCCCAGTGGAAATTACGGAGGGTGGAAAGCGACGAGCGTTGGTGCAAACAACGCAAGCGCGCAGAGTCTCCTCAAGCAAGATTACAAGGAGGACTGCGATCTGAAGGAGGCTTGTGCTATGGCTGTCAAGGTGCTGAGCAAGACTATGGACTCCACAAAGCTCAGCAGTGAAAAGAGTGAGTTTCCTGGGCGTCGCTTTTGCATTATGTTTCATCATGCTAACAATCCTACCTTACGCAGTCGAGTTCGCAACAGTGGGCAAGACCAAGGATGGCAAGATCTACCACCACCTATGGACTGCGGATGAAATTGATTCCCTTCTCCGGGAACAAGGGCTGGCCAAGGTCGATGATGAGCCCGAGGCTGGTGACATAAAATAGATTAAATCCTCTCTTGTTCTTTTTCCGTTTCAGATACTCGAATCCAATACTTTGACCATAATCAGCCGGTTGCAATATCCTAGCATCACCTTATGTCCAAACAAAACACTGGTCTTTTTGTCTGTCGCGTGTGCTTTTGTTTATGGCTGCATCTGGTGTTGTCTTTTGTGACGTGGCATGCACATCGGCCCAGTCTCAGCGCTCTCCTTCAGTTCTGCATTCCAATTTGACGCTGTTTGCCCTGAAGATGTTGAAGCAGAGAGGTACACGTAGGCTGAAGACACATGGGTATTGCTTAGGGGCATGCAAGCTCTAGCCAGCACAAGTAAATTCTCCGATTCTAGTGACATGATATATAGCCCAGCTCGGCGTTCTGTGGCCTTCAGTTCATACTTCTCACCCTTTTCTTTTTCTTTCTTGTCGATGTCACTAACACCTACCAAACTATCAAACCCATTGTCATTTTTACCTAGATTGCATAAAACTATTGTTTTAGAGCTGGGTTGAAGATCTGCAATGTTGGAGTTGCCGGGTATAGAGCAAGGGAAGTGGAACCCAGCCCACATGGCCCTAGATTCTTCTCACAACACTAACATCCGACGGAATAGCTTCCACTTTCCTTCATTTCTTAGGACCTTACTCAAGATCCTTCTTCTATGTGACAGGTCTCATCTTATTAGGTTATCTAAGCAAGGGATAATCACGTGCGGGGATGTGATGAGGGGCATTTTGTTCCACACTGTGTGTCCTCGCTCTGACACCAGACACCACACACCACTACTCTCGTTTGAAGTATTATCTTGATTCTGAATGGTCATTTGATATTCGTCAGGCCTCAATGGCCTTTTTTGTCTGGTTCCAGCAGGTGCCACCCCCTGTCCTGTGAGACTCCATCTGTCTCAGCGAACCGCTCACCCAGGAAACAGGGCGCTTATGATATGGCTAGTCCCCATTGACATTTTTTGGGAGCTTAACAGCCTATGGACAGGAAGCAATATGGAATCTGAAACAATTAAATTTCTCGTCAATCTTTTCAAAGGTGATATGGTTCTCCCATCACCTTGCAGAAACTCGATTCGGACTTGATGTCACGGACAAATGGTGAAACATGAAACTCGCTGCAAATACCCCTAAAAAAACAGTGACAGGCGACCAAAAAAATGACAGGGCGATTGGTCACGAAGGACCCGAAATAAGTCGACACAATTGCTGTTCACCTGTCCAGCAGAAAAAGAAAAAGAAAAAAGAAAAACGAACCACAAGGAACACCGGTTTTGTAAATCTAAGCCAATCCTATCTTAGGAGTGTGCTCCTTCGGTCGTCCCGCTCCCGTTGCAGGGAGCGGATCTCTTTCTCCAAGTCCATAATGAGTTTGTGAGACCGATCCATGGAGGCCACAAGGTTGGCACCCTCACGCTTCCATCGGTCCAAACGGTCGACTTCGGCACTACGTCTGCGATATTTGGTTTCGATTTTCTCGCAGAGACGACAGTTGGCTTTCTCGTTCTCGGTCATGTTGACGAGTCTCATACCGCATGTCTCGCCGGTGCGATATTCATAGTTGCATCGGTGAGCAAAGCTGGTCCAGCTCCAGTCTCCACATGCAAATCTCTTTTGGTTGTAAAAGCACATGCCTATCAGATCTGTCAGTGCTGCTCAATCTGCAAGTACGACTTAACCCACTTTCTCACGGCTCTCCGTCTTTGTTTCAGCGTGAATTCCGGGTTTCTATTGGTTGCACCTGACAGTACACCCGCGCTTGTCGGATTTGATAGGCCGGCTTTTGTCTGTGTTTTTAAAGGACCCGGAAAGCTCAACAAAGTTGAAACAAATTTCGAATGAATCCGTTTTATGAAGAAAATCTATTGGCCTTGCTTGAAGATTGCAGATTCGAATTATGAAACCGGGGAGATGATTGAGAACTTCACTGTATCCTGGGGGCATTAACAGGCTTATTTATGTTTCGGACGAAGTTTCTATGCTACGGCTTTATTCTCCCATGTTTGTCTCGTCCCACTGTTGATCGACGTTTGTCAGTGCCCGATGGCTTATCATCCGTGGTTCAAGTCCGTGGATTTCACATCGCACCTGCCTGACGGTTGATCCGGTTGGCTGTGAGCAGTTCTCCAAGCAGTGGAGACGGTATGATGGCCATGGTATCTCGAATGGAGCCACTATGAACAACCGGTTGGTTCATGGGTGCATGCAACCCTCAGCCGTGGCGATTCCCTCCTCATGGTGATGTACGATGGGTCGAAAATCCCTCAATCCATGCCTGCAATCCTCTACTTTCCAGATTCGACTACTGCAATTATGCCATCGCCATCTGCCTCTCCCCGCTTTCGTGTGGATGCTGTTCGCATGGACTCGCACTCCTGTGATTCTCTTGCGTTTTGCATGCCTGATCCTGCATGGCCGAGTCGGTCTCGGCACTTGCTAGCTGTCGTATTGATGCAATAATCAGGCTTTCATGCCCAGGGATAACCCTGTCCCAATGCAAGAGAAAAGCTACTGCCTTCGCGAATGTGATGGGACTCTGCACGCCACTTGTGACTCCACCACAATGGGTTGTTCTATCTTGATGCCATTTTTCGACGCCTGCAATTGTTGATTGGCTCAGTGCCTCATCTCTCATGAGCACTGACACGGGATTTTGACCGAACGCCATGTTTTATCCACAGAAGTATCTATCCGATATTGCTGTCTGTGTGATTGCATACGCATGCACATCCCGATTTATTGCCTTCACTGCTCTTCATGGCTCTTACGTCTCCTGCATTTGGGCAATAATGGAAATCGATATTGGGTCTCAGCATGTGGTTGCAACCATTAGCCCCTGTCTTTTTGTGTTATTCCTGCCGAGTCTTACTCGCCAGTCTATCAAAATTTAGACTTGACCGTTGTTCCATCCCTGCCGCACCTTTCCGGTCTGTGGCTTTCAGCCAATAGCCCTCCCATAAGTGGCAACGGTAGGGTCTTTGAGGCTCTTTCATTGGCACCCAGGTTCAAGGACACGGACCACGCAATTGAAATTTCTTGTGCCAGACCCCAAAAATTAGGGATGCAGGCCAGATAGATCCATTTTCGTTCAGCTGATCTCTCACTCCTGCAAAGAGGGATCCTGCATTTGCCCCCGCTCATGTGTGTGTTCATCATCATCCACTTGCTTCTTTTGGCGGAAATGATAGGACCGGATTGATGTACGGCGCTCGCCGCAGACACGAACCGTGACACCTTCCACATATTGCCGAACCATATGCAGCTGCACCAAAGCTCAGAGACTCTGACGTGGCACGTTGCTTCTGGCTTTCTGCGTCAATTCCGGGTAGCCAGGGCTGGCTCGAAGGCCGTGGGTCGCCGTTTAGGGTTTTCATACAAGCTCCACTGGGAATCCAAATGCCATTCAGATTAATGAGAATGACGAAATATGACTGATTGCCAATATGGAACGGGAAATCCTGCAGACTTCTGTCCTTGCCGTTGTGCCCGATTGTTCTGGGCGATTCACCAATCCGACAGGCGATCGTCGGGGAATGCCGCTCAATCACGCCCAGAATCGGACCCAGGAAGATGATCCATGACAAGATGTTGAGTTGGCAACTGGCATCCCTGATGATGGCTCATAGCCTCAAAATGGCCGTCACATCCGGTGGATCTATCGTTTGCTGCGGCGAGCTGGTTGCATCCAGCCCCAAAAAACTCTCGAATCAATTTTTGAAGCCCCCCTGCTCTTTTGCCTCTCGCTCCGTCTTACTACGGAATTCCGCTCGCCCATTCTTAGTGTACCAATCTTTCTCCTGGCAAGGATCAGGCCGAGTGTGGGAAAAGCATGGTTGTTGTTTCTGCCCAACAAGCGAAGTTGCCGGTTGAAATACTAGAGCATTTTTGATCTGGTCAGAGCTACCGCAGGCCAATTTTGAGTGCTATCAACCGGGGAAGCCCGTGCCTTAACGTTGAAATTGAATTTCAGGACCCGCATACAGGCTCCCACGGCGTCGGGCTCTTCTGATCCCGTGATCTGAAAGTGAACGGAGGCTCCCGCACCTTATACACGCCTACCTTTGACCGGCGACAAATCGTTGATGGTAACGCTACCTTCGGTGTTAGACAGCAAAAAGCACACTGCCTCCATTTTCTAATACTTTACGGCGATTGGTCCACCGGTCAACTTATCCTCGCCTGCAGTCGGCCCAATCGTCCAATGGAAACTGTCAGCCGGGATGTCAGTCGTATGCAACTAACGAGTCCTTTCCCCACCCGTCCTGCACCAAAGAGGCATGTGCATCTCATCAGTACTTACGTTAGGTAAGGCCTGGGCCAAACTCTCATTGGCCAATTGTGCTTTCTCTGAGTGGGCCTTCGCTCTGCGTGCTCCCAGTTATCATTCTTCTCACAGACATTGTGAACACAGTACCAAACCACGGTCTAGGGGGTCTCCTCTCTTTGCCTTTCTTCTGGCACTGCTTAACCCTACCTATGCTGGATGTACTCTCTAAACAGTTATTCTACATCGTAATTTATTGCCAATTGGCCAATGTGAGCTCGGGCTGTCCATTCGAGTTTGTACCTGGGTTACCCGAAGATTATATTCGAATTATGCCACCCCAGCACCTCGAGGTTGTTGGTCTGATAGTAATATCTAATTCCAACAAGGTCCAACGTACGGCTCCCCTTGACTCTCGTCGCACTTTTACCCTATCTTCAAAGGAAGAAACACAGGTGACGATCACTCTCACCCTTCTCAGAACGTATTGAAAAACAACTAAAGACTTTATTGCTACAATGCTATAATTGGGAATGTGCCGAAGAGATGCACAATGAACTGGGTGGAAGCATACTACACTGATCGCTAGGAATGGCTTTTTTTCCCGAATAGTCAGATTAGTCAATGGTAGGCTTCATTCCCTAGCCAGCCAGCCGACCGCCACGCTCAAACCCCCTCTACGGTGGCGCATCTGTCTACTACCGGGGCTTTGGAAATGAGCAACATCAGCTTGGCATGCATCATTTAGCGACAGCTTCTGACGGCTAGCGGCCCGCCAGCCGCCAGAATGAGACATGGGTCTGCATGGTGTGACGGACTGGGAGACCAGAAAGATATTCTTGATGGAAGTTTCCATGGGGAGTTCAATAATGTGCGGTGTTGTTCACGACTCTCTCCATTACAAGTCACATATTGGACCCCATCTATCCATTGTCTTTAGCTACATATGATAAGATTATAATGGACGCAGCGGATACTCTGTTGATCCTGATGAAGGTTCTATGACAATAATATATTAAACCAGCGCAAAATAGTACCTAGAACTGCCAAAGGCCCTTTGGTTCCATTTGATGAAGGACAGTCTCTTAGGGCAAGCTCATTGCCCGATTAGGTTAGCCTGACTGATTGTAAGCAAGTGACGTCAACATGATCCTAGAGTCTAGAGAAACTTGGAAGAGAAAACTGACATACTACTTCTATAGGATTCTCCCTGATAGTAACAAGAAAGGCCCTTGATTTAAACCAATTGCCTTTCTCCAATTCATTGCATCTTACACTCTCGATATTTAGGCCCTTCCTCGACGATATATCTCTACAAACCACTTCAATCCCCACCCAAAACCATCTCCAATTATCATCTTCACATTTCACAAAATGTTGAAAACCATTATCTCAGCCGGCCAACAAGCTACCCGAGCCACCCGGAGCCAGGTCTCAAAAACCACTATCCAATCTCTCGCAACCCCGACAGCAACAAGAACGCCCTTCAGCACAACTCCACTCCCCCAGATCGAAAAGGGCCAGGGCTCACTCGACCGTGAAACCTTGAACCCGGAGCGCTCAGAGACTGCCAAGTCTGGTACAGACGGCGAAGTCGCCAAGCACCCCTCTGCATTCGACCCAAAGAACACAGCACCAGAGTCCGAACTCGCGGCCACTGAAGAGGAAAGCAAGCAGGAAGGCAAGAAAGAGAGTCCTCTAAATATGAGCCCGGCCAATAGGGATGCTAGCGCTTGGAGGCGCCAGGCTGAGGACGGGCCTGATCGGAATCGGGATCGCGAGGCCTCCAGCTCTCGTGGGGCGACAAAGAAGGGCCGTGGTATTCATGTCAAGGAGGATGGGACTCATGTTTCGTATCGAGATTGAATGCCTTGTGTGTATAGTATAGCGGGCGACAAATGATAATTTTATGTAGGGAATTCAGCGTTTCCAAAAATTCATGTTATATCAAGTTTTGATTAATGCTATCAAGTAAGTTTGTCCATCGCCGCATAACGTCATGAATCCAAAACATAAGTAGTATTTAAAGACAGCTCATTCCAACGCATCGCATTCAAGGGGATGTTTCCTTGCCGTATTTGATGATATCACTGCCGAACAAGGTCCAGACTTTCTCACTGCCCTCGGGAACATCTCCTTCCAGCGCCTTGAGCCCAGCATTGACAGCAGCTCTGCCAATAACCTCCGCCTCCTGAGCCCAGCTATCTTTCAGACTGGAATGCAGCTTGCCAGCCAAGTTCGCAAAAAATCGAACCCCAGCCTCGAGCGGCCGGCTTTCTTCACGAGTACCAGCAATCAGTCCAGGGCGCAGGATGACCATGCGCTCAAAGCCAAGCTTCTTGATATCTTCCTCTATCTCACCCTTCATGCGGGAATAAGCAATATTGGAATCCTTGTTGGCACCGGTGGATGAGATCAGCACGTAGACCTTGGTGCCAGCTTCGTGCGCAGCCTTGGCCAGCTCGACGTTCAGCCCGTGCTCGATTTTGTATTGGTTATCGAACCCGCCTGCAGCTGCCTTTGTGGTTCCAAAGGCAGAAATGAAGATGCTGGGGGTCGGGGAGAGGGTGGAGAGCTTGCCGGCCCAGGTGGCGGTATCGCTAGAGACGAAGTTGGTGAGTTTGGCTGGGGGCGTGCCGCTAGCAGGTGGCGGGATGCGGCGGGAGATAGTGTCCACACGGGTTACAGTGGGATTCGCAATAAGGCTGGTGAGAATATGGGAGCCCTATCGGTTATGCGACTTAGCTCGAGTTCTAGCCTGGTATTTTTGTTCGGAAAGTTTCCAGACGAGTAGAGTGAAGAGCTTTGCTTGCAGGATGTGAACTTACCACCATACCCGTACCACCGATCAATGCGACATTCACCATGTTTGTGTATATGACTTGTAATTAGAGTAAACGTCCGTTGTGTTTGTACAAGATACCAAGAGAGGAGTAGGAGTCCTGGCGGAATCCAGGCGCTGCCTTTCGTCATGCCGAGGTTGAGCTAAACTACATTGGGTAAGCTTCGACTTGTGGCTACACACAATGCGCAGCTACAAGAAGAAACAGAGCTGATAGTATGTACTATATATTTTCTGGCAATCCATTTATCTATAAAGCATCAAATGTCACGGGATAGGTACATATTTAAAGTGTTTTGTATGGTAGATATATGTGGGCGGTGGATATAGGCAGCAAGGGTCGTGTTGTGTAGCAAAACTCCAGACTACGTGGATGACTCTAGCCAATGTCCTCTTGACCAACCTGGTGCTAAGTTATTTTCTTCTCTATAGCCGTGGTTTTCCAAAAGACAGGGAGCATGATGCAGTTCGTTTTGAGCTATTAACTAGCTACATTTTCTCTGAAGCTTTTGCGAACATTGTGAAGTTTGATGCCTTCAATTTATATATTATTAATAATGCGTATTAACTTGGAGGAGCAGTCTATTCTGAGAATCAACCTTAAAAGCCTCTGTGTACTCATAGCCTCAGTATTTCATGCTTCTAAAAGAGAGAAAGTTAATATCTGTTGAGTCATCCATAATCGTACATAGGTTTTGGAAATGTCGGAGATTCCATGTTCATTTAAACAGTTTGTTTGAATCGCACGGGAGACTATCTAGATTTTCTCATAGTCATGGTATACGTAATTCGATACTTTGCAAGGCCCAACATAATCTCAAAAAATCGCTATTTCGAAGTGGGATGTTCTAGGGAGATATGTGGTTTAGTCGTCTATCCCAAGGGTGAGTGTGAAGCTTAAGACTTGTATGATCGATGACCACGTCAATGCATGCAGAACATGATCAAACATAGCGAGTCTTTAAACTGCCTACTAAACGAGTAGAAATTATGTACTGTCTAGAAATTACTAGGCGCTAAGTGTATGCAGATATCACTAAACGGTTAATGAATGAATGAAGTGCATATATATGATAGGATTATCATCTCCAGAAACTTTAGAGCCAAACAAGGATAACTGAATTGATGACCATTACATCTAACTCATCGACTTATTTATTTTCTTTTCACTCCCTTGACGTATGTGGACAGAGTTCCAAATACATTTCAAGATGCCTCTTGGCTCATTGCCATTCGAAGTAATCTGTCTTATTGCATCAAATCTGCCACGGAACGAAGATAAATTGTCACTTGCGTTATGCAATCGTATGCTTCATGGCGCCGCGATTCATGTCCTTTACAAGCAAGACAGATGTACCCAAACTCATGTTCTGCGATGGCTGGTAGAAAGGGGATTTGAACAAGGGATCCAGCACATAATATCACGCAACAACCTAGATACGAACATGTCAATGTCCCCCTGGTACAACGTGATCAACACACCTTTACTCCTCGCCGTCAGATCTGGTCGTACGAATATCGTGGAGCTTTTTCTACACCATGGAGCGCTAGTCAATCTCGAAACGGACATTTCCGCCTTAGGATACGCTGCAGCTCTAGGAGACTACAACGTCACCAGTTTGCTCCTCCACTATGGCGCCCATGTAGACCCCGTGGGCGCAAGATGCGGTCTTCCTCCTCTAGGATGTGCTATGGGACTTGGGTATGCATCACGGGAATTCAATCCACACTCGCTATATTGGCCGAGCCGGGATGGTCGATCGAGACCCAGTGGAGATGATGAGTATGTCGCTGTGATTCAGCTGCTGCTGGCTCACGGGGCAGATCTAAATTTCCAGTCTGATGACACCTTTCAGTCTACTTGCCTGCACAGAATTCCTAAGAGCCCGTGGGGATCTACAGAGAAACTGTTCGGTCTGTTTCTCGATTCTGGTGCTGATGTAAACGCACAAGATTCGAAAGGAGACACCCCCCTTCATGTTGCCCTCGCCAGGGATGCATTTTCAGGAAATACAAGGGTCCAAAAGGAGTTTGTGCGATTACTCTTGAGGTCTGGTGCTGATGTGAACCTACAGAACAGGTGTGGAGTGAGACCACTAGGTATCAGATTGGAGGACCCTGGCATCTTGGAACTCACGTTGAAACCAGGGGCGAATACTGGTTGCGGTGGTAGAGACGGAGGCGAAATTATTTCGAGGCTTTTGAGAACCCCGTTGCAAAAGCAAAAGAAAGGCAGAAAGCAAAATAGGATCAATACTGTCTTGATAGAGCTACTCTTGGAACACGGGGCTTGTGCAGATCAAATCACCGATGGAAAATGTGCACTGGACTTGTGCGCGGCAAGGATGTATCCAGCGCTGAGAGATTCGATGAGCAAGAGGAAAATGACTTCAAGAAAACCTTCACTGACCGTGAAGGCCAGAGAGCCATCGAAACCCACGAGAAAGCTGCCCCCAAGGAAAGCCAGAAAATACAACTAGACCACGAACGAAACGAGAAAACTGCGCTCAAGGATTCTTCGCAAGGGTTGAACCGAAGCTGGCACGTGTGGGGATTAAGCTTGAGATATTGTACCCGGGTATGAGAGCCCAATTTACACGACTTGCTTAGAGATCAAATTCCATCTTGCCAGGAAGGAAAGCAAGGAAAGCGTTAATTGCTAGTTGCTATCAGATTATGGCATAATTGCTCCAAATATCAGTGAAGTCAATCTAGCTTTCGAATGCAACGGCCCCAATGGCGTAGAAGACTTTATGACCATAGTCGATCTCCGATTCATTGGATATCATACGATGCTTTTACTTTCACGTACTTCTGCAGGCTAAGATGAGTGGCACTAAAGAGTCTGCTATAGGCCCTATGAAACCTTAGGTTTTTAAATTTTGTTTTCATTTTGCTCGGTTTGCATTGGGTAAACCCCCGACAGTAGATAATACTGTACTGTCTATTGACATGTATGGAAGTTCGAGGGGCAGTAGGTTGTACTATGTTAGCCAAATGTCCGGGTAAACGATACCCCTTGGTTAAAGATGTAGGCTTTTCTTTATATCCAAATCAAATCTTAGCGCTCTGTGAGAGCTTCTTCTCTTCAGCCTGATAGAGCTTGACCAATTGACGCACAGACAGATCGAGCAGCACGTCTTCTGAGCCACCCGGAATACGGGCACCAGGAACATCGCGCAGAATGGCTAGAGGCTTGGTTAGCTTGTTTCAAACGAATACTCATAATTTAAGAAACATACCTTCGACCAATTCACCCTGACCGGATTTGGTAAATCCACTTCCTCCGAACAATAACACGGCAGTTTGGGCGCACTCGTTCAAAACCATAGCGGACTTCGCTTTAGCTAATGCCGTCAAGCCACCAAGTTGACGATCACCCTCCTCTTTGCTGAGATGAACTAATTGGTACAAGATCTGCTCAACCCACGCCCACATAGATTCAAGCTCGGCGCCTGCCTTAGCTAGACGGTGGCGGACCACGGGTTGGTCCATGAGCGTCTTTCCGAAAGCCTCGCGCTTGAGACAGTACGAGAAAGCAGTAGAAAGGGCTACGCGAGCCTGGCGAGTTACTCCGATGGCAATAAGAAGTCGTTCATGGTTGAAGTTTGTCATGATGATACGCATGCCGTCGCCTTCTTTGCCGATGATGTTTGACACAGGAACCTTGACGTCGTCAAGCTCAATAAATGTAGTCCCGCCTGTAATCTGACCTGAGACTTTGAGTCGGCGCATTGAAACACCGGGGTGGCCCTTCAGAGGCACAACCAAGACGGAAAGGCCCGCAGCTCCTGGTCCACCGGTTCGCACGGCCATGGTGGCATAGTCCGACCAGATACCATTCGTGATCCTGGTTACTGCTGTCAGCTCACAGCTTTATCAATACTGCAGAATTGGCTCTTACCATTTCTTGGATCCGTTCAGGATGTAGTGCTGGCCATCGCCACTCTTGACAGCAGTTGTGGTGATATTCGCGACATCACTACCGGCCTCAGGCTCCGTGATGGCAATGCAGCCTCGCTTCTTACCTGTGAGTAGCTCGGGCAAGAACTGCTCTTGCAGCTCGGTACTGCCAAATTTGTAGATTGGTGCAATTCCGAAAGCGAAACCGGCGTTCAAAGAACCAGAGGGGCCACTGAGACCCGAACGGGCCATCTATGTGCAAACCATCGGTCAATTACTATGCAATTATAAAGCCCAGTTCGATAATTTTCATCGCATACCTCATCACAGTAAATTCCCGTGTAGATATAGTCCCAGTCTTCAACCTTGACTCCCAGGATATCGTTGATTCCTAGCCGCTTTAGCCAATCCACAGGTAATGGGGCTGGCATGTTGGGCAACAACATATTATGCTTGCAGAATGCGTGGAAAACATGCTCGGGGACTGTTCCCTCACGTTCCCACTCTAGCGCGTGCTGAAGCAAGTTCTCTGTTGCAAATTTACGGCATGCTTGTTGGAAACGGCGGTGGGCTGGTGTAATGTAGGGAGAAGGGAGGCCACGAAGGTAAGGCGGCTCTGAGAACGGGATGGGATTTGGTGGGCTGTACGCCATGATGGAAGAGTAAAGGGATATGTTATCAGAAGACGTCAATATTCGTCTATGGCGTTTATATACATGTCAGGATCAATAGTCTATGAGGGGATTCTCCGCATTCTGGGGTAAGGACCCGACCGAGGCTCGGTGATTTGTGCAGGCCTGTGGATTTAATGCACAAGCATGCACATCACATGACTAGTGTTGATGCCTAAGGCATTAATGGGTTGTTGGTATATGCAGCACCAGCATACCGGAATACCGGAGGATTTATTAATCCTCCAGTATGCAGTAATATTTCTTATGTAATCAGGATAGTATAAATTGTCAGAATAGTGGATACAGAAAGACAGAGACTTGAATACCATTGATTGGACCCTTATAATACGGAATACCACCTGTGTGGACAGTTATGAGCCCGGATCGCACTGAATGAACCTGCTGTAGTCGAAACACAGCACGATTGAACCCCTGAAGCTGCCGAAAAGAGCAATTGTGGAGCTATTCCCAGCTACCCCTGAATTGTATCTAGCAATGGAGACAGCATCGATTCTCTCCGCCACGAAGGGCGAAAAACTGAAGGATGAAACGCAATGGCGTACCTGGTTCACGAGAGTGAGGTCGTACGCGAGGCAGAAAGGTGTATGGGAGCTGTGTGACCCTGAAGCTGTGATGGCTGAGATCGCTGCTGTATCTACCGCGATAGAGAAGCCACCAATTCGGCCCGACCTCCTTACCGAACCGACAGTCCCCGAGTATCCCGAGGAGGGGGATGCAGAGGAAAAGAAAACCTGGAGAGATCGGATGGACCTTTTTAAAATCAAGTATGCCCGATGGCAAAGCGAGGCGAAAGGACTGGCCGATGTCAACGAGTATATCTTGATATACCTAGACCCGGTACACCATCTAGCTATTATACCGCTGGAGACGCCTTATGAGAGACTGGTCTATTTGAAATCCCGTTTCGCCCAGACGGTCACGTACCGAGAAGAGATTCGAATGAAATGGAGATATTTCTCTACCCAAAGACCAACGGGAGATATCGAGCAATGGATCCAGAAGTGGGACTCGATGAGAGAATTGACGATTAGTCTTGGAATCGATGATAGTAATCCGAATCGAGACTTTGTATACGCAGTAAAGGACGTACTGCCAATGTGGTGGCAAGCACAATACCAGGACATTGTCGCTGATGGGAAGCCGGTCGATACTCGAGTCCTTATCGAGTCCTTCCGTGCGATGAACAACGATATTGGTGTGAAGACAGTGTCGTCGACAAACGCCCCGAAAAGCGCATTCTCTACCTGGCAAGGTTATCAAGAAGCGAAGCCGGATACCCCGTACGAGAAACGGAGGTGTCCCTGCGGCGATAGGCACCCACAGCATTCTGTGCGTACGTGCTGGACTGTGAATGAAGCAATCCGCCCGGAAGGGAAGCCTATAGACCAGAGAAAGGTGGACCGCGCAAATGAGCAACTGTCAAAGGATCCAGGATGGAAGAAGTGGGTGGACAAGACGATAGCAGGAGCTAAACCGAAAGCCGACCGGCCCGAGCCGAAGGTTGAATCGGCCAATGTCCTAACCAGCTTTATTACGATGACGAAGCATGCCCTATCCGCTAGCGAGGTGTCGCTTCGAGATAGATGGATCCTCGATTCGGGATCGAGCGCGCACGTGTGCAATAACAAGGACCTATTCATTAACCTTCGGCCCGACGCGATAGAATTGAAGACGGGAGATGGATCTACCCGAGTACTCGGTCGAGGCACGGTCCGCTTGATAGGAAAGCACCCCCAGAGGGGACGAATGGAGATCACGTTAAGCGACGCACTCTATTCGCCGACGTTTCACACCAACCTGGTGTCGTACGCGCAATTGAAGAAGAAGGGTGGCACGTGGTGCCAGGAGACGAACTGTATCCGAGACCCTAATAAGAACCCGGTCGTTAGCGTACGATTATGGGACCAATTTGATCTATGGATTTTTGACCAGCCCGACGAAGCGCTCCCCCCACAGCAAGCATTCGCTGCTACCCCGCAAAGAGCAGCATCGACACCGAGGAAGTCAGTCAAGACGCAGGAATCGAAGGCTTCGGTGGAGCTCTGGCATAGAAGGTTCGCGCATATCGATCGGAAGACGGTAGCAAAGCTTGCTACAATGGTCGACGGTGTCAATATCCAGGAAGAGAAGCTGACAACGCCGACAGCGACGTCGGGATCGAGATCGGTACCGATAGGAGAAGAAGCACCACTGTGCGCGACGTGTTGTATCGGGAGGGCACCGAGACAGATCTCTCGACGGCCTATAGGACGCACGTTTGGACGATTCGGAAGGATTCATTTCGATCTGATACAGCTACCGCCAGCGTACAATAAGCATAGATGGATCTCTCACTTCTATATCGAGGGAGTTAGATTTCACTGGCTGATGACACACGAGATGAAACCAGAGTGTCAGTTAGCTATCAACCAGTTTGTTGAACTAGCTAAGAATCAGTGGAATTTGCCTATCAAGGCATTTCACTACGACAATGAGCTTTCAGCAGGCAAGAAGGCCGAATACAGTCTAACGAGCGACGGTATCCTAATCTATCATACCCCGCCAGCACACGCGGAAATGAACGGATACGCCGAGAGATCTGGTGGCATGATAATCGTCCGAATGCGGATGCTAGCGCTCGAAGGGAAGCTTCCGAAGGAATTATGGCCCTATTTCGCCGGTGCCGCCGTGTGGATGCTGAACCGTACCCCGACGTACATTGCTTCCGAGAATCGGTGGATCATACCGTGGGAGGAAGTGCGGAAGGAGTTCTTAAAGGGCGCGATTCCACCCCGAATCAATCTCGCGAAAGTGAGGTTATACGGAAGCTTAGCGTACTGTCGAATTGAACACCAGGTGAAGTCAGATAAGATGAATCCTCGCGCAGAAGTTGGATTCCTAGTTGGATACGTGGCGTCCAATATCTATCAGATCTGGTTTCCACACTCAGGAAAAGTGAGGCATATCAGGGATGCTATCATAGATGAATCTCGTAAATACACACCGGATTATGAGAAATTCCAGCCGATTCCTATGCCGCTAGCCAAGGAGCCAGAAGAGATCTCACTCGCTGAGATTACCGAACTGGTAAACCGTGAATTAGCGAGTCGGGAACCTGTCGGGATACTGGAAAGGACTCGCGAGGAAGATGACCAGGAAGATCGCGAGCAGCAAGCTCCCCCACCACCAGAAGCCCCGCGGGATGAAGACGAAAACGAAGATAACGAGACCTTTCGGCCCGAAGATAAAGAAAATGAGGCTATTCGCACCACCCTAAGTCAGGAGGTGAGAGATACTACCCCACCTCAGGGGGTGAGTACCCAGGCAAGCATGCCTACCCCGATAGGACCGCCGAGAATGGCGATAGGTGAAATCCAAGAGAGAAGCGAACCCCAGAAAGCAGTGCCAGGTGCTTTCCCGGCCGAGGACCTACCCCCGCTGCCGAATACGCCTCCGCACGAGCCCGAATCGGACGCTGACCCTGGTCAGGGGGTGGATATAGGTGATCAGGATGATCATCTAATAGAAGACCAGGCCCAGCAAGAAGAAGATCGGACCAATGAAAGTGAAGAGGACGATCTAGAAAGACAGCTACAATCTGAATTGCTAGCACCAAGCAGAGAAATCAACAGCAGTGTAGACGTCAGTAACATACTGACAGGAAGTCGTACGCGCAGAGCACGAAGAGATGACGATTACGCCTACGCGACTACGATCAAGATAGCTCCAGAAGGAGAAGAACCGCCCGCCTTCCTACACGCTTTCGCGGCAGGTTTATACGCCGAGAAACCAGACACCCGTCGTCACCGAGACGACCTTCCACCGCCCCCGAAACACTGGAAAGAGGTCCTGAATCACCCTTTTCAGCAAGGATTTCTCGCAGCAGCAGCGAAGGAAATAAGGTCGTTAGCCGAGAAAGAGACGTTTGAGGTTATCGAGAAACCAAGAGACCGAGGAGTACAGATACTGCCGTTAATGTGGGTCTTTACCTACAAATTTGATGCGGACGGATACCTGGTGAAGTTCAAAGCCCGCATTTGCGTACGTGGAGACCTCGAAACGATCACGTACCAGGAAAAGAGAGCTGCGACACTAGCAGCAAGGACCGCAAGGATGATCTTCGCTTTGGTCGCCGCATTTGATCTGAATCTGCGACAGCGGGACGCTGTTACCGCGTTCTTGAATAGCAAGCTGGAGCAAGAGACGTACTCGCATATGCCAGAAGGATTTCAGATCCCAGGGAAGTGCTGGAAGTTACGGCGAGCACTGTACGGACTACGGATCTCGCCGAGACTATGGCAGCAAGAAGCTTCGAAGGTGCTACGAAAGCTAGGACTAAAGCAAGCACCCGAGGATCCCTGTGTGTTTACTGGGGATGGAATTTTAGTCTTCTTTTACGTGGATGATATCTTAATTGCTAGTCATCCTGACGTCAAGAAGCAGGCTGACCAGCTGGAAAGAGATCTGGAATCGCACTGGGAACTGACAGATCATGGAGAAGCAGCATGGTTTTTGAATATCCGGATACTCCGAGATAGAAGACAAAAGAAATTATGGCTATGCCAAGATAGCTATGTGACAAGCATCGCGAATCGATTCAATCTGATAGACCGACCACCGGTCTATACACCACTGCCTATCGAAGAATTGACTCCCTACACGGGTGCCGCAACCCCACAGGAGATCCTATTATACCAGAAGAAAGTGGGATCCGCAGGGTATGCGACGACGATCACCCGACCCGACGCTGTAAAAGCGACCGCACGATTAGCTCAATTTTTGACAAATCCTGGACCGGAACACCAGAGAGCTGCTGATAGAGTCATTACGTATTTGTATACCACGCGAAATCTCGCGATCGAGTACAGTGCCGAGGTCGAAATGGACTCGATTCAGTTCGCTAGCGATGCTTCGTACGGAGACCACCAGGACAGGAAGAGCTCCGCAGGGTATATTTGCCAGGCGTACGGAGGCCCGGTCGACTGGAAAGCGACTAAACAGCCGACCGTAACGACGTCCACCACGGAAGCCGAGCTGCTCGGGCTATCTGAAGCCGGAAAGCAGGTTCAATGGTGGCGCCGACTACTCGAAAGCCTTGGTTTTATTCCATCCCACCACCTGACGATCGATTGCGACAACGAAAGGACGATTGGATTATTGACGAGCGAAGACACGGCGTTTGAAACGAAGCTTCGGCACGTGGATATTCATCGGCACTGGCTTCGGCAAGAAGTTCGGGAAGGAAGGATTCGCGTGCGATGGGTAGCGACAGCGAGCATGGTTGCCGACGGACTGACGAAGCTGCTATCTCGGCAGAAGCACGAGAATTTTCTCAGGATGCTGAGGATGGTAGATATCAGCTATATGCTGGTTTAGATGAGAAGAGACAGCGATCCCATACTGGGACCGCTGAGGGGGTGTGTTGGTATATGCAGCACCAGCATACCGGAATACCGGAGGATTTATTAATCCTCCAGTATGCAGTAATATTTCTTATGTAATCAGGATAGTATAAATTGTCAGAATAGTGGATACAGAAAGACAGAGACTTGAATACCATTGATTGGACCCTTATAATACGGAATACCACCTGTGTGGACATGGGTCATCGGCAGCAAGTAGATTTTTCGTTAGAACCAAGTACTTTAGTTATAAGCCACTGTAAATGTAGTTAGATTGGAACATTGTTACTTCATTAGAAACACATGACTATCGAACTTGGAAGTAAATATGCAAGACCCTCAGCTAGAAGCTAAGACCCCTTTTAACACACCCACTTTATATAGAGTGCGTTATACTTCGGTATCAACGTTAACTAACTAGTTAACTAACTAATAACTAACTAGGGTTCTAGCACGGTACCTCCCTACAGTCCATTACAGTCTAACATGGCGGATATGTTTCCATTGACCACTAAGGACGTTGCGAGTACTCGGGATTGTCAAATTTCTTAGGTCTCTCAGGACAGCAATCGAAGATAAAGAGCATCAACAATCTATGCGGCGGGTTTGGGAACGTCTGGACTAGTCCTGCCAGCAGTCTTTCCCTTCAACCACCCAGTCCCTCTTGAAACCAAAGATCCGGCCGCGTAGGACTTGCTGGAGGATTTGTTCCTGGATAATATAGACTTCATCCGCTCCTTGGTCCCCATATGCTTGCTCTTGTCATGAGCTAGCTGTGATGACCATATAATGTCCTGATTTTGGGAGGCAGCATATCTGATATCTACTTCCTCGCTTTCAAGCAGGCGTTCTAGATGCGCTATATCAATCAGAGGATCACCCATCACACATACACTAGACACTCGTTCCATCCAATCAAGCAAGTCACGTTAAAAGCTTCTCTACAATGCGGTTGTTTGTAGTGTGAGGTCGATTTTTAATCAATCTTGGATTTGAAGCTTCGCTCTTTGCCCCTACTGTGTTCACAACTTCGAAATGAAATCTATCCGAGCAGCCAGGGATGTCAATGTCTATTAGAGAGTGAATAGTCTGACATTCTGTAATGAAATCTCTATTAGTTAACCATATCAGGAGCAAGAGGGTTTCCTTCAAAGAAATGACTGGCTTACGTGATCCGGCACTTCAGGCACGGCTGAGTAATGCTCCGAAAGCGGCCCCGGATCCGCCACCCCTTGAAAAATCTTATCGCCCGATAACAAGCACGCAATTGCCACTAACCGCTTTAGGCAAGTTACCTGGGGGTTTTCTCTATATCCAAGCGATGAAGAGGGGAGATTCTCTTTCCCCCTCATCTTCTTCTTTGTTTTTGTCTATAACAGATATCGGTCTTATATCCGGTATCAAGAAGAAGTCATGGGTTCATCAGTTCCAGCTCTGTCGGCCTTGAATGGCCCGACCTATGTTACAGCCCAAACCCTCATCCAGCAAGTCGCATACTTGCTGAGTGATAAGATCTTCTCCTACTCGCCGGACACTTTCGATCTTGATGCTGCTCTCAAGGAATGGACCTCCAAGGGCGAAACTAATGCCAATGGCGAGTCTCCCTCTATCAAGGCCCTGGAAACCCGCCAGGGTGCCGGCAACATGGCCCTCGGCTACCTCTTCTCTCAGGACTTTGATCTGAAGAAGCGTCACATCCCTCAGGGTATTGTTGCTTCCTCGGCAACTCTCCCTTATATGCGCGCCGCACTGGAGCAGCTCTCTCTGCTCTACTCCGTCGCTAGCCCAGTCGCTGCACACGTCGCTGCCGTAGACTACGCCGGTGAGGATGGCCTGGTCTCTGACTATGCCTCCGCACTCTCTCTGGCCGAGGATCTCGGTCTGGGTCTGGTTTCCAGCGGTTCCGCCCACGAGTCCCAGCACATGGCTCTCTTCACAACGTTGCTCTCATCCGTCCTCCCCTCAATTCACATCTATGATGGTGTTCGTGTTGGCCGTGATACTACCCGCATCATTGATATTCTCGACAAGGATGGTCTGACTCGCACATATGAGACTGTCCGCAAGACTCTCGATGAGTCCCGCAACCGTCATCTCGACGCCCAAGGCAAGGTCTTGGATCTGCTGAAGAGCCTGAACGGCGAACTCGGAACTGACTATGGTGCGTTCGAGTACCACGGTCACTCCGAGCCCACCTCTGTACTTATTGCCTTCGGCACTGTCGAGGCCACTCTCACTGCCCAAATCGCACGCTCTCTCGCAAAGGATGGTGTCCGTGTCGGTGTTGTGAATGTCCGCATCTACCGGCCCTTCATCGAGGAGGAGTTCCTGCGCGTTCTCCCCCAGTCCACCCAGACTGTCGCAGTTCTTGGCCAGGTCGCCTCCGAGCAGGATGTTCAGGAAGATGGCATCCACTCCCCTCTCTTTATGAGGATGTGCTTGCTTCTTTGACTTTCGCCACTGGCCGTGAACACAACCCGGCTTGTGTTGAGATCAAGTACCCCCGCTCCCAGCGTTGGGATCTCATCTCCACCGCCGCTGCATTCCAGCGCGTGTATGACCAGCCTATTCTCGTTGCCAACGGTGAAACCAATGCCTCCCTGCAGCTGCTCGACCCTGCATCTGTGCAGGAATACACTTTCTGGGATGTTGACGCTTCTGTTACCAAGGCGGCTGCTCAGACTTTGAGCCAGGCTCTTGGCGCCGACTCGGCCAGCAATGTCACCCTCAGCCAGACCCACGACAACCTCGTCCAGGGTGGTGCCATCCGTGTTGACATCCGCAAGAGCGCTAAGATTGTTGACGCACCTTACGCGGTCACTGCTGCTGATGTCTCTTACGTTGGCAACCTTTCACTGCTGAACGATGTTGATGTTCTGGCTTCTGTCAAGGACAACGCCAAGGTCATTGTGAATGCCCCGGGCATTAACGATGAGGATTTGGAGAAGAAGCTTCCTGCTTCCTTCAAGCAAGCTGTCGCCCAGCGTGGCATCTCCGTCTTTATCGTCGACTCATCTGCTGTTGATGACTCGTCTCTAGACGCCCTTGTCCTCCAGGCTTCATTCGTGCGCGTCGCTCTGCCTGCCCAGGAGGCTCTGGCAACCAAGAAGCTGTCCTCGATCACCGGAAATGCCGAGGCCCTGGAAAATGTTACCAAGGATCTCGAGAAGCTGCTCCGCCAGATCGAGGTTCCCGAGTCCTGGAAAGAGCCCGAGGGTATCACCGAGGTCGTTGAGCTCCCCAAGGACATCACCGCCAACAGCTTTGTTTCCTTCGACAAGGACGAATCCGAGCCCCCCACCCTTCTCAAGGACTGGGAGACTGCTGCTCGTGGCCTTGCGTTCAGGGAGGCCTATGGCACCAGGGATGCTCTTCGCCCTGACCTTGCCCACAAGACTTTCATTGTCCACGTCAAGGAGAACCGCCGTCTCACCCCCACCACCTATGATCGTAACATCTTCCACATCGAGTTCGACCTCGGTGACACTGGTCTGAAGTACGACATTGGCGAGGCCCTCGGTATCCACGCCGAGAACGACCCTGAGGACATCAAGAAGTTCATCGCGTTCTACGGCTTGAACCCCGATGCGATTGTTGAGGTTCCCAGCCGCGAGGACCCTGCCGTTTTGGAGAACCGCACTGTCTACCAGGCTCTGGTTCAGAACGTCGACATCTTCGGTCGTCCGCCTAAGCGCTTCTACGAGGCCCTTGCCGAGTTCGCCTCCGACGAGAAGGAAAAGGCCAACTTGCTCATCCTGGGTGGTCCCGACGGTGCCACCGAGTTCAAGCGTCGCGCCGAGGTTGACACCGTCACCTTCGCCGACATCTTGCTCGAGTACCCCTCTGCCCACCCCGAATTCCACGATATCGTCCGCCTCATCGGCCCCCTCAAGCGCCGTGAGTACTCGATCGCCTCGTGCCAGAAGGTGACCCCTACCTCAGTAGCCCTGATGATTGTCGCCGTGAACTGGGTCGACCCCAACGGCCGCGACCGTTTCGGTCTTGCCACCCGCTACCTGAGCCGCCTGCAGGCCGGCTCCCCGATCACTGTCAGCGTCAAGTCCAGCGTCATGAAACTGCCCCCAAAGTCCACCCAGCCTATTATCATGGCCGGTCTTGGTACTGGTCTTGCACCTTTCCGTGCCTTCGTCCAGCACCGCGCCCTCGAGAAGGCTCAGGGCAAGGAGATCGGCGCTGTCTTGCTGTACATGGGATCTCGCCACCAGCGCGAGGAGTACTGCTATGGCGAGGAATGGGAGGCTTACCAGGAGGCTGGTGTTATCACTCTCCTCGGCGCTGCTTTCTCTCGTGATCAGCCTGAGAAGATTTATATTCAGGACCGTATGCGCCAGACCCTGCCTGAGATCATCCAAGCCTATATTCGTGAGGAGGGTGCTTTCTACCTGTGCGGTCCCACTTGGCCCGTGCCTGATGTCACCGCTGTTCTGGAGGAGGCTATTGCCACCGAGGCCAGGAACAATGGCAAGAAGGTTGAGACTCGCAAGGAGATTGAGAAGCTCAAGGATGAGGAGCGCTATGTTTTGGAGGTCTACTAGACTCTGTTTTGTTTTCGCATGGCATGATTGTACGATTGGCATGTTTTTGCTTTTTATTCCCCCTGGTATTTAGATGATTTGGGCTAGCGCACTAGCCTTGAAAGACTTCAAAAATGCATTAGAACATTGGATTTTTAAGATCTTAAAACTTCTCCTTTAGATCCCTTATTAGAATATATAATTTAATGGAATGTATTTGGGTATCTGCTTCGAAGACAATGCCTTCCTAGCATGACCCTCGAAAATGCTATGTCGTGTCTAGGTCGTCTATACATACAACTTTTTCTTGAAACTCATGCAACGTAACTATCAAACGCGCCCAGTATTACCATACTTGGTCTTTCCATATGCACCTCCCTTTTCTTTCCTCAACTCCAATGCCCGACGATACGGCGGTGCAGTGGGTGGCTGAATAGGA